AGGAACCACTCGTGGGTCAGGTATCCACCGATCCTCCGTCGCGACCGCATTCGGACTGTGATGACGGTTGGCTGGATGCGCTTTGCGCGGGTTCAGTGGACCTGTCCGACTCGCAGCGCGCGCAGCTGCGAGTTCTTCTGAGCGAATTTGCTGACGTTTTTAGTCAACACAAATTTGATATTGGTTGTACTAAATTGCTGCGACACCATATTGACACGGGTGACAGCGCGCCAATCCGCCAAAATCCCTTTCGGTTGAGTCCCGCCGAAAAGGATCATGTCAAATCGGCTGTTGATGACATGCTAGCCGCCGATATCATTTCCCCTTCCAATAGCCCGTGGGGCGCGCCGATCGTTTTGGTGAAAAAACACGACGGATCACTGCGGTTTTGTGTCGACTTTCGGCGTCTGAACAAAATCTCTGTGGCAGATGCGTACCCGCTTCCTCGAATGGATGAGTCGCTCGATGCCTTGGCGGGGGCGCGATTCTTTTCCACCCTCGATTTGCTATCTGGATTCTGGCAGCTTCCTCTGGATGACGAATCAAAACCTAAGACTGCTTTTCGGACACCGCAGGGTCTCTTCCAATTTAACCGCTTGCCGATGGGTTTACATTCTGCGCCGGCAACTTTTCAGCGGTTAATGGAATTGGTCTTGGCAGGGTTGCAATGGGATTCGTGTTTGATTTACTTAGACGATGTCATCGTCTTTAGCAAATCCTTCGAGGAACACCTCCAGAGGTTGCGTGCTGTTTTTCTCAAAATGCGGGCTGCCAATTTGAAATTTAAACCACAGAAGTGCCATTTACTCCGCGAATCGGTGCGATATTTGGGTCACATTGTTGGGCGCTCGGGGATATCCACTGATCCCGCCAAAACGGAATGCGTCAGCTCCTGGCCGACTCCCACCTCTGTGGGAGAGGTCAGGAGTTTCATTGGGTTCGCGTCGTATTATCGGCGATTTGTGGCTGACTTCGCTACGATTGCGAAACCTTTGCATGCCTTGACGTCCAAGGGAGTCAGGTTTCATTGGGGGCCGGAGGAGGAGGCTTCTTTTCGCGCCCTCCGGAATGCTTTGGTGGGGGCGCCGCCGTTGAATTACCCGGATTTTTCACAACCCTTCTTGCTCGATACAGATGCAAGTAACACGGGCATCGGGGGCGTGCTGTCCCAGCTCATTGGGGGCGTAGAGCATGTGGTGGCTTACGGTAGTCGGGTACTGTCTCCAGCCGAACAGCGGTACTGCGTTACCCGTCGGGAATTATTGGCGATTGTTTATTTCATTCAGCAGTACCGCCCGTATCTGTACGGTCGGCGGTTCACCGTCCGTACAGATCATGCGGCCCTACAATACGCCCTGCGGGTTCAACAACCATCGGGCCAGTTGTCTCGATGGTTGGAGATTCTCCAAGACTATGACTTTGTCACCACATATCGTAAGGGTCTCCGCCACACGAACGCTGACGCCCTGTCGCGATTGCCACCCACTTCGGAGTGCGCGTGCCTCTTGGGTTCGGGGCGTTGTAGGTCTCCGAACGTCACCACCGATTCGGTCCTCGTGGCCGCTGCCGATGCACCTTCGGTTTCGGGTCCTATCGAGCAAGAAGGGAGGGATTCGTTGCTGGGGTTGTCAGTCGCGGAATGGGGTCGCCTCCAAATGGAGGACACCTCCCTCCTCGCTCTGCGCCGTCGCGCCGGGGGGATTGGCCAGGGGGTGGAAAACGTTGACTCGTGGGGGTTGTTCCAGGGACTTTTGATGCACTGGAATGGTAAAACCCGGCGCCAGCGGCTCGTGGTGCCTGCTGCTTTAAGGGGTAAGGTGGTATGGGCTGTTCATGAGCGGCTTCTGCACTTGGGGGTTCATAAGACCTTTGCCACGCTCCAGCTAGATTTCTTCTGGCCGGGCATGGAAAAGGACGTGGGGGACCTCTTGGGGTCGTGCACGCAATGCGCGCAGAGGAAGCCACCTGCTAGGGGATCCAACCCTCCGCTGCAGTCCATAAAAGTTTCCAGGGTTAACGAGCTCGTCGCTCTGGACATACTTGGCCCATTTCCCGCTACACCCAGGGGCAATAGGTATTTACTAACGGGGGTTGAATACTTCACGAGATGGCCTATGGCCTGGCCCCTGGCGAACCAATCGGCAGCAGCCATCGCGGAGGCCTTTGTCCAGGGCTATGTCCTCGACAAGGGTGCTCCGGAACGGCTGCTTACTGACCAGGGTAGGAATTTTTCTGGTAAACTCCTACGTGAGGTGTGCGACCTCTTGGGTACGGAGAAGGTTCGGACCTCTCCGTATCACCCACAAACTGACGGGATGGTGGAACGGCTGCATCGGACCATCACGTCCATGCTGTCCCAGCAGGTGTCGGTATCCCAGACGGATTGGGACCTCCGCATAGCCGGTGTGTTGCAGGCCTACAGAATGGCTCCCCATGCGGCCACCGGATTTTCCCCTTTCTTTTTAATGTATGGGCGCGAAGTTAACCCTCCTGTGGCGACCCAGCTGAAGCTCTCGGCGCTCCAGGCGAAGTCTAAGTTGTCCGAACACGTTAAATTTAACATCGCTCAATTGTCTGAGGCGCGGGAAGCGGCCGTGCAAAATTCTGAACTCCGCCAGAAGGCGAACGAGAGGCTTCGGTTGGGGCGGGTGCAGGTGGTCAAATGGGTACCAGGGGACAGGGCGTGGTTGCACTGTCCTCAGGTGCCGCTGGCAACCTCGTCGAAATTGGTACGGCCGTGGCGGGGGCCAGTGGAGGTCGTGCAGGTTTTGCGGCCGCAATGTGTTCGCGTCAAATGGGGGAGGCGCCGGTGGTATGTGCACCCCTCAAGGTTAAAACCATTCGTCACGCCGCCCCGGGGTTCACACACACACACGCATGGCCAAACGTGTGAGGGTGTCGCCGACTCCCCGTCGTCGCTGCACTCGCCTAACCTGACGCCAACTGTTCCGCCCCCAGGTGAAACAGGAGTGACGGGCCCACGCCCACCAACCCCTCCCGGAGGGGTCGGGGGTCACTCGGCAGCGGAGCCTGACCCTCTTGCACCCGGACCGTCAACAACCGTCACTGAGCGTGCCGGGACGGACCCTTGTGACGGACCCGCCGCGAGAACGCGCGCCAAAACGCGCAGACTTTTGTGAGGTCGGCCGTTGGGGGGCCTTGCGGACAAAAGGGGAGGGGTGTTGTGAGGTCGGCCGTTGGGGGGCCTTGCGGACGATGGGAAAGGTGACGTCCGGAGTGTATATATATGTTGGTTTTGGGGTGTTATCCGGGGGGGGTGCGTCGGGTTATTTTTTTCTCTCTCTCTCTCTCTTCCTCTCGTTGTTCTTGTTCTTGTTAAAAATTACGCGAGGCACACACACGGGGTTTTTGTGAGGGATGCACCTTTATTCTGATTTTTTTTTGCAGCCAGGGACGGCTGCGAGCTGTACAGGGGGGGGTGATGTAGAGGTGTAATTGCGCATGGCTACGAATGTTGAGGTGTGATTATGCATGGCCACGGATGGCCAACAAACACAATGGGCGGGGTTACGGCCGTACACAAGGGTGGCGCTAGCACCGACGTCCGCATGTGTATCCCCCACGGGCCCCCCCTCGGGGGCGAGTCCTATAAAAGGTGATGAGCTCGAGGGCTCGGGGTGGGGACTCAGCTATAACCAGAGAAGACGGAAGACCAGCTAGTGTAGGCCCCAGAGCTCCCCTGGCTCGCTGTCCTTATAAGGGCCGACCAGGGCAAGCCGGTGGCGTGGCCCCGAGAGCCCAGACGAAGCTGGTCTGGTGACTCAGGGAGCCGGGATCCCAGCTTAACCAAGCTGGGACAGATAGCCTCCCCTAGTCCCGTAGTGGAGGAATTGGTATAGGTTAGAGGGGTTAGCTGTCGAGAAATCCCTGTAGCCCAGTGACCTGTAAATAACTGTGTTGGTGTAATAAATAAGTGTGCCTCCGATCCTGTCGTCAAGCCTCCATATACTTACTACACTTAGAAGGGCAGCGGGTCAGAGGAGTCCCAGGATCTAGCGAGCTGGACTTCGGTCTTCAGCTGGTTCTTCGTCTTCGGCTTGTTCGAACTCCCCTCTCTCTCTCAGGGTCTCGCCTTTTATACAATTCCCCACCGAGGGGCGGGGTTCTGTGGGATCACACACCCCCCACAGCCCCCACCCCCCGGGAGGGGCCCCGGCTCGGGATATCACAACCGTCCCGCACAGGTAAGTAATGGGAGTTAGCAGAGCTGGTGTGCGCGCGTTTCAATACCACATCTTTAAATGCCGACGCAGCACACGAGGGGGTGGGTTGCCAGCACCACGCCGCCTCTCTCTCCCCAGCGGCGATGTTTAGACACCGCACCAGGCACTCGTTTGACGCCGAGTAGACCTCGGCGTGGCCCCGACTGGCTCAGGTAATTATCGTGATTGGTGGCAGTGAGCGGGAAATCGCAACATGCAAACATGTTTTGCGTGCCTGGATATTTTTTTGCAATTTGCACGTCCTGCTGCGTTCGTTTCTGACCCTTATGCAATATCAAGGGACCTTTGATACTGGCAAAAATGTATCCCATGATAGAGCTACTCACCCCGAGCTAGACATGATCTCATACGTTCATTGTCCTTGTGCTGTTCGCCTTTGGGCGATCTCTGGTCTGACACCGGTGAGACGAGGCCACCAAGAAGGCTGCTGTGGTGGAGGGCAATCAGTCAAGGTGGAGGGCAATCAGTCAAATAAAATATCTAAACGCGCGACGTCGATTCTAAATGTGGAGGGAAAAAGCGGAGGACCCGGAGAAAAATCCACGCGACCACGAGGAGAGAGACATGCAAACTCCAAATATACAGCAGCAGGCGTCAGGGTCGGGATCGAATCCACGACCTCCTGTATACCAGGTGAGGTAGTTGACATCTCCTAGCCACCGCAGCACCCAGCGTTAATATGCCAACAGCGCTGTTGAAATTTGGGTTTTGCATTACCGGTAACCGCATTGTAAAAATGTCTAGCGACACAATCACCACAGTTTAACCCTTTTATCGGATAAACGCAGGTGCTATGGGGAGCGGTAGCGTAACGATTAGCGCACCGCACTATGAACCCGGCGACCCGAGTTCGATTCCCGCTCACGGCCACCAACCCCGGTGACGATTATCTGACCAATGCATATATAATTATGAAAGCATGTTTGTTTGCATGTAGACCACAAGTACTGTGTGGTTATTGCAGACTGGATTCCTTGCAAAAGGTTTCTATTTGGTGTCTGCACACCTTAACACCTCATATTCTTATTTTTCATACATTATGTAATAGTTTGTTGAAATCCCGTGCCAAAGTAATTCTCTGGACAATCGCACGGCATCGTTGTATGGACTGTACATGATTTATTTATCAGTTGGAAAATTAAAATCTCCTTGGGCGAGAAAATTCAACTTTGGGTGGGAGAGAAGCGAGGGTTGTACCATCGGGCACTCCACCCCCACAACTCCCAATTGGTGATAGGGCAGTTGTGGAGAAAGTGGAGAGTTTCCCATACCTGGGCAGTGTGCTCATGACAGCAGAGGTCTCACTCCGAATCAGTCGAGTGGCATGATCTTTTCATCGGTTGCATAACGCTGTGTGCAAGCTACCTGGTCTGTCGCTCCGCACGAAGCTTCAGATCTTCTCGGCCACGGTCATTCCCTCCCTTCTCTACGCTTGCGAAACGTGGACCCCCCTCAAGGAACATCTTCGCCGGTTACAAATATTTAGGCTGGCCTGCCTACAATCCATCCTGGATTTAACCAGGCTGGATTGTGCGAGCTCATAAATCCTTGAAAGATCTGGACAAAGTCCCATCGGAGAGCTCCTCTGGCAGGCAAGGCTGCGTTGGCTGGGACATGTAGCCTGCATGCCCAGCCACCGCATGCCTAAACAGCTTTTGTTCGGCCGGATCGAGGGGGCTAAACGGGCGCGGCACGGGCTAGAGAAGAGATGGAGTGATGTGGTGCAGGAGGACGTGGAGCTGAGTGGACTTGCCGATGACTGGTACCAGCGGTGTCAAGATCGGCCTCTGTGGAGGAGGCACGTGAAGGACGCTACTGGGCAGTTGGAGGCAGTCGCCCTCCAACAACAACGGAGGGCGGAGGAGCGACGCTCACAACAACGAGCGGAGCACCGGGTGGCTAAAGCACAGCAAGTTGGTACAGTAGGGGGCACAGGTGGTGCATCAGCCAGTCATCTCAGTCAGTCGACCCGTGGCACCTGGGTCTGCCCCGTGACCTCCTGCCAGCGGGCATTCGACACTTCACGTGGCCTCAACATGCACATAGCCTGGCACAAGTGTCGTGGTGATGTCGCCACCACTTAGTGGCGAATGGCGGTTGTTGTTGTGTGTGGTCTGTGTGAGTGGTCTGTGCGAGTGGTCTGTGTGTGAGTGGTCTGTGTGTGTGTATGGTCTGTGAGTGTGTGGTCTGTGTGTGTGTATGGTCTGTGTGTGTGGTCTGTGTGTGAGTGGTCTGTGTGTGTGTATGGTCTGTGAGGGTGTATGGTCTGTGAGTGTGTGGTCTGTGTGTGTGTATGGTCTGTGTGTGTGGTCTGTGTGTGAGTGGTCTGTGTGTGTGTATGGTCTGTGTGTATGGTCTGTGAGTGTGTGGTCTGTGTGTGTGTATGGTCTGTGAGTGTGTATGGTCTGTGAGTGTGTGGTCTGTGTGTGTGTATGGTCTGTGTGTGTGGTCTGTGTGTGAGTGGTCTGTGTGTGTGTATGGTCTGTGTGTGAGTGGTCTGTGTGTGTGTGGTCTGTGTGTGTGTATGGTCTGTGAGTGTGTGGTCTGTGTGTGTGTATGGTCTGTGTGTGTGGTCTGTGTGTGAGTGGTCTGTGTGTGTGTATGGTCTGTGTGAGTGTATGGTCTGTGTGTGTGTATGGTCTGTGTGAGTGGTCTGTGAGTGTGTGGTCTGTGTGAGTGTGGTCTGTGTGAGTGGTCTGTGTGTGTGTGGTCTGTGTGTGTGTATGGTCTGTGTGTGAGTGGTCTGTGTGTGTGTGTGTATGGTCTGTGTGTGAGTGGTCTGTGTGTGTGTGTGTGGTCTGTGTGTGTATATGGTCTGTGTGTGAGTGGTCTGTGTGAGTGGTCTGTGTGTAAGTGGTCTGTGTGTAAGTGGTCTGTGTGTGTGTGTCCGGCAAAACAACCTCCTACCTCCTCGCGGTGCCGGACGGGCAACACTGTCGTGGGCAGTGCTGTGGGGGGAGGGCCAATGCCCATTGGCCTCTCCCCTCATGGCGTCTGTGACCACCACAGTGGCTAAACGGGGGCTCTGGACGGGTGCGAGGGGCTGGTAACCCCTCCACCTTCAATTAACCACCACTAAACCACGAATTAAACATAAACCTGTAACAAATAAGCTTGTGCCGGAGGCCCCGGGGGGTCAGGCTTTTATGACGTCTCCTGGCCAAACCCCATTTGGCGGAGCCAGGAGATTGAATTTTCACCCTCGGGGCTCCTCCAGAAACAACAAAAAACCATTGCGGATGGCCACGTGGAATGTTCGAACGCTCACTGCGGAGGAGAGGCTGCCACTCCTCTGTCGGGAGCTGGACCGGTACCGCCTGGATCTCTGTGGCATTCAGGAGGTCCGGTGGACCGGTTCTGGCTCCTGCCACCATGAGGGGTGGACAGTCCTCTACTCGGGGCAGGAGACTGCCAAACAACAGGGTGTGGCTCTTCTTCTGAACAAAAGAATGAAGGGGGCGTGGGAGCGTGGCGGTGAGGTGTGGGAAGCTGTAAGCCCCAGGATACTTTGGGCTCGCCTTCCCATCAACCAGAGGCGAGGAGTGGTGGTCGTGGTTACTTATGCCCCCACCGAAGACGAACATCCGTGGAGGGATGCAGGCAAAGCCGATGAGTCAGACTCTTTCTATGACCTCCTGTCACAGGTGCTGGCTAAAGTGGCCACTCGGGACAGAGTCATCTTGTTGGGTGACTTCAATGCCCGAGTTGGTCATGATGCTGGTACCTGGTCTGGAGTGATTGGAAGGCATGGGCCAGATCAGCTCAATAATAACGGTAGGAGGCTGCTAGATTTTTGTGCAGCCCATGGGCTTGTAATTACCAACACGCTCTTCCGGCATCGGCGCATCCACACAACATCATGGATACATGCCGGGTCCAAGCAAGAACATCTGCTGGACTACATAGTGACGGACCAGCGGATGCGAACCCATGTCCTTGACACCAGGACCTACCGTGGAGCTGATCTGTCCTCTGACCATCGACTAGTCATCTGTAAGATGCGCCTGCCTTTCTTCCACTCCGGTGGTGGGTGTACACCCAGGATCCCATTCCAACCAAAAGTGGCCTGGTCTCAGTTAGCTGATGAAAGTTGCAAGCGAGAATTTCATCATCGCTTGCAGCTGGGGTTGGCATCGTCCCCCACTCCACATGATGTCAAGGGGAAATGGGCGCGGTTTAAGACTGTGACTCATGCAGCTGCAATGGCTGCTTTGGGTACGCGGTCCAGACCTCCCCAGAAACCCTGGCTGACAGAGGAGGTGTTCAGGTTAATTGAGAAAAAGCGTCAGGCCCACTCTCATCGCCTACAGCATCCCACGTCAGAGAATGAGGAGGTTTACCGCAGCCTTCGCTCGGAAGTTCGGAGAGCCGTCAGGCGCTGTAAGGATGGGTGGTGGTCGCGGGTTGCTGAGGAGATGGAGTCTGCCTCAGTGGCCCGTGATCACAAATCACTATTTAACTCCATCAAAAAAGTAACCTGCAGCGCCACACCTATTACCATCATTAGAGGAAAAAACGGTGATCCAATCTCCGACCCCCAGAAACAGGTTTGCAGATTTGCTGAGCATTTCTGTGAGGTCCTGGGGGAGGGAAACATCATGGCACAAAGTGGTGACAACCCTGCTGAGGCTGCGGTGCCTCAAATATTGGAAGAGGTCACCCCCTGTGAGTGGCTGGCTGAGGTGCCATCTGTTGAGGAAGTACTGAAGGCGATCCGGAGTCTGAGACCAGGAAAGGCACCGGGCAGAGATGATCTCCCAAGCGAAATGCTGAGGGAGGGTGGCGTTTGTGCACAGACTGCCCTATATGACATCATAACAACAGTCTGGACCACTGGACGGGTTCCGCAGGACTGGAAGGATGCCCTGGTGGTTCCCCTCTTTAAGAAGGGGGACCGTACCGACTGTAACAACTACAGGGGCATCTCACTCCTCAGTGTGCCGGGTAAGGTCCTGGCAAGGATTATTCAACATCGCCTTGCTAGGCACGCTGAGGAGAGGCTTGCGGAGCCCCAATGCGGTTTCAGGAAAGGGCGGTCCTGCACAGATGCCATATTTTCTGTCCGTCTGCTACAGCAGAGGTGTAGGGAATTCCAAAAAGACCTACATCTCTGCTTTATTGACCTGGTCAAGGCCTATGATACCATCAGTAGGACTGGGCTCTGGGTTGTTCTTCGTGCTTTCGGAGTCCCTGACCCTCTGCTCACGATCATTAAGGACCTTCATGATGGTGAGCGGGCCCGGGTAAAACTACGTGGCCGGGAGTCGGAGCCTTTCCCTGTACACCTTGGGGTGCGACAGGGATGTCCTCTGGCTCCCACATTATTTAACATCTATTTTGACCGCGTTGTTCGTGAAGCCTTCAATAGCTGTACCGGGGGAATTTCCATTTGGTACAGATATAATGGGAGGCTGATCGACGCCCGGGTGCGATCAAGGGATGGCTCCCTATTGGTCAACCACGTTATGTATGCCGATGATTTGGTAATAGCTGCTCATTCAGAAGAGGAGGTGGAGGCGCTGCTGCTGAGACTGGAGCGTGCCACTAAGAGGTGGGGCCTTACCATCAGCCCCACCAAAACTAAGCACCTGCCTGGGTATTTTGTACCATCGGACACTCCACCCCCACAACTCCCAATTGGTGATGGGGCAGTTGTGGAGAGAGTGGAGAGTTTCCCATACCTGGGCAGTGTGCTTATGACCGACTCCAGTCTATCAGCAGAGGTCTCACTCCGAATCAGTCGAGCGGCAATATCTTTTCATCGGTTGCGTAACGCTGTGTGGAAGCTACCTGGTCTGTCGCTCCGCACGAAGCTTCAGGTCTTCTCGGCCACGGTCATTCCCTCCCTTCTCTACGCTTGCGAGACGTGGACCCCCCTGGTGGAGCATCTTCGCCGGTTGGAAACATTTAGGCTGGCCTGCCTACGATCCATCCTGGGTTTAACCAGGCTGGATTGTGTGAGGAGCTCACAAATCTTTGAAAGATCTGGGCAAAGTCCCATCAGTGAGCTCCTCCGGCAGGCAAGGCTGCGTTGGCTGGGTCATGTAGCCCGCATGCCCAGCCACCGCATGCCTAAACAGCTTTTGTTCGGCCGGATCGAGGGGGCTAGACGGGCGCGGCACGGGCTGGAGAAGAGATGGAGTGATGTGGTACAGGAGGACGTGGAGCTGAGTGGACTTGCCGATGACTGGTACCAGCGGTGTCAAGATCGGCCTCAGTGGAGGAGGCTCGTGAAGGACGCTACTGGGCAGTTGGAGGCAGTCGCCCTCCAACAACAACGGAGGGCGGAGGAGCGACGCTCACAACAACGAGCGGAGCGCCGGGTGGCTAAAGCACAGCAAGTTGGCACAGTAGGGGGCACAGGTGGTGCATCAGCCAGCCATCTCGGTCATCTCGGTCAGTCGACCCGTGGCACCTGCTGGGTCTGCCCCGTGACCTCCTGCCAGCGGGCTTTCGACACTTCACGTGGCCTCAAGGTGCACTTGGCCTGGCACAAGCATCGTGGTGACGTCACCGCCACTTAGTGGCGAATGGCGGTTGTTGTTGTTGTTGTTGTGTGTGTGTGTATGGTCTGTGTGTGAGTGGTCTGTGTGTGTGTGTATGGTCTGTGCGAGTGGTCTGTGCAAGTGGTCTGTGTGTGTATGGTCTGTGTGAGTGGTCTGTGTGTGTGTATGGTCTGTGTGAGTGGTCTGTGTGTGTAAGTGGTCTGTGTGTAAGTGCTCCGTGCGAGTGGTCTGTGTGTAAGTGGTCTGTGTGTGAGTGGTGTGTGTGTGTGAGTGATGTGTGTGTGAGTGGTCTGTGTGTGTGTGCTGCGTGTGTAAGTGGTGTGTGTGTGTGTGGTCTGTGTGTGTGTATGGTCTGTGTGTGATTGCTCTGTGTGTGTGTGCTGCGCGTGATGTCACCGCGCAGGTCGAATCAGCCACTGCTGCCCCGCTCTCTCTCTCTCTGACGTCGATTCGGTCTGCACCCGGCGTGCTGCTCGGCACGACGTCTCGCTCCAGCGCCGGGGGGCTTCTTTCAAGAACCCAATTCTAGTTTGAATCAACGGTTCCTGATGAAGCTCCCGGCACGTGACGCAAAACGTCGGACGTCCTGCCCGACCGTGCGAACACGAAGCGGAAAAGTGCATATTTAAAATTATCTTCTCTTTAATTGATTTACGGCTGCCCTTTTGGCGCAGGCTGCCATGGCAAGAGTGGCAGCTGTCTCCGTCTGGCGAGGCCATCGGCGGAGGTGTTGTTCGACGGTTACCACAAGATACAACCACGAACGCACACCGATGTCGCGGACGTACTAGCACCCGCCACAGGAATTTGGGATTTCCACCACTTTCTCTGGAGGGTGAGGTCACATGCTAACTTGAAAGGAGAAACCACTTTGATCAAGAGTCACAGAGGTGTCAAGTGTAACACAACTATAAATAATAATATTTGGTCCTTTAATATATTTGTTGCCGAAGGCCTAGCCGGCACGTCACCAGGTGTGTACGTACGTTGAACTTCTTCATGCTGATCGGAATCAAGCGGTTCTAAAGACATGGCTGTTACAATCTTGATGATTTCAAAGTGCAAAGCTCCCAGTGGTTTCCTAATATCGGATTGAAGAGCGTTCCAGACGGCCGCAGAACCGCATCTGAGAGCGCACGCAATGCGGTGCGCGTTGGTGGGTTGGCGGGATACAGGGCGGCGTTGTTTGACCGTACTTCGCCACCCTGGTCAGCAGTACGGGTTGGTGAAGGGCGGGTGAAGGGCGGGTGAAGGGCAGGTGAAGGGCGGGTGAAGGGCGGGTGAAGGGTTGGTGAAGGGTGGGTGAAGGGCGGGTGGAGGGCGGGTGAAGGGCAGGTGAAGGGTGGGTGAAGTACGCCAGGACCGAGGTTCACATATCACTCGCCGCCGATGTCAGCCGCGTCCGGAAATCAAATTCGGGTCGCCACGTTCCAAGTGCAGTGTTTCTCACCGCTGCACTCTTTGATTGGAAAGGGACTGGAGGCGGGCGGTGCAGGGCGGGGCAGGGCGGTTGCGTGCAGCAGCAGTGGCCATGCAAATCAACCAGGGAGGGGGGGGGGGGCCTTGGGCGACGACGAGAGGCCACCGTGCCACGCGTTTTGTCAGCTCCCGAGTTGCAGCTCCACGTGACTCAAAATCTCCTGCAGCTGAGTGTCCAGGTCGCCGTCCGGTGCGTCGTTCCGGATGTTCCAGTCCCACTGCACTCCGGAATCCAGGCCGCACTCCGACTCCATGTCGTCGATCCCTGCACGGACAAAAGGCAGCTTGTGTCCTTAGCATCGATTGCAATTCAATTGAATCCATCAGATTCAGTCGAAATTGAAAACTCATTTCCAAATTGAAAACTCGTTTCTTCAGAACCGCTTCTTGCGTTGCGTTTGTTTGCCTTCCCCCGCACCACCGATTAGGACGGTTGGCTACGTACGGTGTGAAAGAAGTTCAACAAACATACGTACATCACACCTGTTTAAGAAGTCGGGGGTCAGGTGACACGGTTATTCTGACTTCCTGCATTTTATTCTAACTGCCTGGATTTGCATGTACAGGGCATTGCTTAGAATCCGCAGCAATTCAGAGCGGCTGACATCACATTTCATCTCGATCGTGTCAATGCCCTGCTGCAATCTTGCCAAGGGAACCCCCGGCGGCAGCTGTCCCTTTGTGACTCAAGGTGTTCGCTGGAGCGGACCGCAAATGGGAATTTCAACACGTAGGCTGTCGCGACCAATATCATCCATAATACAAGTGTTTTTGTTGTGGCTTTGCTATCCAACACACCGGTGTGCTGTACGAGCAACGAATTGGCACGTTCTGTTTACGTGACAAACCTTACTAGTTGGCTGTGTTGGGTGATGGTGGGTTTAACGACCCACTTATATATTTACGCGATCTAACCCCAAAAAAAAAACCTGTTTTATAAACGGGCATTTGTCTGCAAGTAAGGGGCGATGTGGCTTCGTGTTCATCAATAATATTTTACTTTCATTTCGTAATTCATTCTTGGGCGAGGCCACGCAACGATGTGGCCACATTTGTTCACGTCAAGACCCCTAAACGCGGCAACACAAATTCTACCGCCGCACCGCGTAAAATAAAAACGCGCGCCGGATATTTTGATCGCTTCAGCTCCCTGGCCGGCGCGGCTCGGAGAAGGAGGATCTCCCTCGCAAGCCGCATTCAGCAGCGGCTCGACAAGCGACGATTCACTTCCAACAGCGCCAAGCATCTCTCCGGGGAAAGGCCTCGCAAGTCAAGAGGAACGACCCGGGGAGTCCGATATTCGGCCACATCACTACGCGGCCTTCATGCGCGAATCAATTGCGAACCGTGATATTGCCCGCGAACATCGACTCCTCGCTCAGACTGTTTGACTCGGCTGGTGATCCAGTGTGGGCCGCAGCATTCGTGGGGAGCAGGAGCGCTTGGCACACTGCGGCTCTGAACCCGGTGGCCCGAGTTCGATTGCCGCTCACGACTACCAACACCAATGACTCCAGGGACTCCCCTAGGTCGATGCAAACTGAAATGAGTACCTGGTGCTGTGTGTAAACATAACCGCCACTGGGGAGACAAAGGCGGGCGGGCCTAGTGCTGGCTACCCACTGCATCGTGTGCCGTGCCGGCGTTCATAGGTGCTACTCGCTAGCGGCTCTTGTTCCAAAAGACTGTTAAAGGCTATACGAGGGATCTTTGTCTTTGTTGTCGCTGCATTAAAAGTAAAGAATTAACTCGAACGCGGACGGCGTAGCGCCAACCAATCTTTACGTTCAAGTCGTCGTTTTGTCAATCCTGCTACCCCCCCGCGGCAGTGGTCAGAGGGGATTGTTTGGCCATACTTCACCGGTCACTGCACATTGGTGAAGCGTGGGGAGGAGGTCACACACCTGGGGAGCATACAAGTACTGTACAGTAAAACGATGGCTGTTGCTATACCACCCTCTCGCTGCCCAGAGCTCGATAGCCTCAAGCACCTGTTATGCACGACGGGTCACTCATTCAAGCAATTCTATCCGGCCTCAACCCCCCGCGAGGCTTGCGAGATCTGACGGGACCAGGTCACAGGCGCAGCGGAGTCCCGGGTCAGAAATCGCTCGCCGCCGATGTTTAGCCACGGTCAGGAATGGGACTCGGCTCGCCGGGTCCATAGCGTGCCGTGTGCCAACCACCACTCCCCGCCCGCGGCTTGATAACGATCGCTTGGTCGTGGATTTTTCCAGGCAGGTGGCCCGGCGACCCGAGTTCGATCCCCGACCGCGGCCGACATCGGCGGCTGCGAGTCCGTGAGATCGATTCCTGGACCAGAGGGAAGACCCAGCCAATCATCCCTCGCAATATTCGCCGCCCCCCCCCCCCAGCCGCAGGAATGTGGAATTTCCACCGCATGCCCAGGGGCTGTGCCTGAGAGGTCACAGTCAAATGCCTTAACTCTCATTCGAGTGGGAAGCGGATATTTTTCTTTTGAGTAATTATTGACTCCACGATGGTGAAAGCGGGGGCGAGTTTAATCGCGCGTGCGTAGGTCGGTGAGCTCCAGCACGAGGTTAATCTACTTTGTTGTTTCCACCGTGGCGCTTGGCAGAAGAAGTTGGCACAGTAGGGGGCACAGCTGGTGGTGCATCTGCCGGTCGTCTCAGTCAACCCATGGCACTTGCTGGGTCTGTCCCGTGACCTCCTCCTGCCAGAGAGCCTTTGACGCTTCACGTTGCGGCCTCAAAGATGCACCTGGCCTGGCACAGGCGCCGTGGCGACGTCACCGTGACTTAGTGGCGAATGGTGGACGTTGGTGGGCAAGCTGCGATGGTGCAGCGGTTAGCGCGCTGCGCATACGAATCCAGAGAAACAAAGTTCGATTCACGTTCATGAGCAACATCAGCTACTCCCGAACAGCACTCGGCCTCCGACAGTCCGTGAAGGTTATACAGGAACCTGTTATCTTTGCTGCTAGGCAACGGTGCTCCGGAGAAGGTTTTAAAGTTAAGCGAGGATCACGCTGACATTTTTTTTTCATCGTCTTGCACGCGCTCTTTATCTTTGACAATAAGAACGCGGATTTGTTGATATTTTTTGCGGTGGCGGCGTTGCTGTTTAGGGTATTTTTATGGGAACCAAGATAGCTTTGCCTGATACCCCCACCCCACCCCACACGTGCCAAACAGACCTTTGTCTTTCCGGTTATAAATACAGTTTGACGTTCCCGTCGCAAATGCCTTCTTTTCTTATTATTTGTTTTCTTTCCTTTTTCTTTATTTCTTATTTTTGTTCTCTTATATTTTTTCTTTTTTTCTTCTATACTCTTTGGGTCTTTCCGTAAAGTCACGTAGGTACAAAATAAATTAAATCACGACGTTTCGGGCGCAACACAAGTGCCCGTCATCAGGTGGAAACAACCACAGCAATAAACAATTGCTGAAGTGGGCAAAAGGAGAACTCAGCCAAAATGAATCCTTTGCCAACATTTTTTTCTTTTATTAATATTCTTTTTCTTTAGTCTTTCCTTATTTTTTCTGTCTTTTTAATCTTTCTTCTTTTAGTTTTCCTTTTTCTTTATTTTTTATTTTTGTTTTCTTCCATTTTCTTGATTTCTTCTTTTAGTTTTCTTTACATTTTTTTCTTTTTCTTTTCCTTTCCCCCCCCACTCACTCAGCCAAAATGAATCCTTTGCCAACATTTTTTGTTCGAATCGTACGACGATTAGATTTGAGATTGCATCGATTTCAGCAGCAGCAGCAGCGGGGAAGCTTGGCCTGGGGAGCCGCTCGACTCGGTTATTTCGTGGGCGACCGGCGACGGCTCGGATGTTGCACCGTACAGATATTCGTTACGAGATACACTTTAAAAAAATGTATGCGGCTTGTTTTATATGGGAGAGTCTCCAGACACATTTTCAGGAGAGGTCCCTGCCAAACTTGTTTTCGCAGGAGGGGAGAGGTGAGAGGGAGGGGGAAGCGATGCTGCTGCTGCTGTGTGACCCCCTGACAGAGGAATTTTTCAGGGAATTCTTCAGCACTGGGGATGTTTTGGGTGAGATCACTTTCATTGTATGGAGGTGGGTGGGAGGGGGGTTCAGCCATGGGAGGGCACCGGGGGGAATCGGGAGGAAATGCACGCAGAACATGGGCAGAGAGCGGAGAGCGGAGAGCGCGTACAGAACCCACGCAAGAGAAAGGCTCCCCCCTCTCCCCCCCCAGGTCAGGAATCGAACCCTGGACCCTTCTTGTGCCGCGCGGCACAAATTGTTTACCTCCGCGCTGCCACGACCCCCGCCGCCCGTTAAAAGTGATTCTTTGCCAATGCCTCGACTTACCGAGCGATTGCCCGCGGTTGGAGCATGCAACCACTTCATTTGTAATGGTTAATATCCAGTAGACATCTGATTGGTGATGACACCTATTTAAGAAGGCGGGTCAGGTGACACGGATAGTTTGACGTCCTGGATTTTCCTCAGGGCTTCCTGCATCTTGTACTAACGATGCCCTGGTGGCGTTGTAAACAAAAGCTCGTGAATATAATTGAGCTGAATATGGTTGTGAGAACTGCCCTTCAAACTTTCCCGTGAGCGAGTGGGTGCGTCAGCGAGTGGGAGTAACTGGGCGAGTGAGTGGGTGAGTGGATTAGTGAGTTTGTGTGTGAGTGTCTGGGTCAGTCAGTAGGTGTGTGAGTGAGTGGGTGCATCAGTGAGTGGGAGTGTGAGTGAGTGGGTGAGTGGATTAGTGAGTTTGTGTGTGAGTGTCTGGGTCAGTCAGTAGGTGTGTGAGTGAGTGGGTGCATCAGTGAGTGGGAGTGTGAGTGAGTGGGTGAGTGGATTAGTGAGTTTGTGTGTGAGTGTCTGGGTCAATCAGTAGGTGTGTGAGTGAGTGTGTGGTATTACAGTGGTTAGCACGCTGTTCCACAAACCTGAGTTCAATTCCCGCGCACAACCAATAAAGTGGAGAATATCTGAGCCAGTTCTGGACCTCCCCCCTAAACATGGCCACCCACTCCCTCGTTGCTGTGCCAGCACTCCATAGGTGATACTCGCTAACAGCACTTGCCCCAACAGTCTGGTAAGGCTATACGGGGATCTTTGTCTTTGTGTGAGTGTGTGGGTTGGTTGGTGAGTAAGCGAGTGGGTGGGTGAGTTAGCGAGCAGAAACATAAAAAACCTGCCGCGTCGTTCAAGGCCTGTGCCCGTGACGTGGGCGACTTGGGGCCGATTCCCGTGTGGCCCCCAAGCTGTGAACTCACTGCCACCTCGGGTCCCCAAGCCGCGACTCTCGGCTCATTCTAACCCCCCCCACCCGCCTTAACACCGATGTCTTTTCATTTGCTCACTATGGTTTAGCTTCACCTTTGGGGTGTTTATACCATGTGGCAAGGTGTTCCTATCACAAGCCTGCACGCTTAGAGTAGGAGTTTACTGGGTTTCATTTCCTTGTTATAATTGTATTTTTTTTTGCATCAACAGCACTTTGCGATCTCCGGATGAAAGGTGCTTTAGGAGTAAATGACTATTCATCTGTTTGGCTGTGTCGGGTGGTGGAGGGTTTTATGATACAGATTTGGCCAAAGCATTACGTGGCCTAACCTAAGCATTACGGAGTGCCATGGTGGCGAGATGTTAACTACCTCGCCTGGTATACAGGAGGTCGTGGGCTCGATCCCGACCCCGACGCCTGCTGCTGCTGCTGTATATTTGTAATTTGCGTGTCTCTCTCCCTGTGCTCGCGCAGATTTTCTCCGGCTCCTCCAGTTTTCCCTCCACATTTAGAATCAACATCACGCTTTTTAGAGTATTTGGTTGCAATACATTTGCACACGACGAGCCACTTCGCTGAGCTAACATCCGTGGCCAGGTCGCTTCTGAAAAACAGCTACATAGCTCAGTGGGCCTCCTTACTTGGTAAAAAAAAAAAATAGCTTAGTTTATAAAACAATTATGCTTTTAAAACTAAATGTATTTACATATTACGACAGTTAGACGTCAATTATCTCCGGGGGCGGCAGTTGAACCAATCGTGCGAGTCTCTATCGGGGCTCTCCGCGTGGGCGACACGCGTCACGGCAAGCGGCGGCAGCGGCCCGCCGGTGGCGAAGAACAACGGAGCGGCAGCCGAGCAGCGGCGGACCGAGCGTGGGAAACACTCGCAAACCCCGGCCTGCTCCTCCACAGCGGCGCACACACAGGTGGCGGGGGAACAGAAGTGAGCAGCAGGATGCGACGGTGGTGGTGGTGATGTCATTGTAAGTGCTGTTAGCGAGTAGCACCTATGAAGGCCAACAGGGCACATGAGGGGGTGGGTGGCCAGCACCACGCCAGGTCGCCTTTGTCTCCACAGTGGCGATGTTTTTGTTCACATCGCCACTAGGTACTAAATTGAGGCTGAGTCGACTTAGGGGAGACCCATGACCGGTTCAGATAATCGTCACTGGTGTCGGGTGGCCGTGAGCAGGAATCGAACTCGGGTCGCCGGGTTCGCAGCGCAGCGTGGCGCTAACCGCTGCACTGTCGCTATACGGTGGCATCTTTGTCTAAGGTGGGGGGGTAATGGTGATGCAGGCGATGGTGTCACCGCGGACGCGCCTGCCGTGAACACCCATCCTCGCTTCCGCCTCGTGCCGTCGGAGGCCGAGACCCGCACGGTGCGCGTCACCGCGCCGTGGTGGCGAGCGAACCAATCCACGTCCGATCGGCGTCGCGCGTCGCTGATTAACTGCAGGGCCGGGGGGAGGGGGAAGGGTGGAGCAGGGGAAAAGAAGGGTACAATGTGCATGTCAATAAAACACAGGCAAAGATAAAGCCCCGTGCAGCCCTTGTACGTATGCATGTTGAACGTCTGTCGCACCGTACGTAGCCAAACGTGCTAAGCGGAGGTGCGCGGGAAGGACAACCAACGAAACACAACAAGCAGCTCTAAGGAGATGAGTGTTCACGTCGGGGCAAGTGGTGTTAGCAAGCGCCGAGGGCGTGGTGTGGCCAGAGCCAGGCATCCCGGTACAAACACGGCCACGAAGACAAAGATCCCCCCCCCCCCATAGCTTTCACGGACTGTTCAGGCAAGTGCTGTTAGCGAGCAGCACCTATGAAGGCCGGCACAACACACGAGGGGGTGGGTGGCCAGCACCACGCCCGGCCGCCTTTGTCCCCACACTGCTGACGTTTGCACACCGCACCGGGTACTCGTTTCAGGCTGAGTTCGACCTCCGGGGGAGGCCCCGGACCGGTTCAGAAAACCGTCACTGCTGCTGTTGGCTGCGAGCGGGAATCGAACTCGGGTCATCGGGTTCGTGACGCAGTGCGCTAACCGTTGCTCCACCTCTTTCCACACACACGCACACACGCACACACACGCACACGCACACACACGCACACACACACGCGCACACACACACACGCACACACACGCACACGCGCACACACACACACGCACACACACGCGCGCACACACAAGCGCATGGCATACACATGTATGGACGCGGACGGAGATGTTCAGTGGAGACTTTTCAGCAAGAGATGTTAGTGAGCACCTATAAAGAGGCATGAGGTGGTGTGGGGTGCGGTGGGGTGCAGTCAGCACCACGTCTGGCTACCCTTTGTGTGCCAACGTTTGTACAACCATATCAGGTACTCATTTAAGGCTGAGTCCACCTTGGGGAGGCCCAGTGGGGGAAGGGGGGGGGTGCAGCGCACTCACCACTCAGCCACCGATGATCTAACCCCTGTGCCGCTCTCTCTGTTCCACTGATGGACAATGAGAACTGACCCCGAGAGCGACTGTGGTTGCTAACCTCAAACCACAGTCCACGCACATAGAGACACACAGACTCACAGACTCACATAGACACCAATAGGCTCACATCGAGACACAGACTCACATAGACACCCATAGGCTCACGTCGAGACCCAGACTCACATAGGCTCACATCCAGACCCAGACTCACATAGACACCCATAGGCTCACGTAGATACACAGACTCACATAGGCTCACGTCCAGACCCAGACTCCCATAGACACCCATAGGCTCACGGAGAGATCCAGACTCACATAGACACCCATAGGCTCCCGAAGAAATACACAGACTCACACAGACACCCACAGTGGAAGAGACAGTGGCCCAGTGGTGAGACCGTCGGTGGCTAAGTGGTGAATGCACCGCACTGTGAACTTCATTCTCAGCGGCGTACATCTACACGCACCTCCGATTAGCACGGCTACGTGCGGTGCTCAAGTTCAACATACACACGCACATGCCAAGCGTGTTCGGCACCAACCCAACTTTCCACCGGAATCATCGGTGGCCGGATCCTGACTCACGGAACGGTGGGGGAATGGGGGGGGGGGGCAACCGATTCTGAAAATGCGCACCGGGGTTTACTGCCGACCCCGTCGTTCGACAACCCCAAGAGGGGGCCCCCCCCATCGCTGGTCGCGGCAGCAGCTACCTCCTCCTGCAGCAGACTTCCCAGCAGCAGCTGAGCGCGCACACGTCATCACGTGACCCAGTTCCCAGTCCGTCCTAACGCTGGCGCAGGAAGGACCTCGCTTCGATAAATCAGCCATCAACTCTCACGCCAACCGCGCTTCCTTTCTGCGTAAATCCCCTCTCCCCCCCCCACCGACCACGTGCATGCACGTGCGTCTGTTAGCGCCACGTGCGTCTGTTAGCGCCGCGTGCGTCTGTTAGCGCCGTCTGCGTCTGTTAGCGCCACGAGCGTCAAAGCTCGACGTTTAAGGCTTATGCCGATGCACAAAGTCAGAGGAGTGGATCAGGGGCAGGTGGTGGTGGAGGAGGGGGGAGACGATGTGAAATGTAACATTCAAACGGTACAGAACAGGTGGAGAGAATGTAGAGACTCCACTCACTCACTGCAGAATAGGAGAAGATCATACAAACTCCACTCACTCTCACTCTGCAGAACAGGGGTGGAACATACAAACTCCACTCACTCTCACTCTGCAGAACAGGGGGAGATCATACAAATCCACTCACTCTGTAGAACAGGAGGAGATCATACAAACTCCACTCACTCTCACTCTGCAGAACAGGGGTGGAACATACAAACTCCACTCACTCTCACTCTGCAGAACAGGGGTGGAACATACAAACTCCACTCACTCTCACTCTGCAGAACAGGGGGAGATCATACAAATCCACTCACTCTGTAGAACAGGAGGAGATCATACAAACTCCACTCACTCTGTAGAACAGGGGGAGATCATACAAACTCCACTCACTCTGTAGAACAAGGGGAGATCATACAAACTCCACTCACTCTGTAGAACAGGGGGAGATCATACAAACTCCACTCACTCTGTAGAACAGGGGGAGATCATACAAACTCCACTCACTCTGTAGAACAAGGGGAGATCATACAAACTCCACTCACTCTGTAGAACAGGGGGAGATCATACAAACTCCACTCACTCACTCTGTAGAACAGGGGTGGAATATACAAACTCCACTCACTCTCACTCTGTAGACCAGGGGGAGATCATACAAACTCCACTCACTCTGTAGAACAGGGGGAGATCATACAAACTCCACTCACTCTGTAGAACAGGGGGAGATCATACAAACTCCACTCACTCTGTAGAACAAGGGGAGATCATACAAACTCCACTCACTCTGTAGAACAGGGGGGGATCATACAAACTCCACTCACTCTCACTCTGTAGAACAAGAAGAGATCATACAAACTCCACTCACTCTGTAGAACAGGGGGAGATCATACAAACTCCACTCACTCTCACTCTGTAGACCAGGGGGAGATCATACAAACTCCACTCACTCTGTAGAACAGGGGGAGATCATACAAACTCCACTCACTCTGTAGAACAGGGGGAGATCATACAAACTCCACTCACTCTGTAGAACAAGGGGAGATCATACAAACTCCACTCACTCTGTAGAACAGGGGGGGATCATACAAACTCCACTCACTCTCACTCTGTAGAACAAGAAGAGATCATACAAACTCCACTCACTCTGTAGAACAGGGGGAGATCATACAAACTCCACTCACTCACTCTGTAGAACAGGGATGGAATATACAAACTCCACTCACTCTGTAGAACAGGGGGAGATCATACAAACTCCACTCACTCTCACTCTGCAGAACAGGGATGGAATATACAAACTCCACTCACTCTGTAGAACAGGGGGAGATCATACAAACTCCACTCACTCTGTAGAACAGGGGGAGATCATACAAACTCCACTCGCTCTCACTCTGCAGAACAGGGGGAGATCATACAAACTCCACTCACTCTGTAGAACAGGGGGAGATCATACAAACTCCACTCACTCTCACTCTGCAGAACAGGGGGAGATCATACAAACTCCACTCACTCACTCTGTACAACAGGGGGAGATCATCCAAACTCCACTCACTCACTCTGTAGAACAGGAGGAGATCATACAAACTCCACTCACTCTCACTCTGCAGAACAGGGGGAGATCATACAAACTCCACTCACTCACTCTGTACAACAGGGGGAGATCATCCAAACTCCACTCACTCACTCTGTAGAACAGGAGGAGATCATACAAACTCCACTCACTCACTGCAGAACAGGGGGAGATCATACAAACTACACTCACTCTCACTCTGCAGAACAGGGGGAGATCATACAAACTCCACTCACTCACTCACTCTGTAGAACAGGCGGAGATCATACAAACTCCACTCACTCTGCAGAACAGGGGGAGATCATACAAACTCCACTCACTCTGCAGAACAGGGGGAGATCATACAAACTCCACTCACTCTCACTCTGCAGAACAGGGGGAGATCATACAAACTCCACTCACTCTACAGAACAGGGGAGATCATACAAACTCCACTCACTCTGCAGAACAGGGGGAGATCATACAAACTCCACTCTGTAGCACAGGGGGAGATCATACAAACTCCACTCACTCTACAGAACAGGGGGAGATCATACAAACTCCACTCACTCTGCAGAACAGGGGGAGATCATACAAACTCCACTCACTCTCACTCTGTATAATAGGGGGAGATCATACCAACTCCACTCACATTCACTCTGTAAAACAGGGGGAGATCATACAAACTCCACTCACTCTGCAGAACAGGGGGAGATCATACAAAGTCCACTCATAAAGAGTCGGGAATCGGACCCAGGCATTTCTTGGTGCGAGGCACGCCTCTTACTGCCACTTCTGCCAACATCCTGCCGCCCAGAACGTTTTCGAGTCCCGCCTCTGCCAAGGGGGCCAACCGCCACGACATCACAACACCGGAGACGACGAGACGGGAGCCAAAACAATGTTGGGAAATTGGGGACAAAACCAGAAACTCCAAGCACGAGCATCACCGCCACTACCCCCCACGGCCACGACTTTGCATCGTGGCCGTGGTGGGGGGGGGGGGAGATATTACGGTAATCGCGTGAGGGGCCAGGAAATCTCGGCGTGTTTTTGTTTTGTTAACATTCTCAACGTGCTGGGCGGGGGTCGTGGTGGTGGAGGAATCTTGTTTCTTGTTGAACGAGAAAGCCCGAAGCTGTCCTGCCACTCGGGGAGTGGCAAAAGCGCCGGAGCCGTTGCAGGGAAAACGATTTCTCTCTAGCGGCGTGAGAACCAAAAGAACGACCCCTCGTTAGTCATCATCGTTGTTGTTGTAGTCGTTGCCAAACGCAATAACGGTTTTTTTGTTGTTGGGTTAGATCGCGTAAATATGAATGTGCCGTTAACCCGCCAGCCATCAACGCCTCCGATAAGCACGTTTGGCTATAACGGTGCGAAAGAAGTTCCACATACATACGTACTTTAGCAAGGTTGGCTAAGTTCCACATACATACGTACGCTAGCACGGTTGGCCACGTACGGTGAAAAACAAGTTCAACATACACACATGCCACCCGACAAAGCCAATTAGTAAGGTTTGTCACGTGAACACAACGCGCCAAATTGGTTACTCCTTCAGCACTAACCGGCTGCGTTGGAGAGTAAACCCACAACATTTACCGTATGAGTATTGTGACGTTTAGCTGCCCATGACAACCGGCTTCATCGGGCACAACCTTTAGGATTGATAACATTGGTCGCGGAAGCCTACTACGTGTTCAACTCACTATTATCGTTGCCGTTGTTATTGCTGTTGCTATATTACTGCTTGTCTACGCAGGGTACGCCCAGCCGAGTTTCGTGCATCTTCTAGTGGCAGGGTCTTGCCGAGGTTTTGCGGTGGGAGGCGATGATTGCTCCTGCTGCTTGTGCGTTAACACTTTACAGAGCGCCTCCGATGAAGAGCGCCTCCGATGAAGAGGCGGCGCTTAACATTACGAAAACAAAAACGGGACAAACAGAGAAGTGATTCAGATGGCAGGGGAGCGCAAGGAATGAGGAACAGGTGACCAAGATCGAGGGTGCCTAGGAGGGGGGGGGGGGGTGAGGGAAGGGGAGGACGCGGGAATGGGCAATGGAGATAAGGTGAGCTTTGATTTGCGGCGTAATATTCAACATTTGGCGAAGATTTAGAGCGAGATGCGGGCACACGAGGGCCCACTCTTTGACACCGCAGGATATTTGGCGTCCACATACCGTGTCAACCCATACGGTTTAACCCGTATTCTTGTACAACTTGTACAGGGAAATTGCGTTTTTCAGGTCCGTACGGCGTACAGCCGTTTCAAGACGGGGAAAAAAATGTCTATATGTTTGTGTTTCTCCCTTGTGATGGGACTTTGTAGGATGAACGTTGAGATTTATAAGGGCACGGGGTGACCAATAAGGTCTGAATTTGTCTGTAATAAGGAGACACTGCTAAGGGGTTGACAGGTTTGCGTCCACTGTGAATCGGATGGCGCGCAATAAATTTTCACGGTGAATATTCAGCAAAACCGCGGTGTTAGCCGGAGCGGCTGAACTGGGTGGGACGCGTGTGTGCAGGACAGGGGGCGGGGGGAGGGGCGATTGCCGTGACGGGTGTTGGAGCGGTCTCCAACGAGCCCGGACGCCAAGGGGAAGAGAAGGCCTAAGGCCAGATGGGCGGGATGAGACCGTCAGGGCAGAGCTTGGGAGGTGGCTGCGTGGCGACCGTGCATCAGCTGCGGGAACCGGCGGAAAGATGTGGCTGAAAGCCGTCGGTAGCGAGGAGGTGCCGTGTTGGCAATGGCCATGGCGGTAGTGGTGTTCGCGGTGGTCGTGGCGGCGGTGTTGGTGGCGGTGTTGGCGGTGGTGTTGGTGGCGGTGGTCGTGGCGGCGGTGTTGGCAATGGCCATGGTGTTGATGGCGGTGTTGGTGACGGTGTTGGTGGCGGTGTTGGTGACGGTGTTGGTGGCGGTGTTGGTGGCGGTGTTGTGGTGTTCGCGGTGGTGGCGGTGGTCGTCGCGGCGGTGTTTGCGGCGGCACCGGCGGGCCGGGTTCCTCACCCACACGGGGCACCGCGCCCCGTCGCTTTGCGTCGCCAGTCGACAGAAGAAGCCGGGGTCGGCGGACCGACGAGCCTCGCCCCAGCGGATCATGTCCCCCCGGTAGCGCTCCTTGTAGTCGCTCGCGTCCAGCAGCTTGTCCAGCTCCAGCTGGTGCTCCTGCCGCAAACAGCGCCGCCCGTCCTTCCATCGGCTCCGTCCACCCACGCTCATCGGGGTTTCTCCCGCGCACGGCAGGGTAATGCGGCCCGTTCGGTTAGATTCGTAAAATAAATAAATAACAAAATAACGAATCGTGACACGGGGTGGGATAACGCGGCGTTAGCACAGACTGGGAACTGGGTCGCGTGGTGCAGACAATCGTTGAGGTATAAATCGATGCGGTCATTTGACACCGAGATGAAGCCGGTTGTAATTACTGGCGAAACATCGTACTCAGAATGTAAATGTTGAGAGTGACGAATTGGCCACGTTCTGTTTACGTGACAAACCTTGCTAAATCGGGTGGTGGCGGGTTTAACGACACATTTATAAATTTACGCGATTTAATCCCAAAAACCTCTATTATGAACTCCGAGTAGCTTCTCACAGCCGATGTCATGATTCACAATTGGTTTTTGGGTTAGGCCACGTAACGATCTGGACCAAATGTATGTCGCAAAGACCCCCACTCCCCCCCGCCACTGACCCGCCACAGCCAAATAAAGTTGTCGCTTGGTGCAGAAACGCGCCGAATGTTAACGTTTCAGCTCGCTCAACGGCGACTTGAAGAGCAATGCTCACAACCACATTGAGCAGCAGGTCGACACTCGGGACAAGATAGACGAAGTCGGAACAACCGTGTCAGCTGACGCGGCTTCTTAAGTAGACAACCATCAATGCGGTCAGCGCCGGCTTTACTGGTGGAAGGGCGACCACCAGAGAGAGCTCTCGACAGCCACTCTAGTGGGTATTTGGCCTACTCTTCCACGCTGGCTGGTATGTCTTGGCAGCGGTCAGAGGGGCCCACACTTCACCGCCACCGCAAGCGACCTGCTGATCGACTTTGGTGCTAAACTCAATTCTCCTGCTCGCTAGACAGAGGGGCGGTGGAGTGGGGCGATGTGGAGAAGCAAGAAGATGGCTCCTATTGTTTCAACTGCCACACGGGGAGACGGAATCGAACCGGAGACCTCTGGATCGCAAGCTCAGTACTTGCGAGCACTACAACCGCTGTGGCAGTTAAACTAAAAACTACACTGTTTTTATTTTACTCAGTAAGGTCCAAGGAACTATAGCTCTTTTTCAGAAGCGACCTGGTCACCAGCGGTAGCTCAACGAAGTGACTTAACATGTCGAAATTTAGAGCTGCCAAATGCTCTAAACGCGTGATGTAGATTCGACATGTGGAGGGGAAATGCAGTGCCAGGAGAAACATCCACATGACTACGGGGAGAACACGCAAACTCCAAATTTACAGAAAGTGTCAGGGTGGGGATCGAAACCCACGACCTCCTGTACACCAGGCGAGGTAGTTAACATCTCCTAGCCACCGTTCTACGGTATCCCTTGAAAACAGTAGCGCAAAAATATACTTCACAGGCCTTTTGTCAATCCGCTGCAGGATGAAGGCGTTGGTGCCATGGGAGAGAACTCACTTTGGCTGCGGCTTCTCTCGACATTCGCCCCCCCCCCTCCTTTCCCCCCCCCACTTGATCGAGCAATGAGAGCCAGCGCCCTCGAGTGAACTCACCTTGGCGAACTGGCTCTTCAGCGGTCCAGACAGTCGCAGGATCGCACACACGTCTTCTCCCAGCCTGCAACGAGAACAAGAAACGCAACGCGGCGCTTACGGTTTGGTGAACAGCCGAGACAAAGATTCCCCAGCAGGGCCAGATAACTACAAAACCTTGCTTTATCTTGGCAAGTAAGGCGCCACTGAGCTGTATAGCTCTTTTTCAGACGCGACCTGGCTATCACAAATGATAGCTCAACAAAGTGGCTTATCATTTAGAGCGTCCAAATACTCTAAACGCGGGATGTCGATTCTAAATGTGGAGGGAAAAACTGGAGGACTCGGAAACAAATACATGGAGAGAGAGAGAGAAACCAACTCTAAATATACAGGCAGCAGGCATCAGGGTGAGGATCGAACCCACGACCTCCTGCATACCAGGCGAGGTAGTTAACATCTCCTAGCCACCGTGATGATGATGAGAGAGACGCAAACTCCAAATATACAGCAGGCGACAGGGTTGGGATCGGACCCACGACCTCCTGCATACCAGGCGAGGTAGTCAACATCTAGCCACCGTGATGATGATGATAAGAGAGACGCAAACTACAAATATACAGCAGCAGGCGTCAGGGTGAGGATCGAACCCACGCCCTCCTGCATACCAGGCGAGGGAGTCAACATCTCCTAGCCACCGCGCCACATCAAGGATGGCACAGCGGCGACACTCGCGACTCGTTTCGAATTCTGACTCGGGAGCCTTTCCGTGTGGAGCTCGTGCGTTCTCTCAATTGGACGTCCTCTGGTTTTGATCGTGTGGGCAATGTCGACGGGCCCTCATGCTAACTACAGCCGTGCACCCTCCACCACCCGACATGGCGAGATTAAATCGAGACGTCGCGTCGCGGGCGAACGCGCCCATGGATTTTGTTTTTCAGCAAAAAACCGGTTACGTAGGAAAAGCCCACGCTCAAGTTTGCCAAACATGGGACCTTACTTGCCAGTAAAGTATAAGAAAAGGTTTTTACCTTGTATTTGTTTGAATGTGTGGTTAATGCAGACATGATTCCTTGTAAAATGTTTCTGTTTGGGGTTTGAACATCTTGACACTTGTTTTGCCAGGAAGGGGTAAAACCAGTTCTTATAAATGTTTGGCAATTAACAAAATTTCCCTGCTGGCTTTGTCTGGCGGTGGATGGTTATGGGCTTGATTGACGTGACACCTACGTGCTCAAACCCAGAATAACTCGGCACATGCGCCCGCGTGAGCGTGCGAGCATGTGTACGGTGCTGGCCACTCAACTCCTCGTGTGCTGCAGCGGTCTTCATAGGTGCTCGCTAACAGCTTTTGCCCCAACAGTCTGTTCAGGCTAGACGGGGGATCTTTGTATTTGTGGCCTTAAAATAAGAAAAGAATATATCACCGGCAACTTTTCAGGCAATAGCCTTCTTCATAAGCACGTACCTTTACCTGGCATGTGTTATTTGTGTGTCGCCTTAAAGGGGAAAAAAAATAGGTGACGTTTTGGGCAAAGGCCCTTCTTCATGGTATATAGAGAGGCTGCCAGTAGACAGAGAGACAGAGTGGATAGGTAAGGGCTGCAGAGTGCCACTTGTTTGCACTGTGGGGCGTGATGAGAATGCAATTATTTTTTTCTGTGAGCGGAGAATCAAAGTTTAACACGTTGCAGGCTTTCGCGACCAATATTATTCACAAATGTTTTTGGATTAGATTGCATACGTATAAATGCGTCCTAACCCTCCACCACCCGACACAGCCAATGGTAAGGGATTTGTCACGTAAACAAAACGCCAAATAGTTACTAGTATAGTGTATTGTATAGAGTAGTGTGTAGTCGTGTATAGTGTAGTTACTACTTCAGCACACCAGTGTATTGGAGAGTAAATCCACAACATTTACAATTTGAGTAGTACGAAGTTTCCCTGGTAATCACATCCAGCATCATCGGGCGATTTGCCAGAATCGCAGGAAGAGAGGCACTGGCAGGAACAAGACGACAAGGCAAACGCAACCTCTTCGTTTAAGGCCACGCGGTGTTGTCATTGACGAATGTATTGAGTTTTGTTGTTGTTGTTGCTGCTGCTGTTGTTGTCGATTGCGCACCACTGACAAGGCAGCAGGAGCAGCACCATCATCATCATCACCAGATACATAGTTTAACCTGAAGGACACGGATTACAGATTTTAGAATGTTAAAATGGTCAAATGTGTGGCTCACATTTCACCTTCTTATGAAATGCGGCAGGCCGCAAGATTTTTTCCATCGGCATTTTTCTCAATAAAGTTGCGTTGGCTCAAATGTCTTTCCAATCGTTACCATCGGACGCATTTTTTTGCAACGGCAATCACTTACACACAAACTACCGTGGCCTCCCACGCCACCTGCACAGTTGTTTTCTATTCTACAGTCGGTTTCGGGGGAACGATTTGCATTTTGGAAAACCAGGGTTACTTTTACGCTTCCGAGCGGATGTCTGCCAAGGAGATGGCGAGATTAGTTTGCGTGCAGATGTTGTTGCATCAAAAGATCGCGAGAGGTGGCGGCAACTACGGGAGGCCTTCATGCAGCAGTGGATTGACCCATTTCTGTCCAGTGCTCGCCGAGCTGCATTGGCTTCCGGTTGCCGAACGAACACGTTATGATGAGGTCGCACTCGTTACACACAAAGTGCTCGCCACAAATGAACCACGGTACCTTGATGATCCCGTCAAGGAGCATAAAACAGCAGGTGAACTCCGATGATCTTCGCAGCAGCTTTTGGCTAGCCATCAAACAAGGACTGTTACCGGCCGTCTGGAACGCTCTTCTTTTTCATATTAGGAAGCCACTGGAGCAACGCACTTTTAAATAATCTCGATTGAAAGCTCATTTCTTTAGAACTGCTTTTTGCGTTTCATTTGTCCTTTCCCCCCGCACCTCCGATTAGCACGGTTGGCTACATACGGTGCGAAAGAAGTTCAACATACACACATGCAATCCGGCCAATGATTTTAATCACCCTAATTTTTGACCTCTGCTACGATCCACCGCCACTCACGTACACGGGCAGCCCTCCTGTCAATGCACTGCAGGATTAGGGCCTCCCCATGCCGCGGTACGGGTCGTGCGAGCTATTCGACCACACTTCACCACGCTGGCAAAGACGTTGGGAGCACAGAAGCACGACATCAATGGATTTTGCCACGATGCCCTCTGCTTGCCCACAACAGTAGGCCGATGTCAAACTCAAACTGTAATGCACTTTGATTGCCCATTCAAGCACTGTGCAGGCTCTACTCGGCTTAGGTTGCGAGTTTTCATGAGATTGGGTGCATTCCGGATGATTTGCTTGTAGACAAATATATACTGCATAAGACACCCAATCAATTTGGGCAATTCCACCGATTCCAATCCACAAAATAAATAGTAACACAGTGATATACGTACGTGTGTCTGTTTAACTTATTTCGCACCGTACGTAACCAACCGTGCTCATGGGAGGTGTGGGGAAGGACAAACAACTAAACACAAAACGCAGTTCAAAGCACAATGTGTCGGTCTTGGGCATTATTCTCCATACTTCACCACAACGGTTAGTGGGAGTTATTGAACGTGGGGAGGGAGATGGCAGGGGGAGCTCAGAACCCATGAGTTCATTATGCGGTTACGCACCAAGTGACGTTAGCCGTGGGCAGAAACTAAAAACCCAGATCACCGGGTTGATAGTGCAGTGCATACCAATCAAAACTAGATTGTGAGATATCATTGTCTGAGACACATGTGGTTCACGTGTAATGCATATTTTCTATCGGGCCGTTTCCCAGAGTGCTTTTCTAACGATTTCATGAGATACATTCTTATATGTGTAGTTTAATAACGCCGGCTGCTGACGGAAAAGTGGTACTGACAGCAGAGGGCAGGACACACGTCAGCAGAGAGAGTATATATGGGGGTGACAAGAACTCAAGAGACGCTCAGGAAGGGGTCCATTTGGAAGCCAGGGAACTTGCAAGTGGGTTCCAGGAAGGGGGCACGGCGAGAGTGGAGCGAGGCCACGCCGGGAGGGTAAAAGGGGGCCCACCCCGGGGCTGTTGCTGAAAGTGGATCCCCTCGTCATCCCCGTCACTAGCGTCTCAGCCATCCTAGACGCCGCTAGCTCGACAGCCTGCCAACTGGACTAGCTAGTGCCGTCGAATGAGACAGATGTGACTAGTGTGTAAGCACTTCGGGCGTTTGTAGTTCCCTGACGTGTGAAAATAAAGGTGCCTTAACGATCCCCGTCTCCGAAGTGTGTCACTACATATTTATACATTTCTAATTATTTAATAATACATATTTATATATTTCTAATGGTTTCATCAGATATATTTGGAGATATTTCTAATGATTACATTATATATTTCGAATTATTCCATCATATATATTTATATATTTCTAATTATTTCATCAGATATATTTATATATTTCTGATGATTTCATCAGATATATTTTTAGATATTTCTAATGATTACATTATATATTTCTGATGATTTCATCAGAAATATTTAGATATTTCTAATGATTTCATCAGATATATTTTTAGATATTTCTAATGATTACATTATATATTTCTAATTATTCCATCAGATATATTTTTAAATATTTCTAATGATCACATTATATATTTCTAATTATTTCATCAGATATATTTTTGGTGGCTGCGTTCATCCATTTACAACCCACGCCCTCCTCTCTCCCTCCAACCACAACTTCCACGTGGTGGTTTTTCAGATTCCACGGCACGGATGTCACTCGTCACTGATGTTGGCCGTGGTTTGGGTTGCACCAGGCTCCCAGCTCAGTGCACTAAGGACCAGCGTAATATATAAATGTAAAATTGATACGCGTCAACTTTTAATTACATACGCAACAATTACAATACAATAAAAAATTAGCAATCATTATAATTCACAATCATTTAAAATTGTGCCGAACGAATGATGCTGAAATTATAAAAACTACTACGAACTATTTTTTATTTTACTCGGTAAGGCCCACTGAGATATGTAGCTCTTTATCAGAAGCAACCTGGCCACAAATGAAGTGGCTGATCACGTGGACATTTTGTATCATCCAAACACTCGAAACGCATGTTGATTGTAAATGTGGAGGAAAAAAACGGAGGACTTGCAGAAAAATCCACGCTACCACGAGGAGAACATGCAAGCTCCATATATAAAGTCAGGGTCGGGATCGAACCCACGACCTCCTGTATACCACGCAAGGTAGTTAACATCTCACAACTGACAGCGCCCTGTCAAATTATGACATTGCTTAGTGTTAGCGAGTTTGCAAATTTGGTGCAGGCGTTCGTGGTTGGAATCCAGCAGCCACCCTGGTTACGCCAGCTGGGCGGTGGTGGCTATGCATGCCTCTAATCCACCACTGTGCGGGCGACGAGGATTGATGGATCGCACAAATGTTTTGCTGAGGAGCCAGAAGAAGGCAGTACAGCAAGCGGACGTGTCTCCATCTGTTTTAATCTGTAGAGGAATCGAGTGTTGCTCCTTCCCTTCGCGCGCGTGTATTTTCTCTCGGGTGCTCCTGTTTTCTCCCATGTGTAGTCACTCATTAATTGGCGGAAAGCATCTTCGTATGTAGAGGATGGCAGGTAGTGAAGTCTCACACCGTCTGTCCGGCTGCTGCTGACTTCCCGCCGGTCTGTGCTGTCCTCCTTGCGCCCTTTTTAGTCACCCCTCTCTCTAGGAGAACGAGTGAATACCTTGGGTCAGAAAGTTCCTACTTTGTAGGGGGAGTCAACAGCGGCTGTTATGTGCAGTTTGCCCCCCCCCCCCCCACCATGGGAACGTGGAATTTCCACTGCCGGTCTTAAATAGGCCAGCTTTAATTAACCAGATAAATTAATGCATTCATTAATTACCAGAGCAACGTAGCCCGCTGGATGATGGTCTCCTGACGCTGCCATGGCCGTGAGGGTGGCCGAGCAGTCATCTGGCCATACTTCACCACGCCGGTGAAGCGTGGGGAGCAGCACAAACGTGGGGAGAGTATAAATACCATACCTTAGTAATAGGTTTTTACCCTTTCAACTGGTACAAAAACTGACACCTTTATACAAGGGATCATGTTTGCAATAACCACAACACAAGTGCCGGCCGACCTTATCACAGACCACACCAGAGCTTATTGGTCACCCCGTGCCCTTATACATCTCAACGTTCATCCTGCAAAGTCCCCTCACAAGGGAGAATCGGCTGTATGCCGTATGGACCTAAAAGCTCAATTTCCCTGTCCAATAATAAGGGCAAACCGTCTGGGTTGACAGGCATGCCTCTGTATGAAGATGTTTTCAGACAATTCATGAGTGACTGCATGTGGAAGGAAACCAGAGCACCCCGGACAAAATCCACGCGCGCAAACCGGCGCGGGGCAACGCTCGATTCCCGTACAGATGAAAACAGACGGAGACAAGTCCGCTTGCTTGTACTGCCTTCTGCTGGCGAGTCAGGGTATGGCTCCTCGACACAACATTTGTGCCATCCCGTGGCCCGCACAGCGGTGGATGAGAGGCGTGCATGGCCACCACCGCCCCGCTGGTGTCACCAGGGCGGCCGCTGGAACACAACCGTGAGCCTCTGCACCAAGTGGCGAACTCGCTAACGCCAAGGCAACGTCGTGTGGACCTTAGAACTCGATTCCCCTGTACAAGTTTAAGTTCATTTCAAGTTCATTTATTAGGTATAGCCCTGTGAGCCATTCGGCTCTTGAATCGGGTGCAACCGCAACAAACAAAAACATGAACAAAAAACATCTTAAAGTGAATATGTGACTAAGTGCAAACAGAAAATCCAAGAAAAGTCAGCAAAATATTGCAGAAAAAAATCACCGTACACCAACGCTGTGTGGGTTGACGCGGTATGAAGCACCGTTACACACAGGGGCACGGGAAAGCGATGGTTGCATCTCCAACCGGGGGGCCTTGCGGGTTGCCTCCCGCAGGTTTACTTGACCATACTTGCCCGCGTTGTGTCGTAACCCTCCACCACCCGACACGGTCAGTTAGTAAGGGAAGTGTCACGTAAACAACGCGCCAATCACAGTAGTTACTACTCGTGCCCACCGGTGTGTTGGAGAGTAAATACACAACATTTACAATCTGAGTAGCACGAACAGTGAAGCCATCCGCCTGCTTCAGCTCTTAAATGGGGCAGCAGCAGCAGCAGGGTGACGTCACTGAACCCATCAGGAGCAGAGATCAGAGGCGGCGATTGTAATTAAATCATAGATTAGTAATCAGTTAATTAGCACGTGTTTCCTCTATGAGGAATTGTGTAAGGTGTACTCTTAGTTTTTTTCGGTAAAGTCACGTAGGTAAAAGTAAATAATACAAATATTATTTTATTATATTATTAATATTATTTATTTTTACCTACGTGACTTTACCGAAAAAACCTAAGCGTATGAATCCTTGCAGTCACGAAAGCTTCAAATCTAGATTGAGTAAGGTGCATTAACTTAATAAATGCGCTTCCAGGTGGAGGGGGGGTTACGACGCGTTCGCACCGAGGCGATCTCACCCAACAACAACAACCACCATCACCACCACCACCACCACAACCATCACCACCACAACCACCACCACCACCACCTCTATTACGAATGTTGTAACATTGGTGGCGAAAGGCCCTGGCTGCTGCTGGTGGTCAACGCAACACGAATGGTTTTAAACCATCTTTTTTACACGTTATGTTTCGTAGGCCGCGATCCATCCAACTGCTGGACGAGGCGGTGTATGTGGGGGGTGGAGAGCAAGCCACCACCAACAACAACCAACAACAAACACAGAACAACAAACACAGAACAACAACAACAACACAAGTCCGTCCACACGAAGCGATGTTGTTGAATGTTTGCTCGAGTCGTGGCCGGAGTCATCGCGAACCTTTCGCGCAGCAAGTCCGTCACGAAGTCCTTGCCCGACTTCCTCTTCCCGCTGAAGACGAGGACGCAGCGAGGCGGCGGCGATGATGATGATGATAAAGAAGATGATGATGATGAAGATGAACCGCCGTCCGATGCGGCCATGGCGGCTGCCGGGCGGGTCGCCAAGGCAGCGGGCGATGTCACGCAGCGGAGGATTTACCTCCAGAAATGGATGTTTCGTTAAACGCGGTGCCAAGTCAGAGGTTTTACCTCCCCCACCCAAAATTAAAAGTTAAACTATCGTTATGCTAACTATTAAACAGTTTTTTTTATTATTTTACCAGGTAAGGCCCCACTGAGCTGTGACGTAGATTTTTTATTACACGCTTTTATTTAACTTACTCTGTTGTTGTTGTATCTTCAAATCTTGTAACTCAATTTTAACCCACTTCCCAATGCGGTATAGACTGTAAACTTGGTATACTTATGTCATACTGATGATAATACTATATTCTATCATTAAAAATTAATATTTTTAAACAATATTTTTAACATGTTATGTTTCGGCTTGGCTCTAATTGTCCACGCTCAACTGACGTTGGCTGTAAATCACCACGGCCCCTTACGCTGTGGAGTCGTGGAGTTTTGCCATTACTCGTACGGTACATTTATTAAAGCGTCTTTTTAAATCCTTTATATTAAGTTCACTTGCTTGCACGCTTACGACCGTGCAAATCTTTCGGTCGTTTTTTAACCCACTTCCCGTGATCCAATCGAGCTCACATTTTGCACACAGACTCGTTGTGCGTGACAATTTATTTTCGTGAAAAATGTTTTCCAAAATTTTATACTTTTTAGGATTTTTTTTTTCATATTTTATTTAAAATACCAATGTGATAAAAATGAAACTCTTACTCAAGAAAAACAGAAATGAATAATAAAATAAAACCGATGCCACGCATATAAAGGATTTATAGTGAAAAACTTTGTTTTTACGGGTTAATTTTAAGAAATGACTTTTAAATATTACTTATTTTTCAGTGGGATCATCATCATCACAAACCTGTCAACCCCTTATGAGTGTAGACCTGATTGCAGACCAACTCAGACCGTGTTGGTCACCTCATGCCCTCTTCACGTGGCCTCAAGGTGCACGTGGCCTGGCACAAGCGTCGTGGTGACGTCACCGCCACTTAGTGGCGAATGGTGGTTTTGTTATAAATCTCGACGTTCATCTTACAAAGTCCCATCACGAGGGAGAAACACAAACAAAAACACGTTTTGCCCGTATTTGACCTGAAAACTCAATTTCCCTGTACAAGAATACGGGAAACCCGTGTGGGGTGACACGGTGTGGTGTCAGCCATCACGTGGACATTTATAGCAGGAGCTAAATAACTCTAAACGCGCGATGTTGATTCTAAATTTAGAGGGGAAAACCCCGGAGGACTTCACGGCTGATATGTTGAGCTTTCTTATACTTTGCACTGTTATCGTGTTTCTGTACTGTTGCTGTAGTGCTCTGACTTCGTGCCCCTACTGGACATGTGATTAAAAGAGCTTTATCGCCTATCGGATTATTCCTCCAGTGTAAATAAATATCGTGATTCTGGATATTACGATATTCTCGGGATTATAAGACCCAGTGCCCGGTGTCAATCAGCAATGATGGTCACATTTGACCAACTATTTGGATCGGTTCTTTCTCAACGACACATTTCGGCCACACATTCATTCACGTTGAGTTGGTGGTCTGGGCAAGGCTGAGCGCTGTTGTGCGTGCGATGTTGAACTGCGCACCTTTGCGTTTTTGTTAAATATTTGCACGCACACACATCCTACCGGATTATAAGACGCTTACAATAACACACAAGACGCTAGGTGCGTCTTATAATCACCCACAAATAAGAGATCCAAACAGGGAGGCCACGCTACAAGCGGTACCTTTAAATGTGAGACCCGTGACGAAGAGCTTCATAGCTCATCGGATTGCTCCTGGAGTCTAAACAAACACATTCCTGCGGAGGGAGCTGGTAGGAACGTCGGGTTGCTCGGTCAATGGCCTGCAGGGTCAACGGCGGCGTGGTGTATTCCGCAAATATGCCCGACTGTGAGGGCAGGCACAAGCCGGCGTGAGTAGGTTAAACGTTGAGTTTTATAAGGGCACCACGGGGTGACCAGCCCCTCCCCACCCAGCCCCTCCCACCCCCCACCCAGCCCCACCCTCCCCACACAGCCCCTCCCCAACCTCCGCACCCAGCCCCTCCCCACCCAGCCCCACCCCTCCCACCCAGCCCCTCCCCTCCCTCCCCACCCAGCCCCTCCCTCCCACCCAGCCCCTCCCTCCCCACCCAGCCCCTCCCTCCCCACCCAGCCCCACCCTCCCCACACAGCCCCTCCCCACCCTCCCCACCCAGCCCCTCCCACCCCCCACCCAGTCCCCCCTCCCCACACAGCCCCTCCCCAACCTCCGCACCCAGCCCCTCCCCACCCAGCCCCACCCCTCCCACCCAGCCCCTCCCCTCCCTCCCCACCCAGCCCCTCCCTCCCCACCCAGCCCCTCCCTCCCCACCCAGCCCCTCCCTGCACGACGGACGGACGGACACAATAATCCCATGTGGGCTGGTGTAACCAGGAGGTTCCTACCAGTATCATGATTCTGGGTGGCGAAATCGATTCCAGTTGTCGATTCCTTCTCGAATGGGTAGCGCACTTCCAAGTCGGGCTGAACGACTAATCGATTTCAAATCGAAATCGCAATTTGAAGCAAAGCGATTAGCAAATCGCAAAGGCTGCGATTATTTGAGATTTGAAAAAGTCCTATTACTTTCTGATTGGAATTGTTTTATTTTTATTATTATAACTTTATTTATTTAACTTAACAATTGTTCTACCTTTTATTGTTCTATCTCAATTAAAACATTTTAATAAATACATGTTGGAAGCAATACATTTTAAGTTCTCATTCTTGCATTAGAATATATCTAGAGCAGTTCATATTTTGATGGTATCGTGTGGCAATGCTCCATCACATGTTTTAAATCTATTACACAGCTTGACTTAAAAAGTTTTAATCTCAAATCAAATCGCAATATCTGTCAGAAAAATAAATTAGATATTGTCCCCAAATTGTTCAGGCCAACTTTTAGGCAGCAGGTTATATCGATTAATGAATCGATCACCCTGCAATGATCGACTAAGGTATCACCAGTTTTTTTTATTGTTGAATGATAACTTTAGTACTATTTATAATATTATACTTATGTTTTACTTACATGGGGGTTTTAATGGAATTCAAATGAATTAACTGATAAAATGTAAAATAATAAATTTGCAATCGATAAGTTAACCGAATCGTTACTGACGATATTAAAGGCGCCAAGGTGAGTCCATTAATGTGTGTGGGGAGTAGGGGTTAAAGCGTTCTGTATATAGATTAAAACGTCTTACGTGGCTTAATAAAAACATCGATAAAAGTTTAATATATAAAAAGAGATTAATGATTATTTTAAACTGGTAAATAACGTAATAAATAGCTGCTTTAATTAGTAATAATTTCCGCGCGCCCCCTCACCCTGTGCTCAATTGGTTTCTCCCGTGAGCGTCATGTTTGTGATTCCACGTTCAGTTTGAATCCTCGGCGGCTCGGAGTGGCACAGAGTGAGTTGTACTCCACTTCACCCGCGCTCTTACATCTAAAATCAAAATGTATCGACCGAGATTAATCGGTTCCCCTCGTTTTACCACGGAAATGAGTAAAATCGATCTAAACTAAAGTCTGAAGGCAGCTCGGGCCTACGTCAGGCTTTAGCCGGTTTCTTCCCTTCAGTCGAGTGAACTCGTGATGATGTATTTCACGTTCGCGTGGACATGAACACTCCATGCTATATTCACCACACACACAAACAAACACACAAACAAACACACAAACAAACACACAAACAAACACACAAACAAACACACAAACAAACACACAAACAACCGCTTGTGTTCCCCTCAACATTGGTTGTGCAGTGGATGAACAACCCATCAACCCCCCGCCATCGGAATGTGGAATTTCCATCCGCCTCGGGGAGGAGATCTGAGCGACCCGTGCTCGATTTTAGCGGGGAAATCACCGGCGGGCTTGGTGAGGGGGTTATCGATTTAGCTGATAAATGTAATGATTATCGGCTCTTAGGTCGTCAGCCCGCCGTGGCTGTGGACGTGGAAATGTCCACAACTAGACGACTTCGCCGCCTCGTCGAGACCATCAATTGTGGCCGGGTCGCTGCTTTAAATATTAAACTCAGTGAGTTTTAGCTGGTAAAGTAACATAGTTTAGTTGTATATATTTGGTGATTTGCTTACCTTTCCTAGACTTTGCACCCCTTGTTTTTGTTTTGTATTGTAACGTTCTGATCCTGTGTGACAAAGAGCTTTATAGCTAATCGGATTCCTCCTGCAGTATAAATACATATTTTTGGTTCTCTTCACTGCCCTCTAAATGATTAAATTGTCACCTATTTCATTTTTTAAACAATGTCAAGCGCCTCGAGTGAAGGTGCTTGTATGTGAATATACAATTAGATTGTTCAGCGTGCGTTGGTGAGAATCTGGCGGGACCCCAGGACTTTGTTCAGATATCACTTCGCCATCGCCGTGTGGGGAGATTCATAACGAACGTAAAAATAAATGATAAATAATATAAATAAAATGATAAATCACGACGTTTCGGAGGCAACACAAGTCTCCGTCATCAGGTGGGACCGTCACAGCTAAATTGACTTTACCGACAAAACATAAGAGTATGAATCCTTGCAGTCACGAAAGCTTCAAATCTAGAATTCATAACGAAGTTGCGTTTCTAATATTCACGTCCATCTTGGACAAAACATGTTACGTTTACAAGGCAAAACATACGACCGCTTGTGTTACCTCGGTGTGTTTGTGTATTGACAATGATCGTATCAACGTGGAATTGCCATCTTCCCTCAGGCTGTTGAATTTATGTAACGTGCCACTTTAACAAGCGGTCTATAGACCGCCTGAGTATGGGAATAAATAATTGTCTCCACGTGTTGTGCAAGTTGTTTGGCCGTAGTCCAGCCAGGTGAGTGCGCGTTGGTGAATGGGGATGGGGGGTGAGTGGGAGACCTGTTCACACTTTTATTTCGGAACGTGGTGGACAATTCGAATTCTGGCAATCCTCGGTTCACGCGATTTTGTGGCACGACATTTCGCGTTTTCTTCTTGGTTCTTTCGGTAAAGTCGCGTAGAAGGAAATAATAAAAATAAAACATCAAATAATTATCACGACGTTTCGGCCACAACGCAAGCAGCCGTCCTCAGGTGAAGAACAGGTCTGTCGGGAAGACAGCGTCATTTTATTATGTTTTAATTTTATTATTTTATTATTTCCCTTCTACGTGACTTTACCGAAAGAACCAAGAAGATGAATCCCTGCAGTCACGAAAGCTTTAAATCGATATTTAACGCGCGCTTTGTATTTAGACATTGACACGCCAGAGGCAAATTTCATAATAACGCGACCCAATGGCCTTGCCAGCAGCCAGTTCGCTACGATCACTAATACTAATAATTTATATTTTATTACACGCTTTTATTTAACTCACAATGTTGTATCCTCAAATCTTGTAACTCCATTTTAACCCACTTCCCAATGTGGTATCGACTGCAAACTTGGTATACTTATGTCATACTGATGACAATATTATATTCTATCATATTATAAATATATTTTAAAATAATCTTTTTAATATGTTATGTTTCGGCTTGGGTCTAATTGCTCACGCCGAACTGACGTTGGTTGTAAATCACCACGGTCCCTTACGTTATGGCACGCTTCGGGGCCATTTCCTAGAGTCGTGGAGTTCTGCCATTACGAGAACGGTACATTTCATTAAAGCGTGTTGGAAAAAAAAGTATTTTTAAATATTACTTATATCAACTCGTGTGCTGGACTGGACAGCATCTAGATTTGAAGCTTTCGTGACTGCAAGGATTCATATTCTTAGTTCTTTCGGTAAAGTCACGTAGGTAAAAAATGAAATTAAAATAATAAAAATAAAACAATAAAAATCACGACGTTTCGGCCACAATGCAAGCAACCGTCCTCAGGTGAAGATGGTATTGTTTCATTCAGACGCTGTCTCCCCGACAGACCTGGTCTTCACCTGCGTTGTGGCCGAAACGTCGTGATTTTTATTGTTTTATTTTTATTAATTTTAATCTCATTTTTTACCTACGTGACTTTACCGAAAGAACTAAGAGTATGGACAGCATCTCTCAGTGTGTACCCCAGCACTCCCCTTTGTCTCGCGTTGTGATCGTACGTTGTCATGTTTACTTGTGTTCATCGCTTTTGTATTCCTTACTGTATTTCTTTATTTTATGGGAAGTATATTAGAGTTACCATGATTTTCTTTTTAATTTAAAGTACGGGGTCCTTAAAAAAGTGTTAACACTTGTGAGAATGTGCAACAATATCACAAGAAATGTGCCTGTGGGGGCCGTTGGCCCCCGGGGTCCCTCCCGCCTGCATCCCCTATTCCGTTTACGTTACCCCACCTCCCTATTACCCGCTGCGGTTTCGCCGACATTCGAACGCGACGCCCCTACTGTTACAGCCTCGCGCCGCGCTCCCACGCTGCGAGCATACGTGCGCACATCATCGTCAATCAAACGCCGTGCTCGCAGTATAGCCCTGTGCGGCACGTTACCAATGCGCATCCGTATCCGACATGTAACGAACGTATGCACACACACACACGCCGCTCCGTACACTCCAACTCCACACCAACTACGCAAGTTATGATCGCGCACCTGTATCACACACGGAGTGAACACACGCGACACCCACTCTTGCGCCGCTCTGCGCAGCGCTCGCCGTCTGCTGGCCGCTTGCGTTATGATCGCGCACCTGGGGTACGCCTATTACGCACGCCGCGAGCTTACGCACACACAGTACCACACGCGTTCCCACACGCAACCCGCGTGCTCAGCTCCGCGCAGCGCTCACTCACGTGGCGAACCACTGTGCACACAGCGCACCCACACGCTCACACTGCACGACAAGATCACGCGAGACCACGCTTCGCTATTAATGATTTATTATATGCCACCTGCGAATTGATGTTGAATCAGTGAGTCGACGAGGCTGGCCTATTCCACTAAACCTGTACCTATTCCCTATTTATCGGCTATGATTCTAATTTCACCTTCTTACTCACTGTTAAGTGTCCACGGCGGTCCGCTGATCCTTGTGTTAACCGCGTGCCTCGGTGCGTCGCACGGACGTCCGGGTCGCTGGCTCGAGCTGCGTCTGGTCGCCTGGCGCTGGAGTAAGAGAGCGATTTCCCCTCTGCGCTCCTCTATTTATCCTCCCTACCTCCAAAGGGGATGCTGCGCTGAACAATGGGCTCGTGCACCCCAAGCCCGCGCACGGCAGTCCCCAGGCGCTGTTGATATGCTAATCAGTGTGCTGCGTGCAAGGCGTAAATCCTAATTAATCCCTTACCCTCCCTAACAATGGGGCCTGCGCGCTCAAGCGCAATTATCCCAACCCTCCATGACTATGCGCAACAGCCCCTGTGACCCCGCTATTCATGCTGTCTCGTGCCTCCCCTGCTTGCCCCGTCGACTCGTGGGGGTGTGTGTGGGGGGAAATGCGCCTCTACCGCGGTGCCCGAATGCCCTACGCCGCGACCATACCATATTAAGGCCGGCCGCAGCGCCGCGGTGCCACGTAGCACGGGGAGGTCATCCAATTCCCTGATCGCCGGAAACCGTGAGAATTAATCCCGATAAGGGTCTCTCGGATAAAAACCGGTCGATCAGGTGACCTTCCCTTCCAGCTCTATGGGGGGGGGGGAATGCGTGCGGGTGTGTGCTTATGTGGGGCGGGTGATGGGGGGCAGTGCGGTGGGGGAAGCCGGGCGGCTCCCTGGTTCGGCAGAGCGGCCCCGTCGTTGTGGCACCACATGCCTCCGGGCTCTGGAGACTACCTGGAGAAGATTCCAGCCACGTGTTGACGATGATGGCGAACAACGGGAGACTCTTTGACTTTTTAAAGCTATTAACAAACATTTGTTATCATGTGACAGTGTTTTAACCGTTCTTTTTTCAATAAAAGCGATAGTCCCATATAAGTGTTAACATTTTTTTGAGGCACCCGTATTATATTGTGTGTACGTGTATTGTATTGATATAGGCTAGGATAATATCGGCGACTATCTCTGCGAGTGTGAGTGAAATCCCCTAACCCCCTCCTTTACCATTATTACTTATGGGAACATTGCTTTTGACATACGCGATTTTGAGATACGCGTGCTTTTCCAGGAACGCATCTATCGCGTATGCCAAGGAGTGCCTGTGGAGAGCGGTTAGTGTAGCGGTTAGCGTGCTGCAGTGACGATTATTTGAACTGGTCCTGGGCCTCCCCTAGGTCGACTGAACCTCAAATGAGTACCTGGTGTGATGCGGAAACATTGCCACGAGGGAGACAAAGGTGGCTGGGCGTGGTGTTGGCCACCCACCCCCTTATTTGCTGTGCCGGCCTTCATAGGTGCTCCCTAACAGCACTTGCCCCGACAGTCTATTACAGGCTATACGGGGGGTCTTTGTCTTTGTAATGCAACAAATTCTGAATTAAACTCAAGGAACAGGAACGTATGTATGTTGAGCGTCTTTCGCACCGTACGTAGCCAACCGTGCTAATCAGAGGTGTGAGGGAAGGACAACAAACTTCACACAAAATATGTTTTAAAGACGTTTGTTTTAAACATAGAAAACACATTGATTAGAGAACGTACAAAAATAAGAGACATTGTCAATAGAGGTAAGTGGGATTGTGCAGGACATTGTCGTTCTAAGGGACGGTCAAAGATAATGTCAGAATGTAAGTGTGCATGTATGTTGAACTTCTTTTGCACTGCACGAAGCCAACCGTACTAATCGCACAGTGGCAGCCAAAGGAGAAAACGCGCCTGAGACCATCCACTGCTGAGATGGAGCATTGAAATCGGCTCATTAATTGATTACGTTTTTTGGAGCCAGCTGGCCAGGGTTGGGCAAAACGTGGATCAACTTTTCACCCAGGCAACTGGAGAGCACGGACTACTCAGCTTGTGTGTAAGAGCAAGATCGTTGCGTCGTGAGATCCGTGAGAGATGGCGATGGCTTGGGGAGGCCGTCATCCAGCAGTGGTCCAATCGTGGCTGTCGATTTTTTTTTAGCAGGACGCCATGTCGTGCCCACGCGCAGCCTCCATGCAGCCCGTAGGAACTCCCCGCGGCGGCAGAGGGAACCAAAGTGGCGGCCGCAGCAAAGGTCTACAGAACATCAAGGTGAGCGAGGAGGTGAAGATCGCAGTGAACGTCGCGATGGAGCGCTTCCGCTACAGCGACGATAAAGGTGAGCCGGTCACCCACCGCAACCACTCAACGCCACAACCACCACCCAACCGCACAACTCACAACCACAGTGAACATCGCACAACGACACGGTCACGTGAATACAGTGGTACCTCGTTATTTACATTCTGGATATCTTCGATTTTGGCTATCCGTGAGTCACATCTGGAACTGTACACGACTCGTTGAGAGAGAGAGAAAGAAAGTGATGAGAGAGAATGGGATACGATAAAGTGATGAGATTATTTCCATGTATTTAACAGCTTATTTATGAATTTTAGGTAATTTATTATCTAATATTTTTATCCGCGAAATTCTATATTCACGAGCATCTCCGGAAAGTATCACTCGCGAATAACGAGGGAATACTATACACGACCACCCGACTGCATGACTAATCAACCGCACAACCACAGAGCCACACAAACTGTACAATCACACAACTGCCCAACCACTCACCCACACAACTGCCCAACCACACAGCTACACATCCATACAACCGCTCACCAATTCAGCCACACAGCCACACACTGTCCTTGCTTTGCATGCTGTTAGTGCCGTCATGATCCACAATTTATAATCTACCCGCAAAATATCCAATTGAGTCTAGATTTTAAGCATTGTAACATCGCTCCATACTGCGATACTACAGCGGACTCTGGAATACACAGAGCATGCAAGATTGCCTTGCGCTGTGGGAATTGCGCGGATACTAAATGTACTGAGGTGCGTGTACGTTCGTGAAAGTCTGTCCTCCTGACGTGCGATTCGCCTGCAGAGCTGGAGTTCCCTTCCTCGCTGACTAAAACGGAGCGCGCCTTCGTCCACCGCCTCTGCCAGTCGATGGGACTCATCTCCAGGAGTCGGAAGTCAGTGAGGCTCAGCTATCGGGTTTAATTAGTTGGGGTGTAACTGCAAAGTATTAATGAATTTTGATTCATAAGCTTGTGATTCATGCACTAACCTATGTACCCGCTCACCGACCCACCCACCCGCTTACCAACAATACAAGACAAAGATCCCCCATATAGTCTTAACAGACTGTTGGAGCAAGTGCTGTTCGCGAGTACCTATGAAAGCCAGCACCAAGCCTGATCGCCTTTGTCTCCCGAGTGGCGATGTTTACATACCGCATTCGGTACTCATTTGAGGCTGAGTCGACCTAGGAGAGGCGTATGATCGGTTCAGATAATTGTCACTGGTGTTGGCCGTCAGTGGGAATCGAACTTCAGTCAACGGGTTCATAGCGCAGCATGCTGACCGCTACAGTACCGCTCCCCATATCTACCTATACACCTGTCTGCCCACATGCATGTCCACCTACATGCCTACCTATCTGCATGCCTCATCATGCATTCGCGAACCCACTCATCTACTTGCCTACCTATACACCTACCCCTGTGTCTGCATGCACACCTATCCATCTAGCCACTCGCCCACCCACCCACCTATCTAACCCGCCCGCCCGCCCACTGGTAATTCACGCTGCGCCCACGTACTCGCTGCGTTCGGTAGCAAGGGGCCGATGCGGTGCCTGACCGTGCGCAAGAAGGAGAGTGCGGAGGCGGCGGGCGCCGAGATGTCATTTGTGCTGTCGCACCCGGCGCGCCACGCCGCCCATGCGCTGCTGCAGCGCTTCCCCGTCACCAGCAAGGAGCGCACCGAGCTGCTGCCCCGCACGGACCGAGCGCCGTCTGGTGTCGGCTCCGACCCAGGTTTGTTCCCGCTTTGGAGTTGGCAGTGACGTTTTTTTGTAGTGCTCTATTAGTGCCCTTTATCAACTTAAACTAATCTATTTAGGCATTTTTTTAGCTAACACTATTTTTCATTTCACCAGGTAAGGCCCACTGAGCTGTATAGCTCTTTATCAGAAGCGACCTGGCCACAAATGAAGTGGCTTATCATGTGGACATTCATAGCAGCCAAATACACTAAACGCACGTTGATTCTTAATGTGGAGGGAAACACCAGCGGACCCGCAGAAAACTTTGCGCGAGCACGGGGTTGAGAGACACGCAAACTCCAAATATCCAGCAGATGTCTGGGTTGGGATCGAACCCACGACCTCCTGTATACCGGGCGAGGGAGTTAACATCTCGCCACCATTTGCACCCGTGATGCTGATCTAATTTGTCATGTCGCTCGCAGGGGTGAGGCACGAGATGAGCAGGCTGAGCGGGCGGCTCAACAACGGGATCCCTCAGGTCCCGCCGCCGCGGGGGCGCTCGGAGCTGGAGGCGTTCCGCCAGACCCTCCCCGTGGCCGAGTTCCAGGAGCAGCTGCTGGGCACCATCGCTAAGTCCAACATCCTGCTGGTGCTGGGCGAGACGGGCTCTGGCAAAACCACGCAGGTGCTTGCACAGTCCTACAACTTGGTGCTCCTTTATTTAGAGGAGGGAAAGAATTGGGCTCATTGGCCCACCTGATGTGAGGACCACGAGCGGGAACATGGATTTTTACTCGAATTGCGATCTTAAGAACTGCCTCTGATCACCGCTTAACTCGGCGTGTACCGCCACCCGTGTCCCCCCCACCCCCCCCCCCCCCCCCCCCCCCCCCCCGGCAGATCCCTCAGTACATCCTGGACGAGAGCACCCGCCTGGGGTGGCCGTGCCGCGTGCTCTGCACGCAGCCGCGCCGAATCTCTGCTGTCGCCGTGGCCGAGAGGGTGGCGGCGGAGCGAGGGGAGGGCATCGGCCAGACCGTCGGCTACCAAATCCGGTTGGAGAGCAGGTGTGTAGCGCTCCGGGCACTTGCGTGTTGGCGCAACGGCACTGCTCCGGCGTGCCATCGCCAGCTCGTGTTGTTCTTCTGTTGAGTGTGTGTTTTCTGTTGTTTTTGTTGTTGTGTTTTCCCTCTGTACCATGGGCTATTGTATTTTTCTCGTCATTTCATTCCAACTGTGCGAGTCGCACCTCCGATTAGCATGGTTGTCTATGTACGGTGTGAAAGAAGTTCAACATACACGCATACATACATTTGTACTTTTATCACTGTGTTTTGTTGTGTTTCTCCCTGACCTGTGCCGTGTCCTTTCGTTGAGTTGTCGTGTCATTTTTCGGTTGTGTTCAATTGCGTTTCTCCTTCCTGTTTGAGCTCTACAGTGACACAACTCTACGAAAGCCTACTCGCTACAATATATATAGCACATTTTTTGGTTAGGCGACAAAAACATCTGACAAAATACCTGTCATAAAATCCTTCCTCTGCACGATGTCGCCAAATAACAATTTGCCATGGGTATGGGTAGGGTACAGAACAATTGTCACAACCAAATTTAGCATATCGCTTATAGGCATTGTATATGATTGCTGAATTTCTGTTGATAGAATTGTTCTTCAACTCAACTGTGGGTGAGCTGAAACAATCTTGTTTGGCGCATAGTTAAACACTTTCCACCATGTGATAATTTAAATGCTTTGGCTATGTCGGCTGGTGGGAGTTACTTACGACACATTCGACCACGTAGCAAGGTTGGTTACGTACGGTGCGAAAGAAGTTCAACTTGCATACGTACGTTAAATTACGAATCACAATATTGGCTATGACAACCTAGATGTTAGGTTAACAGGAAAACACAATTGATCTATTTGAGATCCCTTTTACCTTGCGATGTAAAGCTTTCGTGACTGCAGGGATTCATCTTCTTGGTTCTTTCGGTAAAGTCACGTAGAATGGAAATAATATTCTACGTGACTTTACCGAAAGAACCAAGAAGATGAATCCCTTTTACCGTTGCGTTCTGCATGTGGCGTTGTGCAGGGTCTCGCCAAAGACACTTCTCACGTTCTGCACCAACGGCGTGCTGCTGAGGACCCTCATGTCCGGAGACAGCGCCATGTCGACCGTCACGCACATCATCGTGGTGCGTGCCAAGCTACCGTCGCCCTCCACACCGGTGCTCAAAAGTTGATTGGGTCAAACCCAAGATGTGGCCAGTTCCGGTTTCTGAGTTTTTGTTCAGTTTAGTTTTTTAATCATTGGATTGACAACGGGCTGTACATGGTGAAATTAAACTATATGAAGCTGGTGCTGATGCTGCTGATGGTTAAAGGTGATGATGGTGGTGATGCTGATGTTGCTGCTGCTAAGGGTGGTGGTTATTGATGGTGATGGTTCTGCTGGTGGTGGTGATGGTTAAGGGTGGGGATGATGGTAGTGATAATGGTGGTGGTGGTTACGGGTGGTGATGATGGTGGTAGTGCTGGTGTTGGTTCTGGTAGTGGTGCTGGTGGTGGTTCTTGAAGGGTGGTGCTGGCCACCCACCACCTTGTGTACCGTGCCGGCCTTCATAGGAGCTACTCGCTAACAGCATTTGCCCCAAAAGGTCTGTTAAGGCTATACGGGGGATCTTTGTCTTGTTAGGTAGTCATGATACATTTTTTAACTGGTGGTGGTGGTGAAATTGATAATGGTGATGATGGCGGTGGTAGTGGTGGTTAAATAGATGACGATGATGGCAGCAGCATTGGTGGTGATGTATCCACTAGGACGAGGTCCATGAACGCGACCGCTTCTGCGACTTCCTGCTCATCAAGCTGCGCGATATTCTGGAGCGGCAGTGCAACCTGCGCGTCGTGCTGATGAGCGCCTCCCTCAACGTCTCGCTCTTCTCCAAGTACTTTGGCGGCTGCCCCATCATCCGCTGTGAGAGATCGCTAAATCCATCCGTCAGTTTCACTAACACGTAGCAGGCTTTCGCGACAAATATTATCCATGATAGAGGTTTTTGGGTTAGACCGCGTCAATATAAATGTGCTGTTAAACCCGACACAGCCAATTTGTAAGATTTGTCACGTTAACAAAATATGACAATTCATTACTAGTACAGCGCACCGTTGTGTTGGAGGGTAAACCCACAACATTTACCACTAGAGTACGACATTTTCTGGTTGTAATTACCGAATGGTAAATGTTGTAGGTTTACTCTCCAACACACCGGTGTGCTGAATTAGTAACTCGTTGGCATGTTTTGTTTACTTGACAAACCTTACTAATTGGCTGTGTTGGGTGGTGGCGGGTTTAACGAACATTTATATTTACGCGATCTAACCCAAAAACATCTTCATATGTAGTGTATCAAGTACCGTATTTAATATTTAACACTGAAGTCAGGTTTGTCATTTAAACATGGCATTTTTTTTTCGATTTAAAGCTTTCGTGACTGCAGGGATTCATATTCTTTGTTCCTTCGAAATTTTTTGTTCGTGACAAACCTTACTAATTGGCTGTGTTGGGTGATGGCGGTTTTAACGACACATTTATATTCACTCGATCTCACCCAAAAACCTCTATTCTGGAAATTCATCCGTGCGGCGGCAACAGCGGTGGCGGCAACGCCGCCCCCGCGGGTACCCGTGACGGCGATGTTGAACGTGGCGGTGTGGAACATGGCGGCGTTGAACGTGGCGGTGTTGAACGTGGCGGTGTGCACGGCGTGTTGCCTCTGGTCCGTGAGCCAGTGCCCGGGAGGCTGTTTGAGGTGAAGCGGCTCTTTCTGGAGGACATCCTGCGCACCACGGGTTACAAGTCCAAGGAGATGGAGAGATACCAGAAGGAGAAAGATAAACGTACGCACAGCCGGCAAAACCACCCCCCTCATTGCTTGAGAGAGCCTCCCATTGTGCTGACGCGGCGTTCTACAACTGTATCGGAATTCATCTTGATTTGAAGCTTTCGGGACTGCAGGAATTCATACTCTTTAGTTATTTCGGTAAAGTCACGTGGGTAGAAAGTTTCGATCGCCACACAAGCAATCGTCTTCTGTCTCTTCTCTCTCACCTGAAGTCGGTTGCTTGTGTGGCGATCGAAACGTCGCGATCTATTATTTTTTCTGCCTACGTGAATTTACCGAAAGAACTAAAGAGTATGTATCGGAATTACCTCCTATAATCACCCAGAAATGTCTGTCCGTCCGTCCCGCGCGTGACGTCACTCCACATGAGGGCCGCCCCCCCCCGCGTGACGTCCCTCCACATGAGGCCCACCCCCCTCATTAATATTCATGAGTGGGTGGATTTTTACACTAACGCAGAGGAAGGTCGAGCCGAATTAAATAATTTATTACGCAAAGTCGCTTCAAATATGACGACGTTTCTTTACAGAAAGTGACGGTAAGAAATAAATCTACGCAGCACAGTGCTACATCCGTGCGTGACGTCACTGCAAAAGAGCCCCCCCCTCATTAATATTCATGTCCGCGTGGAAATTTACACTAACGCACAAGAAGGTCGCGCACTCCACATGCCGCACCCCTCCCCTCATTAATAATCATGAGCGGGTGACGTCACTCCACATGCCGCACCCCTCCCCTCATTAATAATCATGAGCGGGTGACGTCACACATGCTGCACCCCTCCCCTCATTAATAATCATGAGGGGGTGACGTCACTCCACATGCCGCACCCCTCCCCTCATTAATGATCATGAGCGGGTGACGTCACACATGCTGCACCCCTTCCATTAATAATCATGAGCGGGTGACGTCACTCCACATGTTGCACCCCTCCACAATAACCATGAGCGGGTGACGTCACTCCACATGCCGCACCCCTCTCCCCAATAACCATTAGCGGGTGACGTCACTCCACATGGGGCAACCCCCCCCTCATTAATAATCATGAGCTGAACAATTTTTCTATTGAATATTTCAGATTTACTACAATATACACCTGTCCTTGGACAGGCAAAGAAGATAGTCAGGAGAATGTTCATATTGGAGGAATCCGATGAGCTATAAAGCTCTTTCTCCCTCCCTCCCTCCACTCCTCGTCTCAACCAGCCACTGTCAACTGCAGTCTTTTGTCGCTCTTCTTCTTCACGATTGTGCAATCGCGTCGCCACCGTAGTCGTGTTGTTATTATTATTAACATTGTGAATGTTCTCGCTATTGTTGTTGTTTGTTGTTGTTTTATAAAGTAGCGCCCGTGTTGTTACTGCTAATGTCTGGCGGGGCCACGTAATGGCAAAAAATAGCTACGTAGGTTTTCGCAGTCAATAATTCCTAATAAAGTGCTGGGTTAGGCCATGTAACGATCTGGTCAAATCTGTGCAGTTAAGACCCTCCACCACCCTGACGCAGCCAAACTAATTAGACCGTCACGTGGTCTACAGGTGTTTAACGATGTGCTCATTGTTATTGTTTCAGTTGTCCCACCGGTGAGTTGAACAATTCCCATCGCCAGATTTAACGATTAGATACGCGAAGTTTCGCTTGAAACTACACCAAGCATTATCAGGTCAATACCCAGGAAGTCCGAATAATCGCGTCACCTGACCAGGCTTCTTCTTAGCTGCCATGACTTGTGAAGGCATGTGCACTGTGTATGTGTCTCTGCTTGCATCTGTGTTTGTGTGTGACCCTCATCGCCAATATCAGTGGCGGTTATCCAAACCAGTCCTGTCCTGCACCTGCCGTAGGTCCAGTATGGCACGGTGGGCGCCACTGTGGCTAGGAGATGTTAACTACCTCGCCTGGTATTCAGGAGGCCGTGGGTTCAATGCCAACCCAGACATCTGCTGTATATTTGGAGTTTGCGTGTCTCTCTCTCATCATCATTGTGGCTAGGAGATGTTAACTATCTCGCCTGGTATACAGGAGGCCGTGGGTTCAATCCCAACCAAGACATCTGCTGTATATTTGGAGTTAGCGTGTCTCTCTCCCCGTGGAGTTTGCATATTCTCTCTGTGCTCGTGTGGATTTTTCTCCGGGTCCTCTGGTTTTACCCTCTACATTTATAATCAACATGCATTTAGAGGATTTAGCTGCTGCTATAAATTTCCACTTGATGACGAGCCACTTTCTTGAGCTATCATTTGTGTGGCCAGGTCACTTCTGAAAAATAGCTACATAGCTCAGTGGGCCTTACCTGGTAAAAAAAAGTAGTTTTTCTTTGTTAAATCGGTCGACTCAGCCTTAAATGAGTACCTGGTGCAGCGAATAGACAAAAGGCGACACCACCTCCTCTTGCGCCGTGCCAGCCTTCACATGCGCTCGCGAACAGCACTTGCCCCAACAGTCTGTTGAGGCTATACCGGGGGGGGGGGATCTTTGTGTTTGCGTGTGCGCAGTGGAGAGCCAGCAGAACAAGCTGAGCGAATGGTACGAGGCGAAGGAGACGGGATCGAGCGTGCCAGTACGCAGTGCCAGCGCCGCATGCCTCCCGGATCACACCAAGATGCTCAACGACGAAGGGGAGAGCGCCTTCGTACAGGAGGTATGTCGTGTGGAACGCTGGGGTGGGGGCAGGGGATGTTAACTACCTCGCCTGGTATACAGGAGGTCATGGGTTGGATCCTGACCCTGATGTCTGCTGTTTATTTGGAGTTTGCGGTGTCTCTCTCTCCGTGGTCTTGTGAATTTTTCTCCGGGTCCTCTAGTTTTTCCCTCCACATTTAGAATAAACGTCACGCATTTTAGAGTATTTGGCTGCTATAAATTTTCACATGATGATGAGCCCCCACTTCGTTGCGCTATCATTCATTGGCCAGGTCGCTTCGTAAAATAAAAAATAGTTTAGTTTAGGGGAAGGAACCCTCCCCTCTCTTGGGTTTTGGTTTTTTGTGTTCCCAAATTTCCTATCAGTAATTTGAGCCCATTCTTAAGTAACGTTTTTTTTGTCATTGCTTTGTTATCATTTTATTATTGCATGGCTGAGAAATGCCGTTGCGTGAAGGACACTCCCATCAATGATAAATAATAAAATAATAATACATTGTTAAACTCATGGACAGGCAGGGTGGCGCAGTGGTTTGTATGTTCTCCCCCTGTCCTTCATGGGTTTCCTCTGGTTTCGGGTTCCCTAGCTTTTATGTGTGTATCTAAGTTTCCGTGAGCGTCCATGTTACGCGTCTTTGTGCGTTTCGTGTGCCGCACTGTGAATCCGGTAACCCTAGTTTGGTTCCCACTCACAGGGCATCGCCTAAGTCAACTCGGCATGAAATGAGTATCTGGCGCGGTGTGTAAACATCGACGCTGGGGCGACAGAAGCGGCCCGGCGTGGATTCTGGCCGCCGTGCCAAGCCTTCATCAGTGCTCGCTCACAGCCCTTGCCCCAACAGCCCGAGGCTATATGGGGGATCATTGTATTTGTGTGTTTGTGTGGCGAGTGTTGGCGCAGTGGTTAGTGCACTGCGCAAAGAACCCGGCAACCCGAGTTGAATTCCTATTACCTGGTGCGGTGTGTAAACATCGCCGCTCGGGAGACAAAGGCGGCCGGGCGTGGTGCTGGCCACCCACCCCCTCAGCACTTGCCCCAACAGTCTGTTTCGGCTATACGACGGGGATCTTTGTGTTTGCGCGGACAGGCGGAGCGCGATGGCTCCAACCTGGAGCCGTGGCTCCTCAAGGAGATGGACGCGTGCATCAGCAACCTGTGGATGAATAGGGACGAGGACGCCTTCACGCAGCTGCTGCACCTGCTGCTCAGCGAGCGCGTCAGTGGTGCGTGCCGGGCCAGCGTGACATTGGAACAGGGTGGCTGGGAAATACCCTCCCCCCTTCCTCCCCTCCCCACTTCTTCCCCTGTTAAACCGGTAGCCCTTTTCTGAATCGGTTAACACCTCGGTGGCGAGATGTTAACTACCTCGCCTGGTATACAGGAGGTCGTGGGTTCGATCCCGACCCTGACGCCTGCTGTATATTTGGAGTTTGCGGTGTCTCTTTTTCTCTCCCCGTGGTCGCGTGGTTTTTCTCCGGGTCCTCCGGCTTTTCCCTCCACATTTGGAATCAACGTGTGTTTAGGGTATTTGGCTGCTATAAATTTCCACATGATGATAAGTCACTTTACTGAGATAATTCGTGACCAGGTCGCTTCTGAAAAAGTGCTAAACAGCTCAGTAGGCCTTGCCTGATCAAATAAAATAGTAAAAAATATATATTGTTCCCTGTTCCGAGAGTCAGGAATCGGAAAACCGTTTTTTTTATCAGTGGAACGGTTTGCGATGGATGCCTTGACTGGCCCACGTGCATGGCGGCCCTAGTCATGGTTTGGCCTCGTTTCTTATTTAAAAGGATGAGGTGCTGCCCCTCTATTGCTGGCCTGCTCGCTCGTGCCACCGTTGCTGAAAGAGCCTACACTAAAGGGGGGCTGTGATTTACTAAACTTGCTTCATCGTTTCAACTGCCAAATCGGTGACCTCTAGATTGGACGGCCAGTACTGCCAACCATTACAACTCGGAAGCTCCCTACGTGTTAGCGTAAGAATTCGAATATTCTAATCAATGCGTTGCTACACACCTGCCGCTGAAGCTGCTTCTGCTGCCGCTGCTGCTACCGCCACTGCTGCCGCCGCCGCTACTGCTGATGGTGATCGTCTCTCTACCGGGCAGTTGACTACAGGCACAGCGAGACGACTGCCACGCCGCTGATGGTGGCCGCAGGACATGGCTTCATTGGCATCGTGGAGCAGCTGCTCCGGATGGGGGCCAACGTCAACGTGAAGGCCTCCAACGGCATGTGAGGGCACCTGCACCCCCCTCCCCATCCCCCCTCGCTCACAATCGGGCGGTGACACGGCCCTGGCGGAAGCACGTTGGCTGCTCGTCGCTATGGAGGTGGGGGGGGTGGGGGTTTCGCGTTTCAAATCGGGACGGCTTCCCCGGTTACTGCCGGTACGTCGATCGTAAACGCTGCGGCGCGCCGTCCGCTTCGCGTTCCTCATTAAATGATCGCGTGACGCTGTTCTTCAAGTGAGTAGGCAACATTGTACCGCTGCGACGGTTCAAAATTTGTAAGGAAAAAAATTAGCCACTGTTTACTTTTAATTGGGTTAAATCAAATTGCAACTTCACTCCCTAATGGCAGACTTACACTCCCCTGTGAACTATTGCGTACTTCCACCTCTTCTGAGAAGTTTAACCAGCTTGGAAGAGTAGGCCAAATTCCCTCTGGGGGGGGGGGCTCTCTTCTGTGAGCAGTCGCGTAAGCGAGCGATTGCAGGGCTGAACCTTTCAACGTCACCTTGCGTCTGCGATGTTTGGCCATTCGTTTAAGGAGCGTGTTGCTTGATAAGGGATTACATTGCATTTACCATGAAAGATATTTAAAGTTGCGAGGGGATAGCATTGAAAAATTCCATAAAGACCATTTCATGAACCCGCTTGCTGTACTACCGCTGACCCCGCGGGAACCGGCGTGTTGTTGATTTAGCCGGACTCTCGTCCGTGCACGTGTGTTCTACCGAGTGAGTCACAAACGTGAAAAGTCAAGTACACGAACAAAACAAAACAGAAAAATCCCCTCCGTGAGAACACGTGGCGTTGGGATTCCTGGCATCGCTGAACTATATTTGGCCTTTTGAAAAATCGAAACGGAAAACTGCGTGGCTGAAAGTGTTCACGCCGGTGTCGTGCTAAATTTACATTTCTGCTGCAACGTTGAATTTACAAGCGAAGCGGGCGGGAGGGAGCCACACCGAACAATTTAAAAAGTGTCACCGGTTGTTATTGTGCAGCGCAACGGCCACACAATACTCTTTTGTTTCAAGGGGGTGGGTGGGGGTCATGTTTGAAACGTTGCCAACTTTTGGCACGTTGTGCAAATTCTTTAACTGATGGCATCCTCGCGCCGTCTGTGTGCGAGGGCCAAAAGTGTCTCCTCCTTCCTGGAATTTTTCCAAACTTGCTCCTCACTCCTCCGCTCACTCCTGTCCTGGGCCATCACCTCCAACATCCACTCCGCAGTCCTGGTCCCACCACTTAAAAACCACCTTCGGCCTCCTCCCTCGTGCTTCCATGTTCATCGCCTTTATTCTTCCTGTGTGGTTGTCCTCCCTTCTTACGCCACAATCTTCTGAGTCGACTTTCTTTCGGCTTGTCTGGAGATGCGCTCCACTCTTAGTGGTGATCAGAATGAGCCGTTTATGATCGGGCAACCTTCCTTTGTGCCGGGCCGCGTTAGTGTTTTGCCAGTTGGAGGCGACGGTTGCCGTGCGTGATCACAGTCGTGTAATTTCCGGTGTTACGTTTGAATTTAGCAAATTTGGAATGACATCGGAAAGTCCACTGTGAGTCAAGCAGATAGTGCATAGTATTTTACGGTTAACACACATGGCAGTAGTAACCAGGGTGGTCTGCCCTGATGCGAATTGACAAACCTTCAGCAAGTGGCCAGAGGCCGACCGCTCGGCCGCGTCTCCGCCGTTTTCCCCGTCGCCGGATATCCGGTCTGGTGATCCCTGACGCCCATCTCGTCCTCATTTACATTGTGAACAACATCTGCCTCTCTCCCTGGTGTTTGTTTTTTGGGTCCGACAGTCACGTGCGTACGTCAGTGCTGGTGCCGCCCCCCCCCCCCCCCCCTCTGAAAATTGTGCCGCCCCGTGCTCATGTTCGGGTGCGGCGCAAGCGCTCGTTGCCGCCGTCGAGACGAGCCCCCAATGCCCTTACCATGGTTTTTTTCCCCGCAGGAACGCTTTCGACTGGGCGAAGAATTTTAATCACTTGGAAGTGGTGGAGCTGATGGAATCGTTTGTGTACGTATCAGCATATACCGCCTTATTCGGGCACTGATTTAATGTAATTCATCGTAGCTGGCAGCGCAGTGGTGACACTTGCGCCCCACAGCAAAAAGGTGCCTGGATTCGATACCCGACTCGGGATTCTGTTTCTGTGGGGTTGAGTTTGTATGTTCTCTCCACAGTTTTTCATGGGTTTTCCTCCAGCTTTTCTGGTTTCCTCCCAAAGCTAAAAGCAACAAAAACATTCGATGTAATTGTATTGGTCACACATTCCAGTGCTGAAAATGTATCCTGCACATTGCTCAAATGGGATCACACATTTCCCCTTATTTTGAAACAAAACTTGGCAGCATCCTCATGAAAAAATGCCTTGAGACTCAGTGAGGCTTTCCTGCGTACTTAACAACCATAATAGTAGTCACAAAACAGATTATCGTCATCAGCCATTTTCAATCCCCTGGAAGAATGCCTCCCCAATAAGTCACGTCTCTCACAATCTCACGATTCAACAATCTACCCGGAGAAAAATTCCCGTGACCACCGGGAGAACACGCAGACTCCAGATATACAGGCGTCAGGGTCGGGATCTGCCTGGCACTTGCACAAGGGCTAATTTCGCCACACTGACGCCATATCGGATGTTCCGTCCGGCACTGAACATCATTGTTATAATTTTTTGTCGTTAAAAAGGCATACGCGAGTTTGAGACGTGATTTGACTTTTTTTAATGAGTGGGCTTGGGTAGGATGCGCGAAGGGACGATGGCCGGTGGTTGGGACTCTAAAGTAACAGCGAAGATGGGAACACGACCGGCCAAGATACACTTCCACCGTGGAGATGAAATCAGTCGTGTGCAGGTGCCTGGATAGATTCTTGCATCGCAGGAGCGTGAGGTGATGGTTGACAGCTTGGGGAGTCCCTGATCCAGCTGTAGATTGAGCATGGCTTATAATGGTTATTACTAATATGTGGCCAACATTCTTAAATCTCTCACTGCCCCTGTCCACCCAGCAGTGTGAGGCGCCACGGTGGCTAGGAGATGTTAACTACCTCGCCTGATATACAGGAGGTCGTGGATTCAATCCCGGCCCTGACGCCTGCTGCCGTATATTTGGAGTCTGCATGCTCTCCCCGTGGTCACCTGGATTTTTCTCAGAGTCCTTCGGTTTTTCCCTCCACATTTAGAAACATGCATTTAGAGTTTAATAATAGGTCTTCCTCATTTATTCTGGCAACAAACAGGTGTTACGATGTTAAAACACCAAACTGAAACCTCTTGCAAGGAATCATGTCTGCATTAACCACAGATACTTGCGGTGGAAATACAAATAAAAAACATGCTCTAACAGTATATGCATTGTCTTTGAAACTGATTGGTCCACACCAGAGACAGCTTTTTTTGGAGCCTCGTCTCAAACAGTGTTAGACCAGAGGGTGCCAAACGCGAATGCTGTGTGAGACGAGGCTCTAAAGAAAGCTGTCTCTGGTGTGGACCAATCAGTTTCAAAGACAATGCACATACTGTCAGAACATGTTTTTTTTTGTATTTTCACCGCAAGTATATGTGGTTAATGCAGACATGATTCCTTGCAAGAGGTTTCAGTTGGTGTTTTAACATCTTAACACCTGTTTTGTTGCTAAAAAAAGGGGAAAACCTATTCTTATATTTTGACACTGGCAAAGGAGGTCCCATGATGCATTTGGAGTATTTTGCTGCTGTACATTTCCATCTGATAAGCCGCTTCGTTGACCTATCATTTGTGGCCAGGTCACTTCTGAAAGAGAGCAATGTAGCTCAGTGGGCCTTACCTGCTAAAGTAAAATAGTTTTAGTTGAGTTCTCACCCTGTTTGTCTCCCTGGGCTCGCAGGGCCTTACCTGCTAAAGTAAAATAGTCTTAGTTGAGTTCTCACCCTGTTTGTCTCCCCCGGCTCGCAGGGCCTTACCTGCTAAAGTAAAATAGTCTGAGTTGAGTTCACCCCCTGTTTGTCTCCCCGGGCTCGCAGGGCCTTACCTGCTAAAGTAAAATAGTCTTAGTTGAGTTCTCACCCTGTTTGTCTTCCCCGGCTCGCAGAGCCTCGGTGGGCGAGGGGGGGCCTGACGAGAGCACGCTGGCCAACGCCAGCACGGAGCTGAGCCCCGAGGAGCGCGAGCTGCTCAGCGTCTACCACCACACCTTCGACGACGACAAGGTGGACCTCGATCTCATCCTGCACCTCCTCAACCAGATCTGCCAGGGCTCCAGCGATGGTGGGTGCCGTCCACCGCGACGTCGTCGATGGTGGTGGTGGTGGTGATGATGATCGTTATTATTATTATGATGTCAATGATTTGTTGTTGATACAGCTGCCCTCCTTTACGCCGCGGCTTCTCGGAGTGATTTGCACCCGATTTGCGCCTTTCAATGGTCATGTCCTAACAACACATTTGGAAGGGCACCCACAGTGGCAGCTGTCCCTGCGCGCCACAAGGTGACTCGGCACCTGGCCTGTACGCGGGGCATGAGTCTGCCAGTAAGGGGCAATGATCGCTGCTTTGTATAGTCCCAGATAAGTAATTTGCAGGTTTTTTTTATTTTACAAATAATTATTATAACACCGGTCCGCAGGGGCCTGCACTTGCGAATGACGTCACAGGATCTTGGATTCAAACTGCAAACCTCGGCTGCTGTATAGCTTGAGAAAGCAGTGCTGTGGTTTTCGAGGCAGCAACGGATCCAAGGGATGGGGGGGGGGGCGATGGTGGTGATTTCCCCCCACCCCCATTCACATACCAATTTAAATAATTGGTATGTTATAGATGTTTGATAGAAAATGCGTTGAATGTTGTTTATATTAATGTCTAGGGCCCACCAATCAACCTCCTTTATACCTCGCCTGGTTAATGCAGGAGGTTGTGGGTTCCATCCCGATCCTGACGCCTGTATATTTGGGGTTTGCGTGTTTTCCCCGTGGTTACGACGTCGCGCGTACATGACATCATCGTGGGGAGGGGGGAGGAAAGGGAGGCGCTTGCCTTCTTTGAGCCCCGGTTTCTTCTCCTCCAAATATTGCCCAGCACTTTGATCAATTCATGTTCACGTGCTAATGAGAAGAGCTGTTGCCTGAAACGTTGCCTATTTTATGTTTGATCGCCATATACTGAATAATATTTTCAAGAGTTATCATGCCTTCAAATGACAGACAGACAGACAGACGGAGAGAACTAGTGCATCAACGCTTTAAACCTCAGCTGATAGAGCTTTAAACAATACCGTTGAGTGCTTTCTTGATGTTTGTTGTTGGTGCCGCTGTTGTTGTTCAGGAGCTGTGCTGATTTTTCTGCCGGGCTACGATGAGATCATCACCCTGCGGGACCTCATTCTCTGCGATGACAAAAGATTTGCGGAGCAGAGCCACAAGTGAGTATGCTTTACCCATCTTCCCGACTCTGATGGGTGACCTGCTGCTGCTGCTGCGGGTGTACGCGTGTACCCGTTTGCGAAGGGGTAGGGCTCGTGTCCTTCAGCTTGGTGGCGTTGTTTTTTGTCCCTGTTAGCCGCCGTTTGCACACATAGCCATTGGCACTCGTACCGTGCGTACGGCGGGTCGGTGACCGGTAGCCGGTTGACGACGATCCTCGTTGTTGTTTTCTGACTTTGAGCGCCTTGTGAAGGTTGCCATCTTGCACGCAGACACATATTTTCTCTAACTCTCTCGCTCTGTGCTACGGTGATCATGACCCTTCTATTTAGCTCTGCCTGTGATATTTACTCAAGAACTATGCTTGAAATACTCCTAGTTGCATCCAATTGGTCAAATTGCTCATGTACTTTTTTTATTGAGGCAAAGGACGGGCCCATTATATCACATTGTGACGCACGTACACACCGTCAACATAAACTAAACCGGTTATGAAAAGCAGAGGATAGAAAGATGGGGAGCAGACCCGCTGCCCCAAACCAGACTGGTCCCCACCGAAAGGAGTAAATTGCTCACTTAATTCGCTGCCTTCCCCGGCTTCTTGCATAGCAAATTGCACGTCATACGAAGTAAGATGGAGTGGGTAGGAGGGCGTGATGTTACCTCCCTGACCTCGTATGCAGGAGGTCGTGGGCTCGATGCCGACCCTGACGCCTGCTGTGTGTTTGGAGTTTGTGTGTCTCTCTCCCCGTGGTTGCGTGGATTTTTCTCCGGGTCCTCAAGTTTTTTCCCTCCACATTTAAAATCAACGTGCGTTTATAGTATTTGGCTGCAATATGTTTCCACGCGATAAGCCACTTTGTTGAGCTATCATTTGTGGCCAGATTGCTTTTAAAAAAAAGCTGCATACCTCAGTGGTCCTTACCTTGTAAGATACAAATAGTTTAGTTTAGACGTCGCCTAGCAGTAGCGCGTTCACCGCTTGTTTGCAGAGGTTCACGTTTCGAATCCAGAGGCCGCCGGGGCGGAGCTAAAGAGTTCCGTCGCTTGTTGTGGCAGGTTCCACGTGTTCACCCTCCACTCCAACATGCAGACGTGTGACCAGAGGAGAGTTCTCAAGAGCGTGCCGCCAGGAACCCGCAAAATTGTACGTATTTTATTATATTCTCTCCTCTAGCCTTGGTCGTTCCTATATTGGTTCACCAGGGTGGCAGCAGCAGCAGCACAGCGGTAACGTGCGTGCCTCGCAGCAAGAAGAGCCTGGGTTCGACTCCCGACTCCCCCTGTTGTGCATTGGGTATCCTCCGGGTTGTTGGAGGCTTTTCTCCCATAGCAAAACAAAACAACCTGCACACCATGTTACCGGTATTGGGCAAGCATCCAAATGCTTGCAAAAATGTATCTTGCAAATGATTCAATTGGGATTACACACAGCAGCGGCAACATAGTGCCCCTACTGCAGAAACGCTCATGAACAATAGTCGAGAAACCCAGTGAGGCTTTCCTGGGTAAAGTAGCGCAATAATACATTGAGCTCGAATGTTCAAAGTCTGTTCAAGTTTGTTGAACTGATTTGTTTTATTTGCGTGTGTGCAGTTGGGGTGTTGCATTAACTCACACACTACTTAGTTTGGGAATAAAGAACGCGAAGCGACATCGCCGCTTACTTGCAGACAAATTCCCGTTTGCGGTACGCTCCAGCGTACACCTTGAGCCACAAATGGACAGCTGCCACCGGGGGTTCCCTTGGCTACATTTCAGCAGGGCATTGGAATGATTGAGATGAAATGTGATGTCAGCCACTCTGAGTTGCTGAGGTTTCTAAGCAATGCCCTGTACATGCAAATCCAGGATGTCTTAACGAAATGCAGGAAGTCAGAATAACCGTGTCACCTGACTCCCGACTTCTTTAACAGGTGTCATGTATGTTGAAATTCTTTCACGCCGTACGTAGCCAACCGCACTATTGGAGGTGCGGGGAAGGACAAAAAACTAAACACAACAAGCGATTATAAAAAAAATTAGAATTCAATCTAGATTTAAAACAACAGATACTGTGTAAAACAACAGTTTAGTTCAACATTTAGTTTTTTCATGACAGTAAGTCCTCGACTTACAAACACCCACACTTACGAACACCAGACTTACGAACACCCGTACTTTAGAACACCCTACTTATGAACACCCGCACTTACGAATCAGCTTCCATGAAATATACATTTTTCTAACACCGACTTGAAACGTGAACTCGCGCTTGCAAACTGAACCACGGGACTATTTCGTTCAGCGGTGCGATCCTGTCTAGATTTAGAAGATTGTTTTCACGGTGATGAACGTGTGTGTGTGTAGAGGTGGTTACAGCTCGCTCTGTCTCTTTTCATTTTTGTTTTAACCCCGAACCCTTCCGCAAGATCCTGTCGACGAATATAGCGGAGAGCAGCATCACGGTGAACGATGTGGTGTTCGTGATCGACTCGGGGAAAGTGAAGGAGGTGCTGACCCACATGTGCAGAGAGCGCGTGCACGCACACGCACACGCACACACACGCACACGCACACACACACACATGCACGCACACGCACGCGCACACACGCGCACATCAGCGATGAAACGCTGTTCCACGAGATATGAGGGATCTCGAATCTGTGGACATTTTAAAAATGCCCCTCAATACTTATTTATACGCTTCCGCTTATTAAATGTTTTGTTCATTTAGTTAATGATTTTCTAAATATATTTATAATATTTTTTTTATGCTGAGTGTCTGCTGCTGCTGTGTCCTGTACAGCACTTTGAGATCCTTAATTAAAAGCGCTATATAAATGTAATTATTATTATCGTCGGCCATGGTCTATCCACTGATGTGGAATAACATGGCGCCCTTAAATGTCTTATTCTTCCCTTGTTTGCTGTCAGACGTCTGCATCAAAGTCGCCCGTCGGCTCGATCGTCGCCACTTCACTCGCATTAATCATCGGTCTCGTTTCACTTGGGGGGGGGTCACGCTGCCCGGTGCTAGCGAGCTCATTCGCCGCTAGTAGCAGAGGTTCATGGTTCGAATCCGGCAGGCCACCCTGGTTATCATCGCCGCGGTGTGTAACGACCCGATACATTCCACGCGACGTCTGCTTCGGTGGAATGTTGAAGACCCCGTGACGTCATTCCCAATGAGTAGGCCATTGTGTGCCGGCTTGACCGGCAAAATTTTTTATATCACCCTCCCCGCGCAGATTATTACTCAATTGGGTTCATAATAAGGTTTGTTGGGTTAGATTGCGTAAATACGAATAATATTGTTCGTGAAAGCGTACATGTTAAACTACTCAAATTAGTATTTTCAGGTAGCAATATCGTCCCCCCCACACCCCGATTGCGAAATATTTAGCAGGACCCTCCTGAGAAAGAGTTTTTGAGACTGTGTGACGATTCCCTGAGTAATAAATGATGTCTATATTTTAGGAGAGAAAGCGGAGGTGGTAATGTTTGGCTGCTCATGGTGACTGTGCGGCCCGTCCTGTCCGCAGAAATCGTACGACGCGCTCACCTCGGTCACCATGCTCAAGACGGTCTGGATTTCCCAGGCCAGCAGCCTCCAGAGGAGGGGCAGGTATGGGTGTACACAGGTGTACATCAACACGGCACCTCCGATTAGCATGGTTGGCTGCGTACGCTGCGAAAGAAGGTCAACGTACATACGTACATAAATGCATCGTCTTGGACGTCATCTCATCTGGTACAAGGTGACTCATCACCGAGTGCGCTGTCAGTAGCTCCCGAGTGGGGCGACGGTTGCCACAGCAACACCACTGTTTGCATAGTTCCGGCTGTAAGCGCATCGGGGCAAAAGAGATGATGGGAGAGTGAATTCCAAAGCGGAAAAGTGCGAGGGAAGAAGCGAAGTGGGTGAGTGTTGTTAGTGGGTGAGTAGGTGAGTGAGTGTGTTGTAGTGTAGGGGTTAGCGTGCTGCGCTACGAACCTGACGACCCTGGTTCGATTCCCGCTCATGGTCAACAGCAGTGACAATTATCTAAACCGTTCCTGCTCCTCCCCTAGGTCGACTCAGCCTCAAATGAGTATGTGATGCGGTGTGTAAACATCGCCACTGGGGGAGGCAAAGGCGGCCGGGCGTGGTGTTGACCACCCACCTCCGCCTGTGCCACAATGCCGGTCTTCATAGGTGCTCGCTAACAGCACTTACTCCTGCCGTCTGTTAAAGGCTATACGGGGGATCTTTGTGTTTCTGTCATTAGCACACGTGCGCCACGAATCGAGCAACCCGGGTTTGTTTTCATCGCCGTGTATTGCGACTCAATTGGGAATCTTTGTGTTGTTGTTGTGACCTGCACTTGAGAGTGGTTGAACACAGCGTGGACGAGATGGAAGTATCGCTCCCGTAGACCGCATCACAGCACGATTTGTGGAAACAATGAGTGTGTGGGCTAAAAATGTGGAATTTTTGTCTTGATGTTTTGTCGGGCAGGGCTGGGAGGTGTCGCCCCGGCATCTGCTTCCACCTGTTCAGCAAGGTGCGCTTCCAGAACATGCTCGAGTTCCAGACCCCCGAGCTGCTTCGAGAGCCGCTGCAGGTACGAATGACGCAGGCCACAGGCAGCCAGAAGGCAGGGGGGTGGACGCCGTCGCGTGACGTAGAGGGCCTTCAGGCTGACGTTGGCCCCCATCCTAAACAGCTTTTTCGACAGTCCTCACGAAGCCACGGCCGGTGGACACGGTCAGCGGCGTGACGCTCGTCTCGCTGTGCCTGTCTGCAGCATCCCAGGGATAAACGTTCATCATCGCCATCTTCATCATCGCCATCATCGCCATCTTCATCATCGCCATCATCACCATCTTCGTGATCATCAGCAGCATCGCCATCTTCATCGTCGCCATCATCGCCATCATCATCAGCAGCATCATAGCCTCTGACCAAGAGTGCCCGGAATGCGCCAAATATTGTCAGATCGCGGAAACTAACGCAAACAGTATGATGCGTGTAACGTGGGTGAAGGAAACGGTTTGCATTGTGTACAGTGGGGATAATTAATAATTGATACTTTTTTGGGTTCAGGGCGCCACGTGAGCAAAATAGCAATGCGTGTCGTACACCCTCCTCCATCCGACACAGCCAGTAAGGTTTGTCACGTAAACAAAACGTGCCAATTAGTTTACTACTTCAGCCGACCGGTGTGTTGGAGAGTAAATCCACAACATTCACAATTTGAGTAGTACGACGTTTCGCTGATAATTACGTCCAGCATCATCGGGCGATTTGCCAGAATAGATTTGCCACAATATGCTATTCCAGCAGCGATGCTGCGCCGAGGCAGCCGTGCAAACCGCTTGAATGACGCTAATATAAAACGAAAGTGTTATTATTATAATGCTTTTAAATAATAAAATAGAGGATAAACGGGAGGGTGGTGCCGTCATGGTGATATTTGTTTTGCGGATCACTTGCACCACCTCTGCCCCTGCTGCTGCCCCTGCTGCCCCTGCTGCTGCTGCTGCTGCCCCTGCTGCTGTTGCTGCTGCTGCTGCTGTTGCTGCTGCTGCTGCTGTAGGCGCTGTGCCTGCACACCAAGCTGCTGGCGCCCACCTGCATGCCGATCGCCGAGTTCCTGGCCAAGGCTCCGGATCCCCCGCCCAATCTCATCGTCCGCAACGCCCTGCAGATCCTCAAGGTGCGGTGGGGAGGGGCGGCCTTCGCAACGCCTCGCCCAGACGACGGCGCTTGTGTTGCCTCTCTGTTTGTAACATCGCCTTCCAGGAGTTGCTGGTTCGCGATTGATTTCTTTGTTGTCTGGGTTTAGGCCGCGTCGTGGTCTGGCCACGTTTGTGACGTTAAAAACCCTCCACCGCCTGACACGGTCAAACGAAATAATTGTCCCCCGTGTGTGTGCAAATTCACGTGGCCTGACCCAAACACCAATTGAGTCGCAATATACGACGTCGAAAACAAACCCGGGTTGCTGGGTTTGTAACGCAAGTGTGCTAACGACACAGAGACAAAGATCCCCCATATAGCCTTATCGTACATTTTGGGGCAAGTGCTGTTAGCAAGCATACATGAAGGCCGGCACTGCACACATGGGGGGGTGGGTTGCCAGCTCCACACCTGGCCATCTTTGGCTCCCGAGTGGCAATGTTTACACACTGCACCTGGTGCTCACTTTAGCCCATTTCGAGGAGGCTCAGGATCGGTTCAGATAATCGTCAGCGGTGTTGGCCGCGAGCGGGAATCAAACTCGGGCCGCCGGTTTCACGATAACCACTGCGCTACCACTAATGACGACAACAACAACCGCCGTTCGCCACCGAGTGGCGGTGACATCACCACCGTGCTTGTGCCAGGCTAAGTGCTCTTTAAGGCCACGTGGCAGGAAGTCACGGGACAGACCCAAGTGCCATGGCTAACGACACGCAGGCATTAACTCAGACACGCGCATTGTTCGTGCACGCACGCGCGCAGGCGATCGACGCGATGGACAACTGGGAGGACTTGACGGAGCTGGGTCATCACCTGTCAGACCTGCCCGTGGAGCCTCACCTAGGCAAGATGGTGCTGTACGGCGTCGTGCTCAAGTGCCTCGACCCCGTGCTCACCATCGCCTGCTCGCTCGCCTACCGCGACCCCTTCACGCTGCCCAGCCAGCCGGCGCACAAACGCGCCGCCGCCTTCTCGCGCAAGAAGCTCGCCGCTTCCACGTTCAGCGATCACATGGCCCTGCTCCGGGCATTCCAGGTGGGGTGGCGCAGGTAGCAGTTGTCGCGTGGGTGGCAGGGAGGGAGGGGTTGGTTGGGCACTGTTAGACTGGTAGTAACAATAATAGTGATTTGCATTTTATTGAGTGCCCTCTGTTAAACTGTGGCATTTCTTAGAGCGCTTTCCACGTGATAAGCGACATCCAGGATGAAGGGTTTTTTGTCAGTTATATTGCGTAAATATTAATGTGTTGTTAAATCGCCACCACCCAACACAGGAAATTAGTCAGGTTTGTCACATAAACAAAACGTGCAAATGAGTTATGTCTTCAGCACACCGGTGTGTTGGAGAGTATACCCACAACATTTACAATTCAAGTACTAACAAACCTTACTAATTGGCTGTGTCGAGTGGTGGTGGGTTTAACGACACATTTATATTTACGTGATCTAACCCAAATAAACCCCTTTTTTCTGGATATAATTTGTCACGAAAGCCTACTGCGTATTAAATTGATAGACGACTTACATCACACCTCATCCTGAACGCACTACAAAGGGGGGGGGGGGCACCCCCTGTGTGGCAGCACAAGGTGGCTCGGCACCGTGCCGGCAAGCGGGATTAGTCTGCCAATAGTGGGCATCGATTTTGCTCCTGTACGTGTGATCCCAGTTGTGGTGTAATGTTTTGAAAGTGGCACATTTTGGAGCATGACGCAGTCAGCTTGACGCAGGGATACAATGGCCTACCCATTTTTTATGACGTCCGGGGATCTGTAACGTTCACTGAAAGGCAGGTGGCGTGTATTTTACAATTAATACACACCGCAGTAAAAAAAAAAATATTTTACCAAGTGAGGCCCACTGAGCTACATAGCTCTTTTTCAGAAGCGACCTGGCCACAAATGATAGCCCAATAAAGTGGCCTATCATGTGGAAATGTATTGCAGCCAAATACTCGAAATACATGTTTCTAAATGTGGAGAGAAAAAACGGAGAAAACTCCACACGACCAAGGGGAGAACATGCAAACTCCAAATATACAGCAGCAGGCGTCAGGGTCAGGATCTAACCCACGACATCCTGTATACCAGGCGAGGTCGTTAACATCTCACAAGCAAAAACCGCGGGCGGCCTGCCAGATTTGAGCCGTGAACCTCTGCTACAAGCGCCAGGCGCGCTCCCGCTGGGCCACGTCACCGCCTCTTTGCTAAATACAAAGAGACTGTTTGTGGGGAAAAACAAACTTGCCCCGTCACTGAAAAGTGTATTTCCGGTGCGCTGTCTCTGTGTCTCCGTCCTGCCAGGCGTGGCAGAAGGCGTGCGCCGACGGCTGGGAGCGCTCGTTCTGCGAGCGAAGCTTCCTGAGCCAGGGCACCATGGAGATGATCTTCGGCATGAGGTCGCAGCTGTTGGGTCAGCTGCGTGCGTCCGGTAAGACGAGCTGCATAGTCGATGCGACCGAGTGGCTCGGAAAGTTTCAGAGCGCCCAGCCGGTGCCGCTGTGATCCTGGGGTTCCAATCCAGGTTTCGGCTTCCTGTCTGTGATTAAACTGGCTTCTCAAGTGTAGCGAGTTCTTGGTCTTTGCCCGGCTACTAATGACTAACATAGAGACCGATAGACTCGCATAGATCCACAGACTCACATAGAGACCCATAGACTCGCATAGGGGCTCAGACTCACATGGAGGCCCATAGATTTACGGAGACCCGTAGACATTAGATTGAGATCCATAGTCTCACACAGACTTTGTTGTAATGATACCGGGTGCTCAAGTGTAGCAAGTTGATGGTTTCAGCCTGGTCTCCAAATGACTGCACAAAAAAATCCATTAAATTTGCTTCTGCACTTTATTTGGCTAAAATTTCAGCTCTGAGAATTTAACATTTCAGTTTGACCGTCTTGCAACGAATATTACTCTCATACGACAGAGCGGGTGTGAACCGGAGGTCACTTGAAATGGAGCTCTGTAGTAGCTCTGTGATATCCGCCTCCGTTGGTCGTTCTCCGTCACGACAGGTTGAGAGACTTCTGAATGGATTACGCATCTCATATCACGATACTTATAGCACGATAGGAATGATATTGAGGATGGGTTTTAGAAAAAAACTCCGACTATATTTGTAGTCCGTTTCTTCTTATTGTTGAAAATGTGCACTAACTCTCCTGGCAGGGTGGCAGCAGCACAGTGGCAACACTTGTGCATCACAGCAAACAGGGTCTGGGTTCGATTCTTGGTTTTGCCGACTTTCTGTGTGCAGTTTATATGTTTGTACGGTTTCCTCTGGTTTCTCTGATTTCCTCCCATAGTAAGTAAATAAATATCAACATAAAATTGAACTGATATTGGTCAAACATGCCAATGCTGTAAAACAATTACCTATAAATTACTCAATTGGGATCACACAGCAGCAGCAACATCATCGCACCTCTACTGAAAAAACTTGGCAGGCCCTTCTGTGCCACGGTGCCAAGATGTTAACTACCTCGCCTGGTATACAGGAGGTCGTGGGTTCGATTACGACCCTGACGCCTGCTGCTGTATATTTGGAGTTTGCATGTCTCTCTCCCTGTGGATTTTTCTCCGGGTCCTCCAGTTTTTCTCTCCACATTTAGCATCAATATCACACGCTTAGAGTATTTGGCTACTGCTATAAATTTCGGCATGATGGTAAGCCACTGTTGCGCAATCATTTGTGGCCAGGTTGCTTCTGAAGAATAGCGATATAGTTCAGTGGGGCCTTAACTGGTAAAATAATTTTTTTTACAGTTAAGTTTTAAAATAATCTTTCTTGTGTAAGCCAGCGTCACTGACAGTCATACCACTAATAATGATCATAATAATCGCGCGTCAGGTTTCGTGCGGGCGAGAGGCGGGGGCGACATCCGCGACCTCAACACGAACTCGGAGAACTGGCCGGTGGTGAAGGCGGCGCTGGTGGCGGGGCTCTACCCCAACGTGATCCACGTGGACCGCACCAGCCACACGCTCACCACGCAGCTCGAGCGCAGGGTGCGCCTCCACCCTTCCTCCGTGCTCGACCAGCCCGGCTTCAAGAAGGTACCACCGTGTGTGTGTGCGTGCGTGCGTGCGTGCGTGCGTGTGCGGCGTGTGTGTGCGTGCATGTGTGTGTGCGCGCCCTGCAGCTCCGTCCGTGGCAGGGGGGAAGACGGGGCGGCGCGGTTGGGGGGATAAGGCTGGAATCTCGCAGCCAGAAGGGTTTGATTCCCGACTCGGGAGACTTTCTGTTGCGTCGAGTTTGTGCTGCCCGAGTTCGATTCCCGCTCACGGCCAACACCAGTGACGATTATCTGAACCGGTCATGGGCCTCCCCAAGGTCGACCCAGCCTCAAATGAGTACCTGGTGCGGTGTATAAACATCGCCACGAGGGAGACAAAGGTGACAAGGTGTGGTCTTGACCACCCACTGCTTAGTGTGCCGTTACGGCCTTTATAGATGCTTGCTAACAGTACTTGTCCCAACAGTCTGTTCAGGCTATATGGGGATCTTTTTTTTTTGTCTAAGTTTGTGTATGAGTGTAGGTGTGTGATTATGAGTGGAGGGAGCAGTAGTGTAGTGAGCAGTAGTGTAGTGGTTAGCACACTGCGCTATGAACCTGGCGACCCGAGTTCGATTCCCGCTCATCACCAATATCAGTGGCAAATATTTGAACCGGTCCTGGGCCTCCCCTAGGTCAACTCAGCCTTACAAATGAGTACCTTGTGCAGTGTGTAAACATCAGAACTGGGGAGACAAAGGCGGCTGGACATGATGGTGGCCACCCACCCCCTCAAGGCGGTCACTTACAGCGCTTGGCCCATCAGTCTGTTCAGGTTATTTGGGGAATTTTTTTCTTTGTCTTCTTTGTGAGGAAAGATACATTTCCGTGGTTACGTTACAATTGTTCTGGTGGCATGGTGTTATCCTGAGGTGCAGCAGACCTTATAACCATGTAAAGCAGTGGCACAGTGGTTAACGCACTTCGATATGAACCCAGCAGCAACCTGAATTCAGTTCCAAGCCATGCCTAACTACTAACATGCGTGGTGAGTGATGTATCATGAACTGCCCTGTCCACCCCTTCCCCCGCCTAACCAACCGTGCACTGGCCAGCGTGGTGAAGTATGGTCATATAACCCCCACGACCTGCACGGTGTGGGGAGGCCCTCATCCAGCAGTGGATTGACATGATGGCCTGTACAATATGCGTGATGGTAACTACCTTACCTGGTATGCAGGAGGTCGTGGGTTCGATCCTGACACACGTATATTTGGAGTTTGCATGTTCTCCCCGTGGTCGCTGCAATACATTTTCACATGATAGCCACTTTGTTTAGCTTTAATTTGTGGCCAGGCCGCTTCTGCAAAAGAGCTATCTAGCTAAGTGGGACTTACCTGGTGAAATAAAACATAGTTCAGTTGAATCGATTAAAAGCCAATCTTATTGTATGGTATTATGTCTGGAGTGACTTTTGTGATATGCGCATGGCCACAAGCCACTTGCCCTAAATAGGATGAGCTTTTTTATTCTCGTGTTGGCAGCACTACCCTGCAGACATAAATATTGCCGTTTGCGGAAATTGATGGGTCAAAAGTGGACGGAGAATGGGGGGTGGTAGATTCTCGAGACCCCATGGGGATTTTTTTCACTTTGTGTGTTTTTATCTTAACTCATCTGGAAGTATTTGTTTTGGTAATGGTTTTTTTGGTCCGGGAGAGTGCAGCGCTTATTATTGTTATGAAAGTTAAAGGTGCAGCCCTGCAATTGCTTGTTCACGTCCTTGGAAGAGGCCTTCTCGAGAGGGAGCTCGCGAGGGTTCTTGTCAAGGCTATTTTTGGCCTTGTCTTCCACGCTGGCCACTATGTTCTTGGAAGAGGTGGGAGTACCCACACTGTACCCCACCCACAGGTGGCGGAGGTGGGCGGTAGCAGTGGGGCGGGGGAATAAAAGGAACTTTGTTTCAATTCCCGCCCCTGGGATATGGAATCGAACAGGCGACCCTCTGGAGTGCAATGCCGGTGCGCTAACCAGCACGCCAGCCAGCGCGCTAACCAGCCACGCTGACCACGATCCATTATTTAAGTTAACGCTAATAATTTACAGCTCACACTATAAGGCTTCCTTTACCAGTGGCAAAATATAGTAATAGGTTTTTACCCTTTCAACTGGTACAAAAATTGACACCTTTATACAAGGGATCATGTTTGCAATAACCACAACACAAGCAGTCAAAATGCAAACAAAAAGAAACAACTCTGATAATGATATGCACTGTCCTTGAAGTTGATTGGTCCACACCCGAGACAGCTTTTCTTAGAGCCTCGTCTCCATTGGTGTTGGACCAGATGACGCCAAAAGGCGAACAACTCAAAGACAGTGCACTATCAGAGTATTGAGAGCTCGGGGTAAGCATTTACACTTGTTGAAAGGGTAAAAATCTATTACTATATTTTGCCACTGGTAAGGAGGTCTCATAGTGTAAATGCTTACCCCGAGCTCTCAATACTCTGATAGTGCGCTGTTTTTGAGTTGTATGCCTTTTGGCGTCATCTGGTCCAACACCAATGGAGACGACGCTATAAGAAAAGCTGTCTCGGGTGTGGACCAATCAACTTCAAGGACAGTGCATATCATTATCAGAGTTGTTTCTTTTTGTTTGCATTTTGACTGCTTGTGTTGTGGTTATTGCAAACATGATCCCTTGTATAAAAGTGTCAGTTATTGTACCAGTTGAAAGGGTAAAAACCTATTACTAAATTTACAGCTCCTTTGTCAGCCCCCTGTTGGATGAAAACCTACATACACTATTATGTTGGTCATAGGGGTGGTTTGACCATACTTCAGCGCACACTGATGACATTGCAGGTATTTGAAGGTGGGGGAAGACTGTCCGGTCCCACTGTTGGCCCACGCGATCGTCGTCTGTCCTTTATTGTACCGGAGCGTTGGGCTTTGTTTGGGAGAAAACCGGGCGACCGACAAACACACACAGGAGTGGATTTTCTTGTTTACTACTGATTTATGTTCATGCAGTGTTTCTGGGTTTCTCACGTGACACAGTTGTTGATGCAGCTCTGCCTTTATTTTTGTATCATTGCTGTACCTTACATTTTTTTTGGTGTGGTTTTGCTATTTGTCATTTTGGTGACCCAGGGTGGTCTTGCAAATGAGAGTCACCTTAGACCTCACCTGGTTACACAAACTGAACTTGACTCGCATCACAATAACTCTGTACAGGTTAGACTTTGCGAGAGGTCCGAACGGGTTCTTTGTCTCAATTCATGATGCTAACAGCAGTTGGGATGTAACTGGGGAATTCTTTTTTATACACATTACCTCAGATATGCTTACATTTTTTAAGGTTTTCCAAAAAAATACAGGTTCAGCGTTTACGCAGACACGCGGAGCGGCTAAGACATTGGTGCGCACAGTCGTCGCAAGCGGGGGCATCATTCAGTAAAGTGACACGCAAAGTTGATGAGTGCCAAATGGAAGCATTGTTTGAATTTATTGCAAGGATGCTGCTGCACAAAGGTCAACGAGTGGATGAGACAGTTTTGGAGTAACCGATGAGACAACGTGGTTCGCGAACACGTGATGTTTTCAACATCGGCGTCTCTGCTTTCGCACTCCCTGCCCTCCCCCCCTCCCGTGTCTCCTTACCGTGCACGGCAGTCCTCCCCCTCGGAGGAGGGCATTCCGGAGGGAGTGGCGGCGCTTCCCACGGACTGGCTGGTGTTCGGCGAGATGACGCGGATGCACCGCCTGGCGAGCGCTCGCTGCGTCACCGCCGTGAGCCCCGTGGCGGTGGCTCTGTTCGCCGGCCCCTCTCGCCTGCCCGCCTCCGCCCTCCAGGGACCGTCATCGACGCACGGTGTGAACGCTGCGGGCCGGTGCCACCGGCGACGATGCCGACGCAGCCGGCGCTTCTGCGGTCACCGCCACCACTGCCACTACCGACAATACCAAATGCCACCACCATCAACAGACACCACCACTCACCACCACTGCCACTACCAACAATACCAAATAACACCACCATCAACAGACACCATCACTCACCACCACTGCCACTACCAACAATACCAGCCACCAAATGCCACCACCATCAACAGACACCACCACTCACCACCGCTGCCAACAATAGCCACCGCCCCACCTTCACTGTAAACACTTGGCAGCACAAACAAAGACTAAGGCAAATATACCCCGTATAGCCTTAAGATACCTTTGAGGCAAGTGTTATTAGCGAGTACCGATGAAGGCCGGCACAGCTAACAAGGGGGTGGGTGGCCAGCACCGCGTTAGGCCACCTTTCTCTCCCCAGTGGTGATGTTTACACACTGCGCCGGGTGCTCCTTTGAGGCTGAGTCGACCTAGGAGAGACATAGGGGAGGCCCAGGAGCGGTTCAGATGATCGTCACCGGTGGCCGTGAGCCAGAATCGAACTCGGGTCGCCGGGTTTGTAGTGCAGAATGCTGACCGCTCCACTGCCGCTCCTCACTAATACCACCTAAGATAAACATCTCGTGTGTTCTACAGAAACTGTTGTGGAAAGTGCTGTTAGCGATCGTCAATTATGGTTGACATGGGTCACGAAGGGGTGGTGTGGCCACCACCACACCTGGATGATGTTTGCACACGGCACCAGGCACTCATTTCAGGCTGAGTCGACCCTACAAGAGTCCGAGGATTGGTTCAGATATTCATCACCGATGTTTGGCTGTGAGCGGGAATCGAAATCGGGTTACCGGGTTTTGTAGCAAGGTGCGCGTTTATAGCAGCCAAATACTCTACACAAATGTTGGTAACAGGGCTGTCCTGTTAGATGTTGTTAATGACTCGGGTAAAGTTCTTAAATCTTACCAGCCAGAAAGAACCTCATATCGTTTATCTGTCATGGGATGCCCCCTGGTGGATTTTATTTTACTCAATCGAGAGCACGGAGAATGACAAAAATCTAACGAAACCGAAAGAAGGCGCACAGAAGCATGGAGAAAAATTGTTTCTGTGAATTACTCAGAGAGCGAGAGAGGCGGACGCCTGGGTTGGAGAACGTGCGCAGAAAACACACAAATCAAACATTACAAACCATGCAGTGTAAGTGGCATCGACCAAACACCCCAATGCCGAAACAAAAATACCTCCATATTATCATATAAAAAATGCAAACTCAATTTTACGAAGTGCCTTTAAAAGTAGCAATCTCTAAACTCGATTTGGATTGCACACAGCAACATCGCCCCCCCCCCCCCCCCCATTCCCCCTACTGTGAAAAACTTGGCAGGACCCTCCTGAAAAAGAGTATTGAGACTCGGCGAGGCTTTCCTGCGTAAAATGAGCAGATCATGACAATATATAGGCTCCGCATTGACCAGTTAATCGCTATAAGGGATCCATAATTTAGGTTTTTTTTGGGGGTTAGATCGGAGTAAATATAAATGTGTTGTTAAACCGCGATCTAACCCAAAAAGAATCCTTTATTATGGATAATATTTGTCACGAAAGCCTACACATTAAACCGCTTTAAGTGGATTTTTGGGATTGATCGCTGAAATATAAATGTGTCGTGTAACCCGCCACCACCCGACACGGCCAATTAGTAAGGTTGTCACGTAAACAGAATATGCCAATTCGGCACGAGTACATCACACCGGTGTCTTAGACAGCAAATCCACAACATTTACAATCTGAGAACGACATCTCGCCAGTAATTACAACTCGTATCATGAGGTCGTGAAAGCCGACGTGTTAAACCGCTATAAGAGGTGATTTCCGAGAGCCGAGGCAGGTGATGGATTGGCAGTCAGAGGAGGTAACACACTCGCAAGGCATGAGCATTATAGGGAGAGGGGGCACCGCCTAGTATACAGGAGGTCGTGTGTTCGATGCCGACCGTTACGCCTGCTGTATAGTTTCAGTTTGCGTGTCTCTCCCCGTGTTTGCGTGGCTTTTTCCCCCGGGTCCTCCGGTTGCCCTCCACATTTTGAATCATACGTTGAGAGTATTTGGCTGCTGTAAATTTCCACATGTTAAGCCGCTGTTGAGCTATCATTTGTGGCCAGGTTGCTTCTGAAAAAGAGCTACATAGCTCAGTGGGCCTTACACCTGCTAAAATAAAAATAGTATATATGTATGTATGTTGAACTTATTTCACATTGTACGTAGCCAACCGTGCTTAATCGGAGGTGTGGAGGAATGACAACAAACTAAACACAAAAAGCAGTTCTAAAGAAATTAGTTTTCAATTGATAGTGCTTACATAGATGAAGCGTTGAAATTGGCTCGTGTGCAGGTCACGGCTCGGTGTTTATGAGCCGGTGGTCGTGGGCCGGCAGTCACGGGCCGGTGGTCACGGGCCGGTGGTCACGGGCCGGCGGTCACGGGCCGGTGGTCACGGGCCGGTGGTCACGGGCCGGTGGTCACGGGCCGGTGGTCACGGGCTGGTGGTCACGGGCCGGTGGTTACGGGCCGGTGGTCACGGGCCGGCGGTCACGGGCCGGCGGTCACGGGCCGGTGGTCACGGGCCGGTGGTCACGGGCCGGTGGTCACGGGCCGGTGGTCACGGCTGCGACGGTGACCGTGTCTTGCCTGAACGTGCGTGCGTGTGCAGTGGAGGGGATTCCCTACGACAGCAGCGACAGCGAGATGGAGGAGATACCGTCGGTGAAAACGGCCGTTTTGCATCTCGACGAGTGGATCAACTTCAAGTTGGACCCCGAGGTGAGGGACGCCGTCACCGCCATCGTCGTCGTCAGCCGTGGTCATATCCGCTGCTGGATGATGAATGTGTAGAGTTGCTTTTGTCACTGCCGGATGAAAGCCTCCCCATGCCGCCACCGCCGCCACCACCTCTCAATCGTGCAGTGCGACAACAACAACCCGTCCAGCACCTGGACGCAAACGCTCATCGCTCCGTCTCCGTGGTGGACGTGCTCTCGGACGCGTCGCGTCCCTTGGCTGCCGCTCCATTATTATTCCTGATCGTCGGCCTGTATCGAACCCTTCTCGTGGCGCGTACTTCCCAAGCCCTCTGCCCGTCCTTATTGCTGCGCTGCGAACGGCATCATTACAAGCTGCGCGTGTGTGTCTGGTCTCTCAGCGGTGGACGTACACTCTTGGCTGCCGCTCCGTTATAATTCCTGACCGTTGTCCATCTTCGCTTCTTCACCGTGGCACATCCTGCTCAAGCCCTCCCTCTGCTTTCCGAACAGTTTAGTTTGATGTCATAAACCTCACAATAAAGGTTTTTTTTGGGGGTTAGATTGTCTTGAATATAAATGTGTCATTAACCCACCAGCACCCGACAGCCAATTTTAATAAGGTTTGTCACGTCGAACAAAACGTGCAAGTTAGTTACTGCTTCAGCCCACCGGTGTGTTGGAGAGTAAATCCACAACATTCACAATTTGAGTACTGTGACATTTCGCTGGTTTCGATTTAAAGCTTTCGTGACTGCAGGGATTCATATTCTTGGATCTTTCGGTAAAGTCACCTGAGAATGGCTGCTTGTGTTGTGGCCGAAACGTCGTGAGAATTTTATTACGTTAAATTTTTACTATTTCCCTTCTACGTGACTTTACCGAAAGATCCAAGAATATGAATGACATTCAGCTTCATCAGGCGATTTTGCCAGAAGTGGGCCGAAGTAGTCACCAATTGGCACGTTTTTGTTTACGTCACAAATCTTCCTAATTGGCCTCGTCGGGTGGTGGGTGGGTTAACGACACATTTATATTTACGCGATCCAACCCAAAAACAACCTTTTATGTATAATATTGGTCGCGGAATCCCTACTACTACGTGTGAAACTTGTCATTAACCTGTGCGTGTTTTCTCGTTCACGTGTGCGTCTCTCAGTGTAATTCCCAGCACGAGTGAGGCGAGGAATACCAAAATATCCGACAAGAAGTCAAAAATCTGATGAGGCTGTTACGTTGGTTTTTTTGCTTCCTAAGAGCCTACGTGTTAAACTGCTTTTTAAGAGTTGACTGCATGGCACGGAGCGCTTCATCGAGACGGCTGAGATCCTGGGTTCACAACCTGCTCTTTAGACCGCCTGCGATTACACCGGGCGGGCACAAGCGTGGCGATTTGATGGTTTCAGCCCGGCTACCGATGGCCGTACAAATACCCCATCATATTTACCCTGGTGGTTTTTGTATGTCATTTGGCTCAATCGAGGTATCAGTTTTACATCCGGCTTAATTACAACCGTCTCTGTTGCTAGTCTATGGGTCTCTATGTGAAGGTGCTTGTCTCTGTGGGGCGCCACGGTGACGAAATGTTAACTACCTCGCCTGGTATTGCAGGAGGACGTGGGTTCAATCCCGACTCTGGACGCCTGCTGTATATTTGCAGTTTGCGTGTTTCCCCCTTGGTCTTGTGGATTTTTCTCTGGGTTGTCTGGTTTTTTCCTCCACATTTAGAATTAACATGCATGCCGAGTATTTGGCTGCTATGAATGTCCACGTGATAAGCCACTTTGGTGAGATATCAGTTGTGGCCAGGTTCCTTCTGAAAAGTAGCTATGTAGCTCAGTGGGCCTTACCTGGTAAAATAAAAAGTTTAGTTTTAATTTACAGAAGAGTTGGCGAGGCTTTCCTGGGGAAACAAGCATCGTCATATTAATACAAATGTATTTATAAGAATCATTTACTTGTTTATCCAGGAGTTGTAGGACTCTTTTTCAGGAGGCTCCTGCATTGAGTTTTTATTTTAAGATATTTGTAGCCAATCAATGATGAGTCGTGTTTATTATTCACGTGTGAGAGGAAACCGGAGCACCCGAAGAAAACCCGCGCCTTGCGCGAGGGGGCAACGCTCTATCCCCACACAGATGGAGATTAGTCCACTTTGCTGTACTGCCTTGTGGCGTGCCAGGGATACGGCTCCTCCCCGACTCCTACAGGCCGGGAGTTATAGAACATTAGCGCAGCGATCAACCAAAAAGTTTTTCTTTAAAACTGCTTTTTGTGTAAAGTTTTTTGTCCTTCTCCTGCACCTCCAATTAGCAAGGTTGGCTACGTACGGTGCGAAAGAAGTTCAACATACTAACAGGGACTCGACTTAAGAACTTTCCGAGATACAAACAAACCTGTCCGTATATCCAGTTGCCTGTTTGGACCGAGAGTCGTAAGTTCAACCGCCGGGCAATAGATGGCAGTGGTGGCATCTACATCTGCAGAACGTGAAGAGCCAGTGGCATCTACATCTACAGGAGATTATACAACTTTTAAATCCATCCCCGGTGTTTAGTGTACTTGCCGTACAACATGTTTGGAATCAACAGGAGTAAAGTTAGACTTATGAACAAATCGACTTTCGAACAGACCTTTGGAACTTAATTCCGCTCCCCTCCGCCCCCCCCCCCCGCCAGGCGGCGAACCTGCTGCTGCAGCTGCGGCAGAAGTGGCACACGCTGTTCGTGCGCCGCATGCGGGCGCCGTCGCGCGCCTGGTCGCAGGCGGACGAGGCGACGGTGAGCGCCGTCATCGCGGCGCTCGCCTGCGAGGACGAGGCCCTCGGCCTGCAGCAGCCCACCGGCATCGGCCAGCGGCCGCGGCCGGTCGTTCCCGAGGAGCCGCACTTTGCGCCGTCCACGACGGCGCGGGGGGCCGCGCCGAGGTGTTCGCCCCCGGCACCCGCGGTGGCGGCGGCGGCGGCGGCGGCGGCTTCGTGGAGGGCCGATCGCAGCCGGAAGAGCGGCGGTGGTGGCGGCAATGGCGGCGGTGGTGGTGGTGGAGCCGGTGGTGGTGGTGGGGCCGAGACGACTGAGGAGTTGCTGGTGGCCGAGATGTGAGGCCTTCATCATTTTTCTTTTATTTATCGGGCAGGGAGGTCGGTGGCAGTTGTTGTGTAGATAACACAAATCTGTGGGTCTCTGTGTGAATGTATAGGTCTTTTTCCCGTAAGTGTGTAGGTCTCCAGGTGAGTGTAAACAGACTTCTATGTACATCATTGGCTTTGATCTTCAACTCGCTCGACTTGCAGCACGGATGTGAGAGGTCGTCGCGTCCGTGGCCTGTCAGGAGAAATAAAAAAAATGATGACTGATCACTCCGAAACCAGTTTAACACATAGTATGCTTTCACGACCAATATTTTCCGTAATAGTGGTTTTTAGGTTAGATCGCATAAATATTCATGTGCCGTTAAATCCGCCACCACCCGACGCAGCCAATTAGTATGTTTTTTCACGTAAACAAAGCGTGCCAATTCGTTCCTAGTACTGCACACCGGTGTGTGTCGGAGAGTAAACCCACTACAACATTTACAATTCGAGTATCGTGACGTTTCGCCAGTAATTACAACTAGCATCAGCTGATGCTACAATTGGCACGTTTTGTTTGCGTGGCAAACCTTACTAATTGGCTGCGTCGGGCGGTGGCGGGTTTAACGACACATTTATATTGAAACAATCTCACCCAAAACCCTCCATTATGCACTGCGAAACCGCTGGGCGTGTCCGTAGGTCCAGGGTGGTGCTCCCCCCGCCCGGGTTCCAGCAGCTGAAGCCGCAGCAGCAGCAGCAGCAGGGCCCGCCGCTCCTCGATCGTCGGTCGGCCGCTCACAGGGGCAACGGCGCCATCGCTGCCGCCGCCGCCGCTCCCCCTGTCGCCGCCTCACCGCCCGCCTCCGCCAAGGTGACGCCCTCGCGTGTGCTGCGTGCCGCTTACATAACGTGTTGGGTTTTTTTTTTAAGTTTGTCCACGCGCGGAGATGAGTCGCGTCAGCTCCACGCACTGCGTCAGCCGTCCCTTTAGTCCTCTGCCCAGCGGTGGAAAATCACAGCCGCCTCCATCCTGTCGGATCCATTTAGCTTTCTTCCTCCCTGCCTCCTTCGAGTCTTCAAGCAGCATCTTGTTAGTGCCTCTTTCCCCAACATCCCTGACACTTCTAGAATTTTGAAAACTTAAATGTATTTAGAACTGCTCGTTGTGTTTCGTTTGTTTGTCCTTCCCCCGCACTTCCGATTAGCGCGGTTGGCTGTGAACGGTGCAAAATAAGTTCAGCATCCGTACAACTTCCTTCAGCCAGCTCTCACCTCTGAGAAAGTGCCCAATGCACGTATTTAGCCCTTTCTGGGTCATTGTCGTCGTCACACACACACCATCATCGCACGCAGTAACATCACCAGATCGCGTAAATATATAAATGTGTCCTTAAACTCGCCACCACCCGACACAGCCAATTAGTAAGATGTGTCACGTAAACAGAACATGCCAATTCGTTACTGGTACAGCACCTACCGGTGTGTTGGAGAGCAAAGCCACAACATTTACAATCTGAGTACGACGTTTCGCCAGTAATTACAAACGGCATCATCAGGCGGCGGACAGATTTGTGGAGAAAACCCTTCCTTCCAGAACTTCCTTCTTGCAGCCCGCACCGCTGAGAATGTACCCCAATCCCACATCCTTACCCTCGCCTAGCTTATCCGCTGCGTGCTATGCCCACGAACGAACCCCTTCAATCGACGCAAACCCCTCGCGGGGCCCCCTTCCTGTGCCGTTCAGTTAATTTTCCCGCCCGTCCGTTCTCGCCGGCTTGGCCCCGCGACCAGGGTCCGAAGCCTCCGTCTCCGCGGCGGGCGCCGGCGAGCGTGCGCTACTTCGTCATGAAGAGCAGCAACATGCGCAACCTGGAGCTGTCGCAGCAGAGGGGCATCTGGTCGACGACGCCTGCCAACGAGCAGAAACTGAACCGCGCGTTCCTCTCGTGCCCCGTCGTCTACCTCGTCTTCTCCGTGCAAGGCTCCGGACACTTCCAGGTTTGTTGCCGAGGCATCCGGCAGCGCTTGGCAGGGGTGGTGGTGGTGGTGGTGGGGGGGCGGTGGAGGTAGATCAAAACGACCCTCCGTAACTGGACAGAGCTTCGTAGAGCTCATCGGATTCCTCTTCCTGCAGTCTAAATAAAGATTCTGGATTCTGAATTGTTTGGTACGTTTGGTGTTGTTGGCGCTGTTGTCATAGTGCAGGGCCATCACGAAGGAAGGCAACGTGTTACGGCCCTCGCCTGATACGCAGGAGGTCGTGGGTTCCATCCCGACCCTGACGCCTGCTGCTGTATATTTGGAGTTTGCGTGTCTCTTTATCTCTTCCCGTGGTCGTTTGTATTTTTCTTCCGGGTCCTCCGGTTTTTCCCACCACGTTTAGAAAAAGCTTAGAGTATTTGGCTGCTGCAAATTCCCACGCGATGAGCCATTTCGTTGAGCACTCATTTGTGGCCGGGTCGCTACTGAAAAAGCGCTTTATAGCTCAGCGGGCCTCACCTGGTAAAATAAAAAAAAAATGTTTCAAACCACAAAAATACTACGCGCCGTAGAATCGATGCAGGACGAGCGAGCGTCCCGGGTTGGGCGCGACGGTGGCTGTGTCCGCAGGGCTACGCGCGCATGGTGTCGGAGATCGGCAAGGAGCGTTGCCAGGAGTGGGGCTCCCCCGCGCTGGGCGGAGTGTTTCGGGTGCTGTGGCTGTACTTGGGCGGCATCCCCTTCCAGCAGGTGCAGCACCTGCTCAACCCGTGGAACGACAACAAGAGGGTGCAGATCAGCCGCGACGGGCAGGTGAGCCTCCGTCCCCCCCTGCCGCCCCCCCTCCCCATGGAGTTCGAGAAGCTTTCCATGGCTGTACCGGAGGAATTTCCACCAGCTCAGACCTCCTGTAAATTACGTGATATGTGTGGTCCCCCCCTCTCTCTGAAACCATTCCATGCCCTCTGTGACAACACACAGAGCTCTTTGGCTCACTCATTCTCTCTCTTCCCTCCACTCTCATCATCATCATCACCCTCTTGCCGCCGATATCTTGGCCTGGTCATTCCTTCTCCTCCTCCCTCCCTTCCTGCCTTTCCCCCTCATCTCTTCCTGCTGTTCATCTTGAGCCATGCCTCTTTTTCTGTCTTAGGGACCTCCTTCCCACTTTATCCTTGACTGTACACTCCATACATTCTATTCTTGACTCTTCATCCCTTCCCGGTAGTGTGCCCTGGGTTAAACACATCAGAACGGAAACATCAATACAGGCTGAAAACAAATAGGTTTTGCAGCGGCACACGCAGCGTTGCACAAAGTCACTGAATGTGTGGCCATTTTTGTCATTTAGATCACCGGCGCAGACATTTGAGAAAATTATGGCCATCCCAAAATTGTTGCCTCTAGGCGAGTGCTAATTGCATTTATGCAAAGTGTTTCAAGGTACAAGTCCTCTCCGTACATGGGTCTCCCAGGGGAATATGGCAGCAGCGAACAGTGATTACTGGTGTGCTGATGATTCCTCATGCCGATGAAACCAGTCTACAGTTGTCCTTGTTTCACTGCTGTCTGTTGGGACGGCCACATTTTCTCAACTCTCTTGAGTCAGTGGTTTTAAACGGAAAATTGGCACACATTCAATTACTATGAGCTGGTGGTCTGGGTAAGGCTGAGAGTTTTTGTATGCAGTTGTGCACACCTTTCTGTGGTTAAATCTGCGCATGACTGTTGTGATGGCGGTGCCCGTGATACAGACGGTGGTGGCACGCGTGGGGAGCGATAGTGTAGCTGTGAGCCATACTTTGTTGGTGCCACGTGTGTGGCAGTGATGATGGGTAACGGTGCTTGTGATGGTCGTCACGGTGCATGCGGTTTATTTCTGTGCTTGCGATGATGTTGTGGGAGGGCACGTGGCGGTGACATTGGCATGACGTGGCGTTATTGCTGAGGCCGACTAATTACAACTCTGGGGATGTCCATTACAGGAGCTTGAGACTCAGGTTGGAGAACAGCTGCTCAAGTTGTGGGACAGATGGCCCCGTGCCGGTGGCGGCGGCGGCGGCGGTGGTGGCGGTGGTGGCGGCGGTGGTGGCGGTGGTGGTGGCGGTGGTGGCGTGGGTGCCACTGGCGCCGCTGCCAGTGCTGATGACTACACGGCGGATCTAATTGGAAGCAGAGAAACACGCACCCCGGCAGATGGGAACCCCCTCTACTCGAGGGCTGTGGTAAAATTTTCATTTTTATTCCCGTCAAAATAAGTAGTGATGAAAACGATAATATTTATTTTCCTTGGGAAATTGAATTCCGTTGACGAGTTGTGGCACGTGGGGGGAGAACCGGAGAAGCCGGAGACAACCCATTCGTACGAGAGCGTCACACTCTCAGATCTCAGCAGCAAGGTTTTTGTGTGTTGTTTAAATACACCGCTGTCCTGTCACCTCCTGAATGCCTCTCAGGCACCAGCCCACAGCACCTGGCACATCCCCAGTATTAACCAGGCTTCAAACCTGCTTCACTTTGGAAAATCACACGACAAAATAACCTTGTTTAAAAATCCAAACTGCGAATGGCATGTAAATGCACCCTCGTATTCATGTACACGTTCCGCTCACTGGAGATCATCCGTGCTGGGCTAAACGCGGGTCTCTGCGGCACGTTTAGGGGCTGTGCCCACCGTGCGTTTGCGTGCACGGTGATGCCCAACGTTTCAGCGCGCGTGGTGGGAGCTTCTCCCGGCAGTGCGTAACTTGTACTGTCTGTACGTAGAACTTCTTTTGCACCGTACGTAGCCAACCGTGCTAATCGGAGGTGCGGGGGAAGGACGACAGATTTGAGCGGCATAGATCCAAGACGGGCAAAACTCTGGACCGGGTTTCGGCATGCAGTCTCGTCATCAGCCACAGTCAGGCTTGCTGTAATCAATGCTGGTGAATTTGCCGATCTTACCGCTACGGTGACCATAAAAAGTTCGATTAATTGTTATACAGCGATACGTAGCTCAACATAATCATGCGGGTCGTCGCCGAGGTATCTAAATAACAACAGTAATTGAGCAGACGAATGTCGCCTTCACGTAACTCTCTCTCGACGCAGGAAATACAAAACATTTCTTCCGCACAACAGAGTGGGTACGTTCAGCAGCATCGATTCAAAACAGGGCCGGTTTCGACGCGCAGTGTCTCATCACCGCATGCGTGTGGGAGCTTCTTCCGGCAGTGCATAATTTAGCGGCATTGATTCAAGACGGGCACAACTCTGGGCCGGTTTCGGCACGCAGTGTCTCGTCAGCAGAGTCAGGCTCTGCTTGAACGAATGCTGGTGAACTGCCGATCTTACGGGCAAGGGCCCCTCTCTCATTACCTATTCGACCCTTCGACGAAGCTCCCTAGCTCGTGAGTCGAAACGTCGGGATGATCGAGCGCCGCACGGTACAGCGGGGACATGAACGCTCGTCCCCGCGGGGCGTCCCGTGAATGTTTATTTTATTTGTCACGGGACAGCTTATGTTTCGCTGGTATTTTAAATTATTTTTTACTATCTTTTTTTTACAAAGCTGGGTAATTGAGCCAGGAAGTCTCATGAATCATTATAGTCTTTTAAACAGGCAGGGGAGAAAAGCAATCAGCCCGGATAATGCAAACCCTTTATAATGTCATAAAATCCGAGCGGCGGTGTAAGTTATCGCGATTGGCTCATTCAGCAGTTTTACTGGCACGCAGCACTTCCATTTAATAAAGTATTGATGCGCTAGAATGAAAGCAAAGGAATTATTTTTTTTATCTCGTGTAAGCTTTCTGTTAATAGCACCGCCCGCTCTCGTGTTGAACACAAACGGAACTGAAAGTTACACTAAATAAACAGAGACTTTTTGTAGTTCTCCCCACACACACACGTGTATAGTTTTACTCCATTAGCCTCCACTGCTTGCAGACACATTCTTCCCCTTCTTGCATGTGGCTTTGCTGTATGGCAATGTACGCGTCCATTGGTGCGACTGGGTGGCGCAGTGGCGGTTAACATTTGTGCCTCGCAGCAGCTGTGTCTGGGTTCGATTGACAACTGGGGCGCGTTTTCGTGTTGAGCTTGTGCGTTCTCCTCCGCTTCTGCAGAGTGAGTGTGTAATTGTGAGCGTGTGATGATTGTGCGTGCGTTAGAGTGTGAGTGAAAGTGTGCACGTATTCCACTTTGGATGGGTGCAAGGGTGTGTGTGTGTGTGAGAGTGTGAAAGAAGTTGTGTATGCAAGTGGGGAGCTGTGGCACAGCGGTTAAAGCGCCGCGCTACGAACCCGAAAGCCCGAGTTTGATTCTTGCTCAAGGCGAACACCAGTGATGATTACTGAACCAGTCGTGGTGCCTCCGCTAGGTGGGCTCTGCCTTAATTGAGTACCTTGTGCGGTGTGTAAATATTGCTACTGGGGAGACAAAGGTGACCGGGTGTGGTGCTGGCCACCCACCTCTTCGTGTGCCGTGCCGGCCTTCATAGGTGCTCGCTAACAGCACTTGCCCCAACAGTCTGTTGAGGCTATACGGGGGATGTGTGTCTTTGTGTGCAGGTGTATGTTCTCACCCTGTTCTGCATGGGTTTCCTGCTGGTTCTCTGGTTTTTTTCCCATAGCTAAACGAAAACCTACACAATGTAACTGGATTTGGCCAATACATCCCAATGCTATCTAAAAGAAAATACTCGCAAATTACACATTTGGGATCATACACAGCAGCAACATCGCTCCCTGCCAGCGAAAACGTGGGAAAGGAACCCTCCTGAAAAAGAGCTTTCATGGATAAACAAACATCATAATAAGTAACCTCGCATGTGCGCGTGGATGTATGTTGAACTTATTTCGCACCATACGTAGCCAACCGTGCTAATCGGATGTGAGGAGGTTTTGTTGACTGTTTTATTTGTTTTTTTGTTTCCAGCGAGACTTGGAACAGCAGGCCGCTGCAAGTCAGTCCCCTCTGCAGATGCCGAGGTACTAACCAGCAGCCTTGCCGAGCGGACACACCGCGCGCCGTGTGTGCGTGGGCGAGTCCTCTGGTACGGGGAGCAGCGGTGCAGCGGTTAGCGCGCTTGCGCTATGAACCCGGCGGCCCGAGTTCGATTCCTGCTCATGGCCAACAGCAAGTGATGATTTGCCTGCACCAGTCCTGGGCCCTCCCCTGGGTCGATTCAGCCTTAAATGAGTTCCTGGTGCGGTGTGTAAAAATCGCCGCGAGGGAGACAAAGGCGGCCGGGCGTGGTGCTGGCCACCCACCCCCTCGTGTGCCGTGCCGACCTTCATAGCTGCGCGCTCACAGCACTTGTCCCAACAGTCTGTTAAAGGCTATATGGGGGATCTTTGTCTTTTATTACTTGAGTGCTCTGGTGTTTTAAATTTTCCGGGCATTTAATACGAAACAAACAACACCACGCCTTACTGAGTGTTGGTATTGTCTCAATCAAGGTGTGTGTGTCACCTCGTCTCAACTGTGAAGTACGAACCACGTCGTGTACGCCCGTGGGCATGCGTGCCTGTGCATGCCTGTGCACGCGTGCGCATGCGTGCCTGTGCATGCGTGTGCATGCGTGTGCATGTGTGCGTGTGCGTACATGCGCGCGCATCTTCCTCACCACTCCTCACAACAACTAGCGGAGCGTCGGGCTGCTGAAACGCAGCGAGTTGCCACAGGCGGTGCTGCTTCTGTCATCGCGGTCGGTCAAACCCACTGCACTCGAATTCTGTCCCGTGACCTGCCTGCGAGCCCCGACACGTGGCCTCGAAGTGCACCCGGCCTGGCGCAAGCGCCGTGGTGACGTCGCCGCCACTTGCTGGGGAACGGCGGCTGTTGCTGTTTGCCGTCTTTCCCCGTCTGAACATTTGCCCGAGCGCAGCAGAGGGACGTCCTGCGGTGACACCTCACGCTGGCGTAATCGTTCGCGTCTTGAGTGGAGAAAGCGAGTAACACAATGACCAAGCGGATAGTACGCCTCATTCACATATCTGCCCGTCCATGTACAACATGTTAGTAAGTTTATATTCACTCCCATGAGGCTGTGCAGCTGATGAGAAGGCAGTACAGCAAAGTGCCGACTAATATCATCTGTCCCTTCCGTAGGGGGTAGAATGATGCTCACTTGCACGTGTGGGTTTACCCCGGGTGCTCTGGTTTCCTCACGTATACTCTTTAACTGGTTGACAAACACCTTAATATATAGTGCATCGCAGAGCTTGGACAATTGTTGGTTATCGCCATCCCAGCACCTGGCTGCTGCCTTCCCGCTTCTCTGTGGCTACTCGGCGATTTCGAGAGATGGAATTGGCATGAATGGTGATGCTGTTATATCTGAAGCTAAACATTACAAGGTGTAAAAAAAACTAAATAATTTTACGCGGAGGGACAGATCCGTGACAGAGGCTCATTGTTGTCTGCTTAGTTGTTGGGTTATATCCCACGGTAGTGCGGCTATAAGCGTCCGAAACGAGGGGTCCCTTCAGAGAGGTCACCGATTCGTTGCGGCCGGCGATCGCGTGGCTTCCAGAAGCCGTCCTGCAAATCTTCAGCCGCAAATGTAATCATTGTCATCGTCACATTGGCTTTTAAAGTCCTCAGGATCTTCAAAAGTGAGATCCTTGAATGAACGTAACACGTAGTAAGCGGTACGTTTTTTCAGCCAATGTTACGATTTAGTTTTTGTTGGGTTAGGCCGCGTAATGATCCGGCCAAATTTGTCGTAAGACCCTCCACCACCCGACACAGCCAAACAAATAAAATCGTCACGTTTACAAGCGTTCAACAACGCACGCCGATTGTTATTGTCTAAGCCTACTCACCGCTGAGGTTGAAGAGCAAACTCTCACAGCCAAGGTTAGTCATTTAGACGTCCGACGTTTTCCTTGAATCTACACCAAGCGTGTTTCGGGGGACATTGCGTCCTAGTCTGTAGGCCGCTGTCATTTAGGGTTTGTGGCGGGCGAAATCCCCGACTCAAAACGGAACGCGACGTCGCATCGCCGCTACCCAACGGGGAGGCGTCACAGCTCGCGCCGGCCGGCGGGTGCCGCTCGCCCCGTCGGCCCTCCCACGCTCGCCCAAGAAGTGGTCACAGATTGTTCATTCTGGCGGGGAGCGCCGTCGTCGATTGACGCCGTCTCCCGCTGTCGTAACGTCAAGGCCGTGGTGCCGGCTTGTTTTGTTGTTTACTGCGCCACGCATTGTTGTTATTTCGTGGCTTTAAAGGAGCCGCAGCGGTGGACTGAGAGTGGGAAACCTCGTTTCGTTTTTTTAAATTCCCGCGGTCGAAATGCCGCGGCGTTATTCAACACGGCGTTGGTTGCGCGCTCATTCGGCGCCGCCGTGATGTCGATGCTGCTTCTTGCGAGACCTCAATCGTATTGAGCTGCCTCGGTTTAATCATTGAGGGGGGGGGGGGGTCTGTAAATGTTTATTTTATTGTCCCCCACGCGATTTAAAATCTGAGTTGGCTCGGACTCCCGTTCACTTCTCTTGTTCGGCCCAACTTGTGTTGTCCACGTCGTGCGTGCGCATCGTTAGCAACCGGAGGCAGCAACATTGGCGGTCCTTGCGGACATGTACGTGTGTTTCGTCACTTCCATTCTTGCCGATCCACTGCCAGATGAGGGCCTCCCTACACCAAGCCACTGTCATCACCACCACCACCAACTGGACATTGGATTGGTAAATCATCATTTTCATCATCATAAGCACGATTTTACAAAGGCGTACCCACGTCGGATGGAGAGACAAACCTTCGCGGGTCAACACACGGCATTGAACGTGCGCAGTGTAACCCACCCTCCGGTAAATCCGCTGCCGGATGAGTCGTCTGCCCACGCTGTGCGCGGCGCGTGGGGGTTTTATCACCATGCTCATTCGCCGCGCGCGTTGGTGCGGGTCGGCCAAGGTTGGCGAGGGGACGCGACGACAGACAGGTGCTCCGCAGCTATGGATCTTCTCCACCGTCCTCTGCTGCCCACCACACTGCTCCGCAGCAGCGGCAGCCTGGAGCCGGCTGCGTCTCTTATGCTTTGGGCTCGCCCCCTAGCTTAGTCCCAGTGGCGGGGAGAGGGGCGCGTCGTTCCGGACGAACCGCTTCTCGACGTTTCTGTACTCTGCGGTAATTGCCGCTCGGAGTAAGATGCGAGAGACACGCGAGAAACTGAACCGTACGCGCCTGGGCTGTGCGTTTGACCGCCCTTTTAAAGTTCCGTTATTGTGTTTTAAAATTATTCTGTTCACGCGATCCCCGCATCCGCTGAGGGGCGACCGTCAGGGACGTGGAATACGACCACGTGACTTTTACCCGGCCGCCCTTGGAACGGCCCGCAAAGTTACATTTGACCGTCGCTGCGATCGTCTCGGCCGCACCCCGATCGAAACTAAGTAGTTGAAGGTATCTATCTTTAAGATAATCTGGAAAACGAGAACTTTAGATCAAAGCCAGTCCACTCCCGTCGCTGCAAGGGCCTTGTTATACTCTTTGGTTAACACACACACATAAGTGCGCGTTGTTGTGTTTGCGTTGTTATTGGATAAACGCCGGCGCGTGCGTGCGCAGTTGCCTACCAGCCGTATTCGCCGTGCCCCGCCCTCTACGATCACAATGGAGACGTGAATCCCGAAAGGCATGGTGACCTCCCCATCGTTTTGACGGCCGTTGTTCTGATTGCAAGGGGAGAGAGGGACGTGGCCATACCCTGAGGCGTGTGTCGTGTCCACTGTTGGTCTTTTAGGTCTCCGTCAGAAAGCTGCTTTTGGAAATGCGTTGCGTTTGAAACACAGCGCTCAAAGTTTGCGTTTTTTTCTTTTATCCGCATGAAAACTGTTGTGGTTGTGTGATGAGAAGTTTGACAAAATTAAAAATGTTCAGTCAAGGTTGTATCGCTGTCATAAAGTTTCCAAGAATCTCTCAAGAGTCCAACGATTTTTGATTGAGATGTTCTATTTCTTTTTACGAACGTCTCACTTTGCTAAATTCACGACGTAAAAGGTGCAGCCCCGCAATTCTTGGCTCACGCCACTGCTGGCAGAAGGGGCCTCTACTCGAAGGAGCTCGGCAGCCCCTCTAGAAGAGGTTACTCTGGCCTACTCCTCCACTCTGACCTGATGTAGCAGTGGGAGTACCCACACTTTGCCCCACCACCACACGTGACCTGCCGATCGACTGCGCTTTCAACCTTAATCCTGTTTAAAATTGTTATCTTCGTGAAAATTGTTGAAAACAAAGTTCTCTTTAAGAAAATGTACATTTTAACTTTCGTTTACGTATCCTCAAGTGTTTTGCCATTGCCGAAGTGGTTTGCTCTTCTCTCCCGCGAGCACTTTAATGAATGACGCTGTTGGCGAAGGCGCACGAACAGAAAAACAACAATCGCCGCGTCTCCCCGGGACGACTCGACACGGCCGTCAACGACGCTGCCCCGAAATGAAACGCGATAAGCAGACGAACCGCCTACCACCTCGCCGTAGAAGGGCTATTTCCTGCAACGTCGCCCCATTTCATTGTCTTTTATGCGCCACTCCCAGCATAGTATCACAAATAAAATGTGTTCCTTGTTTAATGGGCCGAGTCAGGGTTCTTCAACTTCATTTTCTGCCCGGCCACTTAATAAAATTAACAACGTAATGATGATTTACAGTGCTGTCAATTGCATCTTTCCGTGGCCACTTAGGTGATCAATAACAGCAATTGTTCGGTCTGATTTCATCTGTCTCGTCTGTAGCTCATGCCCAGAGCTCTCCGACAGCTGCCTCCCGTTCTTGAGCCTCTTGTCAAGTCACTAATCTCTATTCTCCAATTCTCATCTCGCTCGTTTTTTCCCCCTTTCATCTCGGCGACGTGATCCGGCAGTGGCGCGTTCGCCACTCACCGCAAGAGGGGTACGCGGTTCGACTCCAGGCCGCCCCGGTTAATACGGCGTCTGTGTATTAAACCTAATGCAGTCTGTTCTAGAACGCCGCGGGTTTTAATTACGTGAATTGGATTATACAATGCGATGAATGTATTGGGGAAGACTTTTTTTGACGACGCGGATGCGAAGTGTGATGTAACGCGATCGAGTGAACGGTACGACGCCGCTCCAGTAAGAGTACGCGGCGGTTACGGCTGCCTCGTAGCATCGCACGAAGCAGGACGCTGCTTGATGCTCCGAGAATCTCGATGCTACCCACGCGCCTCGGTCTGTGTGGCCTGCGTACGCATCTCACGTGTTATCGCGCACTGTGCTTTACCCCTTTATTATATTTTGTTGTATTATAAGGCGATTTTGCCATCACGCGGTGTTCTTCGGGAGCGCAACTACCACCGCTTTATCGGAGGACAGACTTTTGGCTATGCCACATAAACCGTCGTAGGCGTCCAAATTTAAAAAATTTACACCGCAAATAGCGCATTGGAACGACACCGCTCCCCGCTGTGAAACCACTTGCAGACTGCGTCCGCGAAACAGCAGCGCCTTCATGATAGCAAAGTGCTGTAAGAATGATAGCGCCGATACAGATGTACTCATTAAATTACTCCCTCTTGCTTAGCCTTAATCTCACTCGTCTTTATCTCTTGCCTCTAGGTCTCTCACCAGTCTTGTTTCGCTTCCATCTTTATCTCTTGTCTACAACAGCTCTCTCTCTCTCTCTCATCCGTGTCTCTTGTTTAGCTCTTTGAGCTCACTAATCTGGACCACTTTTACATTATCTCGGGGTGCCATAGCCAGGCAGGTCACTCCAAGAGCCTTCAGCCACAGATGTGGCCCATGGGCCTCCAGTTGAAGAGCCTTGTGCTCACAGATCAAAGATGTCTTTGCCTCTTGACACCACACTTTTTCCGATGTGGCCTGTTAAAATGTTTCGTTGAATAAGACGTTGTAAAGAAACCAATCCGCGTCAGCATCTTTGTGATCTTGGTTTTTGACAGACGGTACAGAAGGCAGAAGCCACCGTAAAAAAATTTACTTGTTACCAACAGCCCAAAGTCAAGAGTTTCTCGAGTACCAGCATGCAATGCGTGTCGACGAGGATTGTTGAACTGTAGCTTGTTAGAACCGGTCACCATTTTGAGAATCGTTTACCAGTTCGTGAATTCGGGAACCGACCGGCGTCCGTTTCCAGATTGAACGGTGGAAAACGAACACGCGCCGACTGGCACGCGCGTGCACGGACATGCGAACTGCACGGCGGCCTCGGTCACCGCCGTGGGCAACGTGTGCCCTGGAGATGGGGTAACATCGCAACGTTCTGGATTGCAAGTCCAGTGCGCTGCCAACCATTACGCTGCCCTTCATTCCTCGGTTCAGAGATTGATTCGCTACGTTTGTTGCTGGACGTTTCGATCAGTAATCCAGTTCGTTTCGCGTGGTTACTGGTTGTTGCGGGGAAAAAACAACGATTTAAACAACCCAAGAATCGATAAACTATGCTGATACTGCATTGTGCGTACGTGTGTATGTTGAATTCTTTTGCACCGTACGTAGCCGACCGTGCTAACCAGGAGCATTGGCAGCGGTGCGCAATCAATCAATAGCGCATATATATTTGTACTCAACAAAAACAAACCCAACAATCTCCGCCAGTAACACTGCAGCCCTAAAGCGTGTGTACAACAGGCGTCGTCGTCGGGGGAAGCGGCTCGTCTTCCCACGGAGGTTCCATCTCTCTTCTCGTCGCTCGGCTGCCGATGTCGACGCTGAGCAACAAACGACAATTCCACAATTCAGGTGGTCTAGCCAGATAGCCGCGTCAGGAGCAGCGGGGGAGTGTATCATCGTCGCCGCGACGGACTCCGTCGTGTCTGTGGAGGGGTTCGGAGAGGCAGAGTGGATCAGCGGCGCTGAACAATAGTGCGGCGCTATCGTTCAGTGCCGCCTCAACTCCACTCTGCCGCTCGTTGTGTGTACGCCGTGCAGACGGGGCCACATTGCCCAAACGTCGCCCGTTGTCTAGCAGTGCTGTTGACCAATGTGTTCAGTTTTCTCGTCGACAAGCTACTTTGCCCCCCCCCCCCCTTTGTTGATAGCATCTACCGTTAAGCATTCCCTAATAAGAAAGCGATTCTCACGATGTAAACGGAGCACTTTACGGTGCAGCCACGGACCAGTTTGATTGGATGCTCATTAAGACAGCTTGTCCGTTTGAAAAACCGCAAGCGTTGCACCTTTATTGAAGCGTGTTTAGAATGTTAACACCTCGGCACCGTTTCCGAGTTAAAAAGAGAATGAGGCTTCGTGATATGAAGGCACGTGCTGCTGCTGTTCCTTGTGACAAAGCGTGTAAATAAAACAGCGAGTTTCATGCAGTTTCACTCGACTCGAATTTCATTCGTACCGTCATTTTAAGCTCTTCCTTTCCTTTCATCTCTTTATTCCACATACTGCGCTCTGTTATTGAGTTGAACAGCGACATCGTCTCCGCTTACAGACATCCCATTGTCATGTAAAAACTCCCAGTGTGACATTAAAGCCCCTTAAATACAATATTTAGACAGCATGTTGGGCATGACGCAAAGGGCAAAACTAATTCTACCTGGGGCTAACTTCTGATATCAAATTTCGGTTGCCTCGGATTCACATTACAAACTGTTTAAAAAGACACATTTTGCTCTCATATGAATGCAGATAATCAAACTGATTTCGCAGTCTTTATGCCAATCTTATTTTACGCACTAGTCATACCCTGTACTGTATTACCATTCCTTTCCTGACTAAAGGTGTCCCCTTTGCAAGACATTTAATATCATCCCACACGTCTCTCTCCAGGCTACGAAGGCTAACGCTGCCAAACTACCCATTGTCACGTTCTGGCCCTGTGCCCCTACTGGACACATCTGTGAAAACGAGCTTATAGCTCATCGGATTCCTCCTCCAGCGTAAATAAATATTTCGATTCTGATAGCCACCTACATAGAGGGAATAATGGTTCGTCCATTAAAACAATCGAGGCACGTGGCTTGAGTCGTGCGCGTGGAAACCGTTTGAGATTCGCGAAGGCGTGTGCATTGTATACTGTGGATTCTACATGCACAAGTACGAGACACCATTGATTTGTGAAGGGAATTATGAACCATAATTGGGGGCAATGCAGCATTGCGTCGTGAATTTAGGGGGGACACTTTGTCCATCCTACTTACAAAGCAAAACTCGCTAATCACCTACCCACCTACCTACACATATATATCAACTTGCCTATCCATACATGTATCCATTTCCCTCCACACCTATCCACTGACCCCACTACCTAGCTTCACACTTTGCATTGCAGGCCTTCAGGCGTTTACTCAGCAAATGTGATCGTACATCAACACCCACACACCTATATACACCAACAAAGGCAAAGATCCCCCATATAGGCTCAACCGACTGTTGGGGCCAGTGCTGTTCGCGAGCACCTATGAAGGCCGGCACGGCACACGAGGGGGTGGGTGGCCAACTCCACACCCGGCCACCTTTGTCTCCCCAGTGGTGATGTTTACACACCGCACCAGGTACTCATTTGAGGCTGAGTCAACCGAGGGGAGGCCTAGGAACGGTTCAGATAATGGTCACTAGTGTTGGCTATGAGCGGGAAGCGAATTCGGGTCGCCAGGTTCATAGCGCAGCACGCTAACCACGACACGACCACTCACCAACCCACATACCTACACACCCACTTGCCTATCAACCTACCTACACACTAACCCACATTCTTACACACCCACCAAGCTAAAAGCCTATCCACCTACCTACACATCAACCTACATAAAAACCAACTTACCTATCTACCAACATACCGACACACCCACAAAACTAAAAGCCTACCCACCTACCTACACCCCAACCCCTATACACTCCCAGTTTCCTATCTACCTACTAACCTATCTACCTACCAACCGACCTACAAACCCAAACTAAAAGCCTACCCATATACCTACGCACTAACCTATATGCTTATCAGAACTACGTACCTATCCACCCACCTACACCGAATCACCTACCTGTCCACCTACACAAAGAAAATTATCCTCCTAACCCTAACCCCGTACAGCAGGAGTGGGGAACGTACGGCCCGCGGGCCGTACGAGGCCCGCAAAATCATTTGGTGTGGCCCTGCCAAGGCAACCGCAGGCGGGACTCGAAATTCAATAAACCTAGGAGCAAACCTGGAAAAGCAGTTGCGAGTAGCAACATCATCAGTACCAGCTAACATCACACGCCTCGCCAAAGAGAAGCAGTTCCAGCCATCACATTAGGGGTGAGTTGATTAAATGTTTGACCAAATATAACAGGCTAACTTTTAAGTTGATAATTATGTATGGGCCACGAATGATGTTGTAAATATCCAAATGGTCCTTGGCAGAAAAAAGGTTTCTCACCCCTGCCGTAGAGCATTTACCAAACGGTTGGAGCAAGACTTCTTAGCGAGCTCCTAACTACACACCCACTCCCCCACCTAACTACACACCCAGTCACCCACCCACCTACACACCCAGTCACCCACCCACCTAGACACCCACTCCCCAACCCACCCAGTCACCAACCCACCTAGACACCCAGTCAACAACCCACCTACACGTCCACCCACGCGTCCACCCACCTGACTACCACATTTAACCCAAAATGTCAGGATTTTAAAATAGGGCCCTGCTTCAATAAAAAAAAAACATTCAATGTATTTGCTCTGGGGGGGGGGGTTGGCGGTGGAGGGGAAGGGTGGTGGTGGGGGGGGCGGTGGAGGGGGGAAGGGTGGCGGGTGGCGGGGGCATCTCCCTTGGACCTGCCACAGCCAACACCGCCAAGGCCCCATCCCCCCGTACACATCCATGCCAGCAGGGGCCCATCGGGGCCCCGTGCGCCATCACGGCCGACAGTCGTCCCACTCGTGGGAGGGCCCCGAGGCCTGCGCGTCTCCCTCCTCCTCCCCGCCCCGAGCGGCGCTCGTGCGAGCCTCGCCGCGGTTCAGGCGGCCCAGGAAGGACTCGAGCAGGCGCTTGTTGAGGTGGTCGGTCAGCGTGCGCTCCTCGGCCGGCCCGTCGTCACCGCCGGGCACCGCCCCGGTGCCGGCCGGAGACGCGGGGTCGGCGGCCAGGCCGTTGGGGTGTCCGTCGACGGGGCCGCCGTCGTCGCCGCTGGTCCCGTTGGCATCCGCCGCCGAGTCTGACCTCGTCTGTCCGTCCGCCTTCATCATCGCTCGCCGTCTGCAAAGGCAGAGAAAGATCGTGCGCAAACAAAATATCCGACAAACTATTTTAAAAACTTTTTTTATTTCACCAGATAAGGCCCACTGAGCTCTACAGCTATTTTTTGAGAGAAAAAAATGAAAGCTCATGGAAATGTCTTGTCACGTCAAAATGTATAGCAGCGTGATGTCGATTCTAAATGGGGAGGGAAAAACCAGAGGACCCAGAGAAAAATACACGAGACCAGGGGAGAGAGACATGCACACTCCAAATATACAAGCGTCAGGGTCGTGATTGATGATGATGTGATAGACACATCGCTTCTGAAAAAAGCTCTATAGCTCAATGGGGCCTTACCTGGTAAAATAAAATAAAAACAGTCAACAGTAGTCGTAAGTCTCTGGGTCACGTCGACTTAAACGATCGAAGCAGCCCCCTTCTTGTCCATCCACTGCTGGATGTGCGCTAGTTCGTGGGGGTTATTTGAACATACTTCACCGCGCTGATCGGTGCGGGTTGGTGAAAGTGGGGGTGCATAGACGCGGTAGCATAGTACAGTACAAGGCAATTGCATTTGCTGCACAGCACTGTTGATGACAATGTCAAGTCTCCGCTGCAGCCTGTAACACCTGGTATGGACGGTCGCCCTTCCAGGCACTAGCCAGGCTGCACACCTGCTTGGCTACCTCACTACCTCACCTGGCATACAGCTCGTGGGTTCAATCCCGACCGTGACGCCTGCTGTATATTTGGAGTTTGTGTCTCTCTCTCTTAATCACGGTGGCTAGATGTTAACTACCTCACCTGGCATACAGCTCATGGGTTCGAGCCTGACCGTGACGCCTGCTGCATATTTGGAGTTTGTGTGTCTCTCCCCGTGGTCGCGTGGATTTTTCTCCGGGTCCTCGGGTTTTTCCCTTCCACGTTTAGAAACACGGGTTTAGAGTATTTGGCTCGTACAGCACTAGTGACTAGTACAGCACTAGTGACTAGTGCAGCACTAGTGACTAGTACAGCACTAGTGACTAGTGCTGCACTAGTGACTAGTGCAGCACTAGTGACTAGTACAGCACTAGTGACTAGTACAGCACTAGTGACTAGTGCTGCACTAGTGACTAGTGCTGTACTAGTCACTAGTGCTGCACTAGTGACTAGTGCAGCGCCAGTGACTAGTACAGCACGTGACTAGTACAGCGCCAGTGACTAGTACTGCACTAGTGACTAGTACAGCACTAGTGACTAGTGCTGCACTAGTGACTAGTGCTGTACTAGTCACTAGTGCTGCACTAGTGACTAGTGCAGCGCCAGTGACTAGTACAGCACGTGACTAGTACAGCGCCAGTGACTAGTACAGCACTAGTGACTAGTACAGCACTAGTGACTAGTGCTGCACTAGTGACTAGTGCTGTACTAGTCACTAGTGCTGCACTAGTGACTAGTGCAGCGCCAGTGACTAGTACAGCACGTGACTAGTACAGCGCCAGTGACTAGTACTGCACTAGTGACTAGTGCTGTACTAGTGACTAGTACAGCACTAGTCACTAGTACTGCACTAGTCACTAGTACAGCACTAGTGACTAGTACAGCACTAGTGACTAGTGCAGCACTAGTGACTAGTAGTGCAGCAACACCGGGTGTGTTGGGACAGCAAAGCCACAACATCTACAACTCGAGTCCGACGTTTCGCCAGCAATTACGACGGCATCATCAGGCGGGCAGCAGCCAGGATGTGGAGAGGAAACAAAATCCTCCTCCCGCTTCGTTCGCCAGCGAGGGGCGCGGGCATCGTCAGTGGCAATCAGCGAACGATAATCAGTCGATGATTAAGAATCGATCATTAGAGTCGGAGGTGAGAGGGGGGGCGCCCTTGACGATTGTCGCAGTCCCCGGGCAGGGGGCGACACGGGGAGGGGGTGCTCCCAAACCGTCGAACGCCAAACGTTGGACGCTGCCGCTTACCGCCCGCTCGACGTCGGCCTGTATCAGGGGGGGTGCGACGGCCGAAGACGACAACTCGGAGGCCGCCACTCACTCAGAGGCGCTTCGTGTCCGAGCCAGCGGCCATCTTGCGTAGGGGAGACGCCGCGGCCTGACGGGTGGGGAGGTGGTTGACGTCACTTCCGTTGTAGCATTGCCCCCCCCCC